ACACATAAATATTGGTACAAGAGAGCGCCAATATATATGCGCCACACAAAACAATGGGAATTCGAAGAGAAATAGAAAGAGAAAAAAAAAAAACAGCTAAGGAACGCAAAAGAAAAAGAGAACAATGACGAAGAGATTGGAGTAAGGTAGTGTGGTAGTAACGACGGAACGAAAAGGTACAATCAGAAGAAATCTTTCAGGTAAAGGAGACACAACCACTTTTTATGAAGAAAGTAAAAGAAGGTTACAGCAGGATCGCCACTGGCTTCTATTCTGAGCCATATCTGATAACGTCTCTAGCCACTGTGTAGCACCATCTCTCGGACCCCAACCAGGGAGTCGTGAAGGACCAACACAAGCCAGTCCTTTGCAGCTTTCTTTCATGCCACGACACCATGTCATGCACTGACCACCTCTCCGCTTCTTCCAACCAGTCCCAGAGTCGGCAAATAATGCACGACGTGGAATTCTCTGGGACGACATTCGGAGAACATGTCCAAGCCACCGAAGTCGGTGTTTCAAGATGGTGACACCAATTGAGTTATCATCTCTGTGCCCGAACACACGATGCCGAACCTCTGCATTACTGACATGGTGTTGCCACTGAATGTCAGCAATCCTTCGGAGACAGCGATGATCGAACACAGAGAGTCGTCTAACGTCCTCAACTCGGAGAGGCCAGGTTTCACAAGCATAGAGCAAAACTGCTCTCACCGACGCGTTGTAGATCCGACCTTTTACAGCCAGACTAACATCACGAAGGCGCCAAAGGTGGCCCAGATTGGCATAAGCCGCTCTGGCTTTCACTATTCGTGCATTGATCTCATCACTCACACCCCCACCAGCACTTATGCAGCTACCCAGATACACGAACTTCTCAACTACGTCTATCTGCTCACCGTCCAGGGTGAGTACAGGATTAGAATCCTGCCAGTCTTGTAGAAGTACTTTGCACTTCGAAGGTGCAAAGCACATACCATACCTACGGACACTGATTGCCAACTGATTAAGTGCGGATTGCATGCCTTGGGCATTATCGCACAGTAAGACAATATCGTCCGCATACTCAAGGTCGAGAAGTCTTTCTCCAGGCAACAGATCCACACCACCATTACTTACATTCATCAGAGCTGTTTCCAGAATGTCATCGATGGCAAAGTTGAAGAGGAATGGTGAGATTGGGCAACCCTGCCTAACCCCACTGCTCGAATGGAACAATGGAGAGAGGTGGTTGTATGCCCTCACTCTGCCTGAGGTGTTTTATATAGGGCTTTAGGATGTTAATAAACTTCTCAGGCACACCCTTCTTCAATAGACAATCCCAGAGAACAGTCCTGTCCAACGAATCGAAGGCAGCCCTGATGTCAAGAAACACTACGATTGTTGGCCTTTGAAAGTATGGCGGTGTTCTAACATTTGGCGGAGGGTGAAGATATGATCAATACATCCTCGACCAGAACGAAACCCAGCCTGCTCCTCGCGAGTCAATCTTTCTCGGGTTTTGAACAACCTACGAAGAATGACGGAAGCCAATAGCTTGGACGCAATCGGAAGTAAACTTATCCCCCGATAGTTGTTACAAGAACGACGTGAACCCTTTTTAAAGATAGGGACAACTATCGACTCATTCCATGACGTTGGTACACTCTCTAGTTCCCAAACCTTTGTAAACAACGTCGTCAATTCCTTAGTCAAAAAGTCACCACCATCTTTAAAAAGAGCCGGAGGTAAGTCATCTGGGCCAGCTGATTTGTAACGCGCACGTAAAACAAGCTTTTCGAAGCGACAGATGGAGATCGAATTTGTAGTACTTCGCCAGAGTCTTGAATACGGGTCTCGGATAGACAACACACGTCGATATTAAGACTTTCCAAGGACATAGCCAGCCCTATCTGTTGTCCGACCTGCATAAATGTGCGAACGTTGAAGGCAGCCAGTTTGAATGGTGCACGTGGTATCAGAAAATCTGCTTCAGTCCTCGTGTTCGGTGGTAACATACAATTTTCAACCGGACAGTGACTCGAGAACGTTTAGATACAGTCGGATTTCCACCAAAGACGAGCCGCTGTATAAGTATAAAAGAGGGTGAATAATGTGGAAAATAATAATAATAATGATAATAATAACAATAATGACAATAATAGTAGTAATAATAATATTAGTATTAATAATGACAATAATTGTAATGATAATAATCAGAATCAATTGTTTGATTTTCAAAGCGAGAAAGATAATTTCCATAGGCATATAAAGTTCATCAATTTGTGTGTGGGCTGTGATACTGCCCGGGTGCCCAAACCGAAGCAGGTGGTTATCTTAGGGGGCCACTCCCCGAGCCTTTGACCTAAAGGTCTAACCCACAAGGCAGTGGAGCATCGTAAGGAGATGCAGTCCCATGGTAGCCGGTGACCAACGATTGGTTCATACGCCATTCGTTCCCGCAGGATACTGGAGCCCATGTGCACCATTGATTTGGAATCCGGTTAAAGCGCCGGACATTCGCTTCTCGTCCTCTCATTTTCGTAGACAACACCCCCGCCACGAGAAGGCAATGAGTAGGACTTCCCTGGCAGAGGCTGTATACGCGTGGCCGTGTGAGAGTATTTCGAGAGGGAGAGCGGACTCTCCCACTCTCGGCCGTACCAGGGCATTCAGGGGGCAATCAATGAGTTAAGGATGTAGAATGTAATCATGTTTCTAAGATGGTGAAAATTCTGGCTGAGAACATGGAATTCATTAATGTTAGGTTCTATAAGTTGGGTTGCTTGATCGTGAAACTTCACTGATTTTCATCAACACATTCAGTTATTTATAAGTGGCGTAAGCAACCTAGCACATACGTTCATCAGTTGAAGTTGACATACACTGTATCAGCACGAAATTCAGGAAAAATGTACGTTTACAACATGGTTTTGCCCCCAGAAAGCTTTTGTTTCTTGATGAAATCTCATCCGACGTTTATGTTGTTTTTCTTGCGCTGAGAAAGCACAGTCGTATGACTCAGAATGGCCAAAATTTGAAGAACAGGAAATAAACTATACATTTTTGAAGTTCATGAGAATAAACCAATTATTTTCTACAGTCTGTTTGAGATTTCTGAAAATATTTGTAGATTGATATCAGCCTGCTTAATGAACAATTGTTAACTATGAAAACTTTCAGGTATTAGTATAGATGGTGCATTTACCAACTATATTGATGGTGGCTTATTGTTTATTTTCATATAGTTTAGTAACATATTCTACGTAGTTTTTTATTCTAAAGAAGTTAGATAAATAAACTATTTAGTATACAATAGCTTAAATCAATCGAATGTGCACCAACAGCACAAATCTATGCATGACAAATTGGATGAAAAAGGAATAATATTAACAAATAGCTCGTGTATACGACTAAATCTGTCACCAACCTACACCTGTGTGTTTTATTTTACACAACTATGAATGATTTCATTTATTTATTTGAACACATAAATATTGGTACAAGGAGGTACCAGATACATATGCGCTACATAAATCTCAATTGATTTGTGTGAGAGCTGTGATACTGCTCGGGTGCCCAGACCGAAATAGGTGGTTTTCTTAGGGAGCCACACCCTGGGCCTTCGACCTGAAGGTCTGATCCACAAGGCAGTGAAGCATCGTAAGGAGATGCAGTTCCATGGTAGCCGGTGACCAACGATCAGTTCATACGCCATTTATTCCCTCAGGGTAGTGGAGCCCATGTGCACTATTGGTTTGGAATCAGGGTTTTCCAACTCCCCTAGGTGGACTCCCCGTGTCCACTATGAATGAATAATTTTGGTCAAATTATATACCGCATAAAATCATACAGAGTAATGTTATGAATGAGTAAATAAATAGATATAGGAAAATTCGGGAGCTATTCATTAGTGAATCGGTGTAAATATTTTTCAATGTGCAATTTATTAAATAATTGATTTGTAGTGTTAGAAATTGTTCTAATTGTAAACTTTTATTTCCTCGATTAATAACAGTGATTTAATCGTTAACCTACTATTCAGTTTTGTATTATAGATGTCCTAGTTTCTCATACATTGAAATGTATTATTTATGGTGTATCATGGTTCTTTATTGTATACATATAATCGCATTGTGGTGTGTGCTACTGATATCGACAGATACAAGTAGTATGTATCATCAATCGTTAGTGAAATCCCTGGATGCAAATGTTTAAGAAGATCGAAGAGAATAAAACAAGGAAAGGAAATGATCAGTGTGGAAACGAGAGAACAATGAAGTCTGAGACGATTGATTGACATTTTGCAAATGAAGTACTTAATATCTGGTTCTCAGACTTTACTAAGACGTTCTGTGATTTTGTGTTCACATACATTCGGTTGTCCTCACTTGTGTTCTTGTTCACTACAACATGAGTTTTACAGTTTGGATAATATATAATGATGTGCAGTACTTGTCTAGTCTTACTGTATTTCAGGATGGTAGTCTAGGTGGACGGATTAGAATATCTTAGGGGGTATCGATCGCTTATTACAATTAGTAGCTGCATAAGTTGACTCATTGGACTGAACCATGTTAACGGGTGTAGACTACCTGGTTGGGACCCATATGATTATCGTAGCCAATGGTTAGACTTTGAATCAAATGTACCAAAACCGTTTGCGATGGGGCAGGTAAATACGTTCTTTGTTTTCCCCCAAATCCTGAGCTTCTGAATTCCTAAGAACTTTTTTGTTTTCATTTCGTTAGTTTGCATTTTCTTAAATCTTATCTTCGATGTCCAGTCATTTCTGTCACCACTCATACTATTATCACCTCAACTATTCTGGAATTCGGCCTGACAATTTCATCTCTTTGTGCTAATGGAGTATGTACACACATACCAGGTTCTACGTTGCGATTGGCTCACTCACTCACTCATAGTTGGTGAGACATACCGAGAGAGAAGAAAAACAAACAACCGGTAGGAAGTAGTAAACGAATTTATAAATTTTGTTTAAAAACCGAAACAATACTTACTTTGAAACTTGTCGGATCATAGCGGTGAGGTGTTAACAATAATAAACCACTAGCTTCTCTCATTGATTGTTGTATATCTAAAGAGTGAGTAGATTTTTCAGCTTCTTCCACTACTTGTGGTGGAAGTACATTTTTTCTTCGTAAAAATATTGTCAATAAAGGGGGAGCTTGAGCAACGCAGCTAACTGGAACATCCGGAGCGACCAAATCAGATTTTGTTGATATGGACGTTAGACGTTCAGCTTCACTAGGTGATAGAAGACGCCAATCTGGTTCATGTGTATTCGGTAGGAGACAATAGCCAAGATTTCGGCCACGGAATACCCGTATACCCCATGCTCTACATCTAACATCAGACTTTATAAAAATGAACCCAGATAATTGATGATAAAATAGGAAATTCAGCAGCAAAAATAAACTCGTAAACGTAAACACATTCGATCAGATTATTTAGCATGAGCATATTCGAGTTACTTGAAGCAGTAAGTTATTTTTCAAAAGGTGATAAGTAAAACATTTCAGTAGAAATATATGTAGTAGACCAAATTAAGCTTCATCTACACCAGTTATGACAACATTAATCACTCAACTGTGATGTGAAATATCTCATCAAGTTCAATGAAATTAATATGATAGACTAGGTAATCGCCAAAATGACTATTTAGATGAAGTTTAAAAGGTCTAGGCTTACATTTACACTCTATATTGAATACCTAGTTGACAGATAAGTATGTCGAAACTAATACAAATACTCGTTCCTAGAGCACATAAATGATGTAATTAAGCAGATAAGTGTAAAGTTCCGGAGGGATGGAGTAGTTGATGTAACTAATTAATTTCCCATAACTATACTGAACACAGACAGAAATCAGTTTTACAAAAGTTGGCTGAGAATTCCATAAATCACCATATTCGTGTTCTGAGTCCTACAGAGACTGAATTTGTATTCTGACTGAACTTTTGCTATCAAGTAAAGGTGAGGATTTTGAGTTGATATGAACCATTTGACTACGACTAGTGTAGGAATCAAAGTAAAGCACATCCATTCCAAAGTGTGTTGTTTCATCGCTCTGTAGGTCAGTATCCTCTAATATAGGAGACAATGAATGATGGACTTGATTTTCTCGTCTTAAGTAAAATTAATTCGAATAAGATCTAATAGAATATGAAGGCGTTCATGCAATGCTTCGACAAAAGTTGACTCATCCAGCCCTTAAAAGTTTTTTTTAAAAAAACGAAACATAACAAGCTCTGCTTTGAAGAAAGTACTCGAAAATAAAGAGGTTCTTCGATTTAAACTGTTCGTTCTTCTATGTATAAACAAACATTAATGACCGAAAACAGAACCGTTCTTTGGAACGTCATATATTCACTTTCAAATTTTGAGACTTCAGTAATATTAAGTAGTTTACTGAAGCTTTAGTTTGGCGATCAAAATATCTGGCCACCATAAATCATAAAACATTTTTTATTGACTTCACCTGTTTCAATTTAAGCAAGTAGGTGATATGCCCCCCCCCAAATACCCTAGTACGGCCAAAGTGGGGAGAGTCCGCTCTCCCTTTCGAAACGCTCTTACATGGTCACGCCTATATAGCTTCTGCCAAGGAAGTCCTACTCACTAACTTCTCGCACCATGGGTGTTGTTTACGAAATTGAGGGGACGAAAAACGAATGTCCGGCGCTTTAACCTGGTTGGTGGACATGGAGAGTCTACCTAGGGAAGTTGGAAAACCCTGATTCCAACCAATAGTGCACATGGGCTCCACTACCCTGAGGAATAAATGGCGTATGAACTGATCGTTGGTCACCGGCTACCATGGAACTGCATCTCCTTACGATGCTTCACTGCCTTGTGGATCAGACCTTCAGGTCGAAGGCCCAGGGTGTGGCTCCCTAAGAAAACCACCTATTTCGGTCTGGGCACCCGAGCAGTATCACAGCTCTCACACAAATCAATTGAGATTTATGTACCGCATATGTATCTGGTACCTCCTTGTACCAATATTTGTGTTTAAATAAAGAAAATAAACAAGTAGGTGATATTAATATATGTATATCACTATTGATGGGGATTTATCAATCTCCATTATTGTTCAACTTTGTCACTGACGTACTTTTAGAAATAACACTCTCCTCATCTAAATTTCCAGGGGTTGAACTTCTACCGGGTAATTCACTTGTTGACTTAGAATATGCTGATGACATAGTTTTATTTGGCGAAGACGCTGACAAAATGCAGAGTCTTCTGACCACTCTAAGCAACAATGCAAGCATGTTCGGGATGCGATTCTCTCCCTCGAAATGCAAAATGTTGCTTCAGGATTGGGTTGCATTGACACCTGAACTAATGATAGGGAGTGAAGTAATTGAGCGTGTCGATCGCTTCACTTATCTTGGAAATCTCATCAGCCCTTGTGGTCTGGTGTGTGACAAAATCTCAGCACGGATACAGAAGGCTCGACTAGCTTTTACCAACTTGCGTCATTTATGGCGTAGGCGAGATATCCGTCTATCAACCAAAGGACGTGTTTACTGCGCAGCAGTTCGTTCCGTCCAACTTTATGGCAGTGAAACATGGCCGGTAAGAGTAGAGGATATTCGTAGGTAACTAGTATTCGGTCATAGGTGTCTTCGGAACATTGCTCGTATATCCTAGGACCATCGAGTAAGTAATGCAGTTGTTAGAAAACGGGTACTAGGTAAGGATGGCAAATCAATTGATGACGTAGTGAAACTTTATCAGTTGAGATGGCTGGGACACGTGTTACGTATGCCCAACGACCGACTGCCTCGACGTGCGATGTTCAGTGGTATAGGAGTAGGTTGGAAGAAAGCTAGAGGCGGCCAGACCAAAACATGGCACAAGTCCATGAAGTCACTGACAAGTGGTCTGAGTCATGTCGGTAGGTGTAGACTACCTGGTTGGGGACCGCGAGATGATAGCAACCGATGGTTAGAGACCCTGAATGACATGGCTCAAAATCGTTTGCAATGGCGCAGGTGCATACACTCTCTGTGTTCTCCCGAATTTTGATCTCCTTATTCCTCCTTGTCTCTTTTTTTCTCCTCTCAAATTTATTTCACTGTATTATACTCTTTAAGTAACATCTCCAAACACTAATCTTCCCGATTACTGCTTATACTCTTATTACCTCTACCACTACGGGATTTGAATCGACCACTGCATCTCTATGTTAATGTGGTGTGGCAACTCGAACTGATGTACGTACGTACGAAGTTCTACGTTGTTACTGACTGACTGATGAAGATTATTACTTGACAGCTGGTTAGACTTACGTTAGTTACATTACAACCTGTAAAAATGTAAACGATTGGATTAAATTTACCAAAGGCTTAAGATTTGAAGAACTGAAATATGCAGTTCGCATAGACAGAAGCACATTATTGAAAATATGACTAACTTTATCGGACATAAGTGGAACAACATTTTTTAAAATGTAATAGCATGGCTCCTTGAATTCTGCTGTTTCAGTTTCCTTTATTACTACTCTACCCTTGGCGCGGTTTTTAAGGTTTTTGGCTATTTCTGATAGGAGCTTGCCGTAGAAGTGTAAAGACGGACGACCAATATACTCAATTTTTGGCATAACAAATCTTATTGGGATGAATAATTGGTTTTGAAGGAAATCGAACTAGCTTTTTCAGATCGTATGTCTAACAAAATTGTTCATCTAAATCGAGATAGAAAAACGGGTAAACAAAAAAATTGTAAATTTGGCGAAAAACCGTAGTATATTTACGTTAACTGCGTCACGACAATCCGAAATGTTACAATGTTATCCGGTGAAAAGTATGTTGGGAGCAATTTCTTCATGGAAGACGCTGGATGCATGGAAGGATGTTATGTATATGTTCATGGAATAACCTGTATCTGTCGCAATAGAATGATGAAGCGGGAATACCAACATTAGAGAAGCTTTTCAGAAAATTGAGATTTACGTACCGATGTGGTCCCAGAATTGAAAGCAAAAACGAAGTGAAGAAAGGAAAGTTAGTATGAGACGAAGAAGCACTAAATCCATTTTGATCAACTTACAGCCTGACACAAAGGTACATTAACTAATTCTTTTTTACTGTGCTATGCAATCTTTCTTTTATATATTACCACCACTGAATTAACTACTTCCATGAACCCGGTATTCATGTCGCTGTGCTAATGATGTATGGCAACATGGACCGATGCATATATGTGCCTGGTCCTACGTTGTAGCGGAGACTAATCTAGGCTATTGCATCATATTAATGTGAGGTGAATTACCACGGCTAATAGTAAAGGGGTTGAAATATTGGTGTTATTAGTAATGATAAGGTCATATATTGGACATAAAATGCATGAACCAAAAAAGTTAGTAATGCTTGTCACTCCATGAGCAACGACTGAATAACTCACGAAATAGGCTGTCATTCCTTTCGACGCAACCTACCACTACACACACAGTCCCATTTTCACTAGAAAAATACTTCTTGGGGCCAGCCTAACGCTCGATAACTGAATTTACCAGTATTGCACGTTTAAATAAAAGAGAACAAAGAAATATCCAAAGGATTTGGATATTTTTCAACGGTTTTGTATAACAAAAAAAATAATCAACGCATTTTCTGATGAACGATATGTCAGTTGCGCTTTAATTTAACCATGTAAACAGATTCCAAGACAAAGAATACTTTATTACTATATGGTGAAACCAGTTTGTCACTGGAAATACTGGAAGGCCGGGGTCATATATATTTTGTGGAAGACTTAACACCGATTGACAATATAGATGATGTTCGGGCATAGGATGCTCAGAGTGGCGAGAGATCGGAACGGAGAGAACGTATATGCTCGTCACGTTGATAAATAAAAGAACATGACACTAGTCAGAATCTCAAATCACCAACATAACTTTTTAAGAGCGCTAGACGTGAGTTACAGGTTTAGAGGACTAACTTTTTTAGAAAAGGAATAATAATCTGAAACTATTCTCAATGGAGCATAGAAGAGTAAGAGTTAACTTAATAATCGTGTGTAACATCTAGTGGTTCGAGACACCATAGTAAAGTAGTCCTCGCTGAATTACATCGCTGCCTTAGATAACATCAGCAAAGTTTTCTATCGAAGAACGAACTTACTTTATCGAAAATATCTATCTAGGATGCTCTCTCAAACGATGTGACCACAGCTCCCTTAGTAGATATGCAAGAAGAGACCGGACAATCTCGTATGTAACCATATACCACCCTCTTAAGCTTGTTATAGGAGTTGAAAACGTGCATTAAAATAAGAAAACTGCTTCGCACTGATTCGTCTCACCCACATAAATTCCCGGAAAACTACTGTTGCGATGTTTTTTAATTAAGACTTATGCACGTTATTTACACCTACCTGCTTTTTTATACTATCACTATGTAATTATTTCCCCGTATTTACTTGTTCATTCATTTCCAAATTTCCCCAATCTCCCTGTGCTGGAAAATCCCTAGTTTCGTGGAATTTCCCAAGTTCGTGCAAAATTTTGAGTTTTCGTGCCATTTCCAAAAATTTTCTATACCATCTTACCCAGAATTAGGAGACTGGGTTGCCTTCATATACAAATTCACTTGATTTATAACAGCTCATCACAAACACATAAAGAATACAGATTATTCATGCATTACAAGTGTTGTCAGTTTTTACAAAATATCTAACTAATTTTCCGTCTAAACCACTAACTGAAATTAATAACTCCATCCTGAAAACCATAAGTGAGTTGGATTTTGTTATCACCGGTGATGTTCCTGACCTCAAAAACCGAGAAACCATCTTAAACAACACCTAACATCAATCCTTACCAACAATTACTTAGTTTTTCTAACACATACACTCAATTAAGGGACGAAGACTTACAACCCACATATGACCTCGACTTCAAATGCCACACTGAAATACTGTCAAAACAAAAACCCAAAATGCAGTAACTTTCATCTTATTAAACAAATTTAAAAAATTTCGCCTCCAATTTCGCTCAGCTGTTATTTGTAAGTGTTACAACCGTTCTAGCAACTGCTCAGAATCATATGCTTATGGCAGAATTTATAGTTTTCCCCATCTTAACGAGTCATATAAAAGACGTATCTCACTTGTTAAGCTTTTCATCGACACATTGTTCCTACTGCAGTTGATCCCGGTTATCTCAGTCGGTAGAGCATCAGACTTTTATCTGGGGTTCGGGGTTGTAGCCCCCCCATCGGCGCAACGGCCGGGGTCGAGTGGTTAATGACTGGAACGCCTCACCGAACAAATGGTATCAGACCCATCATGAATATTGTAAGGAGAAACTGGAAATCACTGGAAGACAATCTGTCAGGATTAACACAGGTTCACCGACATACTATCCTTATTACTGTAGACTGAGTGGTTGATATTATGACTTGATCAAATTGATTACCTGTTCCATGTTCATAGTGTCTGTATTGTTTTGTCGGGCTGGGTTACACTTACTTAATACCGGCTACCTGCGTCGTTTTCTGAGTCTTCGTATTCATATTTATTTTACTTCATGCTCCAAAGTATTTCCGTAGTTAGGCGATAAATAATGAGAATCTAAGTAGTCTGTAGAGATGGCTAGCATAATTATTTCACAAATACATAAACAGAGGCTCATGTTTTCCAGAATTCCACGTAATTTATATATTCATCTTCATAGACCACAAAAGTTTTTCTTAGTTAAACACTAATTTTCCCGTTAAGTGTTTCCCTCTGTCGCATGAAATACTGATTGTCGAACACATATACACTGACATCCATATATTTTGTGCTTATTCGGCTCCCATTCAGACATTGATAAAATAACCACTATACATGTACAAATTTTATTTGTGTCGATATTACTGAATTACCTCAGATATAAGTCGCTTCGGATTATAACCCGTATCTAAAAATAATAGTTACCTATTATAATTACAGACTTCATGACCCAAAAAACCGAATACACTGCTCCCAACGATCAAAGCAATGTTCAGAATTTCACCTGTGTATTTTTATATTTTGATATTATCGTTATTTCTACAATTTCTAGCGAAACATTTATCATTATTCTGATACTGGCATTTAGATTTCGCTACAATTAGTTCTTGAGCCAGCGCATAATTAAGTCCGTTTGTCTGATTATAAAATCGTCACATTGTTTATACATATTTTTATCTTCATAATCGTCAATATTTACATTCATATACAATTAATTCCTTAAATGATAACATAAACATCTAAAATTTATCCATGAAGACTTCCGTTGATTTGCCACAATGTCTGAACCGATACTCACTGCTATTAATGCTGCATATGATTTCAGACTCCCAGGATACAGAACAGGAAACCTAAGAATCTGGTTTATTTAAATAAAACCCCTGTTTTAGAAAAGTTACTCCGCTGTCAACCGACCAAATACTCACAAGTCATAGGTGCGCTTATGACTGAAATGTTACAAAATTTCAGAATAAAATCGCCCTGCATCATATACTTGAGGCAGCCGTAATTCAGTGTACGTCGCTCTTTGATTTGAAGAGAATACAACAATTACTAACCTCACGCGTTCTGAGAACAAGGAATCATCACAAACTCTACGACTTATGAAACAATTAGTGGGGTCATGCAGGTTAGAAGGCGAAATGTCATAGCTGACGTGAAATTTTTGTGCTGGTAATTATCCATCGTTTTATCTATAGAACAGACCATTCTGATGGTCGCAGTCGGCGAGGTTCTCTTTTAAACACATTCAACCCCATTTAGTATGAAATAAGAAATATAATCCCTGCGTGAAATAAGTAAGTGATTAACTACACGACCTACAAATTTTCTACGGTACCGGGATATTTCCGGTAAAATCTCAGCGACCCAACCCAAATTTTTACACCTTTAACGGTCAACTAAACGTCAGTATACCAAGACCTCCATAGTATAAACAAAAACCAGGATAAATAATCGCATGAGATCGACATTTAGCTTTCAGTTACACTTCTCCTAATCTTTGGTGTTGGATCTCGTCCTCAAGACTCGTTAATTCATCTAAGAAATGAAGAATACGGACTATAGAGTTGACAAGAACATAAGTGTGGGCAACCAAATGTACTTGAACACGAAATCAGAGAGTATCTCAATAAGATCTGAGAACCATACAGCAAATACTTAATTTGCAAAATATCAAGGCACATCTCAAACTTGGCTGTTCCTATTGCAAATATCAGTGCATCGTCTCAGATTTCATTATTCCAGCATTTTCATACCGTCTCTGCTCTTTCCTTCTCGATCTTCTATTGAAATACATACTATTCCTGACTGTCGTTATATACTCCTTATGTTGATATAAATAGCGCGCACCACACTGTTACTAAACAGCTACGAAGAACATATGATCAAGTAGACCATATGACAGATCCTAGAGTCCTTACCATGAAAACCAGGAACCGAGTTCGCAAACTGTGAGTGTCGTTAGGTTATGAACTTCAATCATACATATTCAATTATAGGAACTCAATAGATAAACTTTGTGTTATGAAAAATTACATTCAAAGGGAAAAAGTGGGTATTTCAAAATTGGAGGCTCCTGTAATTCTAGGATAGACACACTTATTAGAAAGCCGAGAACTAAAGAAACATGGACTTCAAGGAAATTCGCAAGGCTTTACTCGTGGATAACTATGGCCCCCATTCAGAAAATGTAACGCTACTCCAGCCTTCTATAAACGTTTCCAGTGAAACAGTTACAAACACAGCAGATTAAAAATGTAAAAATAACAAATGCAATGATTTCTGACCCACTTTCAAATCGAACGAAGCTTTGAATTACAAAACGCATCAAACCGTCGAACAGGAGAATGATAGGAATTTTCAGGTGCAATACACTTAAATAGCAACAATGAGCACGATTTCAGTCCTCCCTACGATGAAGATGGCTTAAGCAGCGAAAGTAAATTCGATCCACGTCAAAGTCTCTTAGACACTGAGCAACAAATTCCGACAAACGAAAAAAATATAGTATGTGGACACGGCAACTAGAATTGGCGGACCAATTTTTAGCTTATGAACTAATGTTTCAGAACAACATATATAAGCGAACGAAATTGTTTTCAATTAGATCCTCATCAAACGTTACTCTCAATGTACAGTAATATTTATATGTGTATACGAAATCATTAAACCAATCAAGGTAGTTTATGAGTCGATGATAACAATACAAAAGATTACATAATAAGTTAAAAGTACAAATTGATACTGTGATGACAGGTGCACATACTTTAGTACAGCTTTTAGTATATCAAATGCACGTCGAATATTAATGAGTCTTATACAAATGCAGAACAACCAGATACATAGATTATTATTATTATATATATTTAGGAATGATTGCACGCAGTTACAAAATACGCGAAATATTCACAGTAAAATGGGTCCTTCTGTAGTGGCTCGTGCTGGATTTTTTAAGCCTCTTAGTCGCTTCCAGCCTCAATTTTACTTTGGCATCAAAGGCACTTTTAGAAGCCGTTAGGTCTAAATTTCCTGAAATTTTAATCGAAGAATATTCATGACAACGGAGTGTCAATATGCAAATGTCGATGTATCAAGTGCTCGATCTTGTAGTGATAAATTTTACATGACAAGTTCATCATTTTGCTTAGCATCAGTTTTCTTCGTTGAAAACAAACTTGAAAGAACAGTCTGTTATCGGCTCACTATATATCGGTGAAGCATGTGAATCAGTTTTGATGATATAACAGGCTAGTTTTACTCAGTACTTCAAATGACCATAGCAATAACCATGTTTGTCTAATTGTTTTGTTTCGTTAACTCTCTAGCGAAATAATCAGTAAACGTTTAGTGGGCTTTGTTGCATTTTCCACCGAACTCTGTGTAGGTTTTGCAAAAATTTTGGGAGATGGCTCGTTGAGACTTTAATTCCTCGATGAACTTCTAGTGACTTAAAAGTCTTTCCGAAATCTTCTATACCAACTATTTCACTATCAGCGTGACGACCAAAATGCCGTGACCTTTGACTTAGTCAAACAGGACCCTGTTGTCAATAGTCCGGCAGTACGCAACAGAAAAATGAGATAACAAAAGTTCGTCTTCAGTCAAAGTCATATAATCAGAGCTCAGACGAGGAAGACAGAAGAACACGAAATGTGGTTAAAAGAGATCTGAATAGAGTTTAAAAAACGACAGGGAGAAGAAACAAGCAAAAGATGGAACTGTCCGATAAAATGCTGTGAATGGATTTTCAGCGTTTTTTCCCGTTGCAATCAAATTGTGGAGCTTATGTAGCCATACGTCTCTGATATTAAGATCAAAGACTTTATAATAAGGCCAGAAAATAAACAACCCTATCCTTTGGTAAAAGCGAGGAATGAGATGCCTTGGAATTCACGCAACAAATATATGATTCAATAAGAAATACTTATAACATTTCAACTGGTGGTAACATATTTCTATTTTAAATACGTATCAGATATTAGCTATTGAAAAAATGTTTGTAGTGCATGTTCGAAACAATCGCAGTTTTAATGTATGTTAAAGAGAAATCTATTTCAGTGTTGAAAAGTAGATGCTGGGGATACTTTGCTGCAACAAAATTTAGAGCAATGAAGGAAACTAATATTATTATGGACGAGGTCACATTGTTACTTTTAAAATGAGAATGAGGACCGATTAGTGACGAGCTAGTGTTTGAACTTGATCGCCTATCAAAACGTACCAATGATGAATTCAGTGATTAAATCGTACGTTTATAATCTCATGTTAATGATTTAATGATGTTGTATAACTCCCGCAGGTTGGTAGGTCCATGATAAAGCAGTCTGACGTTAAATGAAAGTGAGATACTAATGTTTACAGTCTATGAGATCCAATCATTAGAGAAAAACATCTATTATTTGAATACAGCTTGAATGGCCAGTTGCTGAACTTTACCTGAAGTGATAAAACATCGACAAATTAGTCATCAGTTACTTTCATGCGTTGTTACGGAAACTCTGCTCGATGTATATAATAAAAAGCAGGCGATATAAACTACTGTTAGGCAGAAAGAATTAGAAGATAAGCTGGGCTTTATTATCTTATGTGGGCATTACGTATTTTGCTGCTCTACTAAATGATGACCAACTTCAGTGTGTCCTTTATAGCTAAATTACTCGTTCCAGTAATACTGGAGAGTGCTGAAAACATACGTTACATAGGTTTACATACAGTCGATCATTTCTATTTATTCTTTACGGGTTATGACTTTTACGAATCCAAGGTACGGAAACCTACTGGAGTCGAAAAGTATGTTTGCATGCCCCACTTTTGCATCCCACTAAGATGTTTGTTTCAGTGCAGAACAATTTCGTACACATGACGATACCTTGGGTTGGTCTCAGAGACTCAGTACACTTAGATCAAAAAACCACTGCCCTAAGTTTCGTAAAAAGCTATGATAGATTACTTTTTATTCCCAATATTTATAACCTCACAGAAAATCCTAATGCTTCGGTGAACTTTTATGTTGACAATATAATACTATCTCGAATCAATAAACACGGAAAAGGCTCATTGGGGATCTCGAAAAGCTCAAAAATATAGAGCGACTTCATGCGAACCAACCAACACCCCTTAAGTGTGCCATCACGAGCGTCTGACAGAAGACGACTTGAACAGATTAACAGCTATGCTCTAGCATACTAGTTGTTACGTTAAAACTTTTGCTCGTTCCCGTTACTGAAGTACGGTTTATAGATCAATTTGCAATTTACGAACCCAAATTAACGATAGAACCAAACTACACTCCAGGTACCAAAGTTTATTCGCAATTTACAAATAGTCAACCCAAATGTCGTTCTTCAATTTTGTAGGTTCCCGGAGCAAAAACTCTCAAATGCCAGACCAAAGACGAAGAGGAACCAAGATGTCCGAATATGATGATATAAACAGCCACGTTCAGAAGTTGAGTAAAACAAACATATTCAAAAACACAGTGAAATTAAGAATATTTAACATAGAGGTTTTAATTAGCCAAATGTCCTCAGTTCCGTCGTAACACTAGTCCTGTGGTCTAACTTTTGTTATTATCATTGACATTTGTTTTCATTTATGCATTTCTGTTCTACTTTGACGTCTTCACCTTTTTTATTAATTACCATTACTCAAACTCTCCTGTCAAACCTTAGTATGAATGTACGGACGACTGTTTGACGAAATGTTAAGTGGTTGTCTTAGAAACCTTAATGTTCGAAAATAAGTAGACTCATCTGCTATCGATATTTACCAGTTCACAAAAGCTTTTAAAGTTCCGCAAGATTACCAAAATAGAGTCGTTAGATCAACACAAATAGATGCTATTGAACATCAGGACGCGATCCCATATAAGTCAATGTGCTCAGACTAGCGGGACTAGCCAAAACTGGAGTTTCCCAACTGCTAGGTCCTAATGGACCGACCAATAACGACGAGGACGCCGCTAACCTTTTGGCTGAACAATGATCTCGGATATTTCAGCCGACCCACATTCATCTGCAACTGCACAGGACTTTACGAAGTGAACGTGGGGGCTCACTTGGTGTACCGGAAACGCTGGCACCCAAGAAAAGACACTTCTCCAGGCCCGGATATGGTTCGTTCAGATACACTGAGGGAAGCAGCTTCAATCCTGGCAACACTGCCTAGCATGATGCTCTCACACTCTCTAAGCTAAGGCAAACTTCCGGAAATTCGTAAGCCGGCTCACATCAAACCAATTTTTGAAGGAGGTCGACGCGGAGAACCTTCAACTCACGGCCGGTGGCTCTCCTCTCTATACCTTCAAAAATCATGGGGTCACTGATATGCAACGGCATACATGACTATTTACTGTCCCTAAATTTCTTCTCACCCCAACAGCATGGTTTCAGGAAGGGTCATTCTTGCATAACCAACCTGCTGACCTCGGTGGACAGATGGACAACCATCCTTTATCGGAAGAGGAAGGTTGATATCATTTACCTTGATTTCTCAAAAGCTTTTGATAATGTAAACCATATATGTCTTATCAATAAGCTCAAACGATTGGGTATCAAATCACCTCTAATTGACTGGCTCATCTCATATCTAAAGAATCGACATTTTAAGGTAAGGGTTAGCTTCACTTTATCTGACGCTATGCAATTTTCCAGTGGGGTCCCCTAGGGCTCAGTACGAGGACCTTCTCTTTCCGGGACTTATATAAACGATCTATCACAGCAGCTATCGTCAGACGTATTACATTTTGCTGATGATGTGAAACTTTGGAGAGAGATACGTAACCAAGAGGATAATTTGGCACTTCGGAGGATGTTACTCGACTTCGAAGTTGGGCAGATGACAATTGACTTACTCTCAACACTTCATAGTGTAAAGTAGTTCATCTGAGACATGTTGCAGACTACAGTTATAGCTAAGGAAACTCCTCTATAGAAGTATCACAAGTTGAAAAAGATTAAGGAGTGCTGGTCACCTATGATTTGAAGTCTTGCACTAACTGTGACAAAAATGCTTCTCGAACAAACCTTGCACTGGTAATATTGAAGCACATGTTTGACCAGTTTGACGGAAAAACTTTCTACATGATCTTCAACAACTCCATTCGTCCCCATTTAGAGTACGGAAACATAGTATTTCCTCCCTCACTCCAAAAGGATAAGGACACTCTGGAGCGTATCCAATGGCGAGCTATGAAATCAGTTTGGGAACTCGAATTCAAGCCTTATGAAGAGCACCTTCAATCATTAAACCTTTATTCATTAGAGTACAGGGGTCTTAGAGGTGACCTTTTGATGCCTTGCATCATCCTTAACACTTCTGGACGTCCCCTTAAACATCTACTTAAGTTTAGCTTCAACACAAACCTTAAGGGTAACACTCAGAAACTGGATGGATAACACAGCGAAACAGACTGTAGACAGAACTTCTACTCCTTAAGATTTGTCAAATGCTGGGATTCCATGTTAGCTGAGCTAGTCAAAATGAGTTCCCAGGAGTCCTTCAAGAGGAAACTTTACCTATTCTTAAGGACTAAGGATAGTATCTTACTATGATTTGCCAATTTCTTTTTCTTTTATTATCGTTCATGTATCTAAATTTCTGCCTGGAGTTAATGATGACCCAAGTCTACCAGACACGGAAGCCCGTTAGCGAAAGCTTCTTCTACTCCGTCCACAACCATTTGAACCTTTTAAGGTATTGGATATTGTAAACATCCTCTAGGTCATCCTTAAGGTCAAATAACTTAAATGTAAGGTTGGTTTGGTTTTCGTACAATTGACTAACTGAGTCCTCCACAGAAATACGTGGCACATCGATAGTTACTTGTATCCTTCGTATATCAAGTTAATGTTACTACTAAGAACTGACTTCAACAACACATTGATCACTTCAGTGTTCACGTGGTCTAAATTAATGGTTACATTATTACACCATCATTACCACAGAGAAGAGTTGTTTTATGACCATAACGTTACTAGGCTTAGATATTGTCTCGTATCCAAATTTAGGACACCTACTTTGGGTGTTGTACGATTTATTACGAGTAGGAGAACGGAAAATAACCACTCTGAAATAATTTCTTTGATTTAAAAAAGGTGTTTTGATGATAGACCTGTATTTCATTGGTTTCAGAAAGGGTGTTTGTTAATAATAGCTAGCAATCGGTTCCAATACTACTCAAACCTATCGGGTACAGAGACATATGCCTTTAATGGTTATAGAGCATTTAATTTGTAAGATTACTGGTTATTTTGTTATCATGTTTTATAATATGACTATCCCAAAAAGTTCTGATATTTTCTAAAAATATTGATCTAAATTACTTTCAGGACGAATATACTACAATCCCATAATGTTAGGAGGTTCAAGTGACAGTTGCACTAACGAAATTACTCCTCAGCGACCCGTTGGTCCAGATTCAGAGTCCGTCGATCTTCCATGTGGCATTAAAAAACCTGTTATACAGTGAGTACACTTTACGGCATTTTATTCAAGGCGAGTCGTCTATCTGTTTGAACCACGGTTTATCCCATAGCTAACAATTAATATTAATTCCGTCATATTAAATATGTTGTCCTCAGGACTAACATAGGCCATCGAGCCTCCTGTCCTTCCCAAACTGAAACTGAAACTGAAACTCAATATAAGTCTTTATCCTTGAAACTGGGTACTTCTTGTCTTTATGATGTATCTAAGAGTCTCTCTGTCAACGAAATATTACTGGTAAATGTTAATTATGTGGTTATTCGGAATAATCTCATAACCGCTTACGTAAGTCCAATGTTTTACTTTTATTCAGTTCACTTCAACACATAAACAGCTGTCATGCAACCCATAGAGATAACATCAGTTTAGTTCGGTTTTTCATCAAAAGTACATGTGACCCTATGCACATTGTTATATCCGGACGAAGAATAAGTGAATGGTAACTGCTAGGATCCATTTATGGATTTCTATTTTATATATTCTTATTGTATAACTATCAAGTAACCATTTTTCATATATTTACATTCCTTTAATTATAAGCTTCCATTTGACTCATTCACTGTCATTATACGATTTATTACTCCTAAGTTATTCCCAATTTATTAGCCACAGTCACTTTTTTGTCTGATCTTATATAATTGTTATTTTATGTTTTATAGTATTATTATTTGAACACATATTGGTGCAAGAGGGCACCAGATACATACATACATACACAAATCAAATGGGCTTTGTGTGAAAGCTGTGATACTACCCAGATGCCCAAACCGAAACAGGTGGTTTTCTTAGGGGTTCACATCCGGAGCCTTCGACCTGAAGGTTTGATCCACAAGGCAGTGGAGCATCGTAAGGAGATCCAGTTCCATGGTAGCCGGTGACCAACGATCGGTTCATACGCCATTTATTCCCTCAGGGTACTGGAGCCCATGTGCACTATTGGTTTTAGAATCAGCGTTTTCCAGCTCCCCTAGGTGGACTCTCCATGTCCACCAACCAGGTTAAAGCGCCGGACATTCGTTTTTCGTCCTCTCAATTTCGTAAACAACACCCATGGTGCGAGAAGTTAGTGAGTAGGACTTCCCTGAGAGAGGCTGTATATGCGTGACCATGTGAGAGCGTTTCGAAAGGGAGAGCGGACCCTCCACACTCTCGGCCGTGCCAGGGCGTTTTGCGACTCGTGTATAAACTGCGTATGTCTGAAGTATATGGTTCATACAGTGAAAGCTGTGTTCCGGACTCAAACAGGCAGGGTTAGTCGGAAGAACTAATCAGAGTTGGCTCTGGGTTGTCCGTACTGGTTAACACGTCGTTGGTTTGTTACAGTATCAAGATCATAAAGTTGTTTTGATTGTCGTTTTTATCACCTGTTAAATCATCAGAGCATAGGAACATAACACAATTATTTATAGTATCATCTCGTCTGGTTGTTTGCTAAACAGGTATTAGTAAAACAGTTCAGAGGTGGATTTTTATTTTAAATCCTTCCGTACATATGAAATACCTAGCCAATTTGTCAGGTAATGGCTTCTTTATTTAGCTACGTGTCACATTTTACAAGAGTTGGAGATCCCACTTATCTGCCCAAAATGAAGTGAGTATAATGATGCTTGGAATTCTGAACTACAGATTGAAATCTTATTGCTGACTAGGAAGCCACTGCTACAGCCTTGTGTGAATTTAATTAAAATGAGATTATTCGAAATAAGCCAAGTCCACACCATTTAGTTGTAGCTCTTGTGTTACTAACCAAATGTAGGTACTTAGCTTAAAGCCGCCTCAAGGTCAGTGGGTTAGTGATTAATGCACTCGGTTTTCAACCAATAGGCCATAAGGTGAAACTTTACTGTTGTTTTGAACATCCAGGATGTATGATTTGTCCCAAACAAATACTCTGGCTCAAAGCTGAGGACCTGTACTCAGTAAATAACCTACTCTCAGAACCACATACCGCTTTATTTACATTTGTTTGGCCGTATATAGACATTTCTTTCCATAACCATCCTTTCGTACTATTACTAATACTGTTATTACTCCTACTACACTGGAATTAGTTTTGATAATCTTGCTGTGCCGTGGCATGGCAACAAACCGATAGATATATGCCAGGCTCTACGTTGCGTATGACTGACTAGTCCAAAGTATCATACAGTAAGCAGTTTACTGCTCATTATATCAAGGGTGTGTAAGTTTTGAGCTGGGTTTCTTTGTAATGCTTTTTATTTGCTACCAACTATACTTGCTTTTGTAACTTCGAATTATGTCAAATTAACTCGATTTATTATCTTGTTCTTATATCAATTGTTAGCAATATGGTTTCTACTGTGGATTTAGGATGTCCTATTGAGTTACGTAAATTGGTACTTCATGTCCGTAGTGCGGAATACAATCCACGCAGATTTCCTGGCGTTGTCATGCGTCTGCGTGAACCTCGTGTCACTTGTTTAGTGTTTGGAACTGGTCGCATGGTGTGTACTGGTGCACGTTCTGAATCAGATGCAAATTTAGGTTCTCGGAAATGTGCTCGTATACTACAAAGACTTGGGTTTGATGTAAGTTCATTAAATGCCAAGTTCCGTTGATTGTATGAATAAGACCGTTATTTGTAATCTAATAATTAAGTTTTACTCTTCACTTGTTTTGAGGTATATAATATAGGGCATATATTTATCAAGACAACTGTACCTTGTAGACGCGCTAAAGCTAGTTCATGAAGCTGTTCGCTTTGAAAGTCTGGTTTGCCTAAAGGTTATTTCAAAATTCTGTAGAAACTAAGAGTTACTGGGTGAATGCTCTACCGTGAAATAACTTTATAATGAAAATTTATAACAGGTGCACATAAATTATCTGTGCGATGTATTGACATTTTACTGGTTCCACCCCTAAAATCTGTCTACTTATCCCTAGGATGAGGATATAGAGTCTTAGTGTCCTGTGCTACATTGCATGACTAAAATATAACTATTGGATGCAGGTGACATATGTATTTTTAATTTTAATATCTGGACCATTTACACTGAGTGGAAAACTCGATACATAGTGCTTGGTAGAAGTAGAGAGATTACTCACTAATCGTTGTCAATCTAGGTGATTAGGTAATTTGGTACAAGTGATTAATTTAGTTGTGTTATCTACATACCAGTTCGGTGTACAAATCAGTAGATAACTATCAGTCATTCAACTGGTTTTTAATCTAGGTAAAATTCATGAACTTTACTATTCAAAATATGGTTGGTTTGGCTGATCTGAGATTTCCAATACGTCTGGAAGGTGTACAATTGGCCAACGAACAAATGACACAGTTAGTTTCTATGGGAATATTTCTTTTTTAATGAGTTTTTACTATTCAGTAATCTGTTGTTTGCTGTATTTCAATTCACTTATCCGTTATTTCCTAATTGGGAACAGTATTCGGTTCTAAAAGAACATTTTACTTGTTATAATGATTATAACTTGATTTCCCACTTGAAGACTCTCATTGACTTGAAATGAAAATATATTTATGTTTGGTAAAGAAGCATACAAAATTCAGTTTTCTGAATGCCTGGAGCAACAAATGAGTATTATTGAGAATGTACTTCTCACTTGGATGTAAAATGTTGACTTATAGTCACTCTACATTGATATCTGGTTTGGCATTATGAAATGGAGTAGTTGAACGCTTCAACTGCCTCATTTATCTTGGGACCCTCATTAACCGGAGTATAGGTACAAAGATTAATTACTCCCAGCCAACGATCTTTTTAGAACAGATAATACTCACGTTTGTCTGTCGGAGGGCGTCTGCTATACAAGATTTTGTCTTGTTATACTTAACGCTCCAGAGACATGACCTAAATGAGGTATTTGTTAAATAAAGGAGATCAATTGATGAGGCCATAAATTCTCACTAAGGTTGGTGATAAATGAGCTTAACCATTTTGTTTAAAATAGCAGCAGATTGACAGGAGCCTAAATGTAGCCAAACCTATACAGAATATGTTGATAAAGTCATTCACTGCTGATTTCGTAAAGGGCAATGCAGTTTCCTTGGATATGTAAGATAACCGTTATCCATATATGGAGACACCAAGTTATGTTGTTCAATATATTTTTTACCGTTGTATGGATAATCAAATATGTATCTGGTATTCTTGTATTTGGCTTCATTTTTTCCAGATATGAACCGGAAATATTTCCAGCCTTAATTTATCGTATAATAAAACCCCGTTTAGTAATGCTTATTTTTGTGAATGGAAAGATTGTTATGACAGGTAAGTGAACTGTATTCTCAATTATACAAAACTTTACTTAGAAAGTTATAATTTGAGACTTCTGTCTACCTAATAAGATTTGGGAATCCATGTAGCTTTCACACAATAGTCGTAGTAGACAACTTTTAGCTCTAGGTTGTTGAATTCATTTTTTTGTTTTACTTTGTAGGTGATGCAGATCCGTTTACTTTTTATCTCTCTCCATATTATGAGGTGTAGTAAATTCCTTCATGCATAAACTCCTATTCTGTCTTTTTGAACCATATTCTGAATGTTTAGTCTTTGTAATTATCATTGCTACTACATTATATCGATACCTTTTGCTATTCGTTTTTTTAATGTAATCACGTCATGTACGGCACTTTGACCTAGTACAAGTTTGTGCCAAGCTATAATTGGATGACTGATTGTAAGAACTCTGCATTCTTCATACATTATACTCTGAACAGATGCTGTGTTATACGTTTACTTGGAAATGATATTTGCATAAAATCTACAATCCCAAATCTGCTATCAGCAGGACTCTTTTATATGAAACTGCCAATCTTTTATGTGAAGGATATAGATATTGTTATCAGTTGATAAACCGTAGTAGAGGATAGATGACAAGAATCTGTACGTGAGGTTTGTCTGTTGAATCCTTTTTTATAAGCGTTTAAATGGGAACCCTTCGCTTTACCAAAAAAAATCAGAAAAGTAGATACAAAAATAGGGGATCATTCGCCGTAGTGCAAAATAAGAGATGGATTACTGAGATTAATTCCCAGCTGTATCATTGAATAATACTTAAGATGATTCCTCAGCAACGCGGATCTATGACCCCACCACAGGGGGTTGAACCCAGAACTGATCTAGTGCGCGATTATTTGACCTCTAGAGCAATGAGCCGATATCCAATGGTGTAAATTCCTCGTATTAAAATAAAACAACTGTCCAGTAGTCTAGCTAAAACCAGTTCATGATTTAAACAATAAAAATTTGAGGAATTCTTAAGCCACTAGTGATTTTCCAAATGCTAATCTTTTTTCACTGTTTCAAGTTGTTAGGTCCACCGAAATAACGCACCAGAGGTCGATTATAGACTAAAGATTATCATAACTTTTCGAAATACTTATATGCTAGTATATATTAGTAGTAAACGGTACTATAATAATTATCAACCTAGCTACACTGTCAACTCTTCCCACAGGCAAGAGTGCAAATGACCATTTCGTTATGGCGGGACAAATTAAAATTGTATCAGCTAATAAGGGAACAATTAAGTAATAATACATTTGTGATATCCCAATGGGCAAGAATCTAAATGCTCAATTTATTTTAAATTATCAAGTTAAACCTTGGTATTAATCCGTACGAAAAGAATAATTAGTCTAGGATTACCCAGTGGAATACGAGAAATTATTCAATAAAAAACTTAGCTACTCGTAAGTAATTTAGTTACAATAAATAGTCACAAAATTACTCTGACAGGCAAGTTTCCATAGAACTTTGAGTTGATGTTAAGCATTTATAACTCAAGATGCAGAATTTCCTTCATAAGGTTGTTCTGTTTAAAACGACATCAACTTCTTATAAAATACTCATTGGTTACCTCGATTGGATTACGTCGGCGTTTTGCGAACTTGAGATCTCTATTTGGCTCAAAATTCATCTTTTATAATATGGAATAATAATTTCTGACATTTTCACCAAGTAATTTCATCACAGTAATACTTTTTTATATTAATTTTATAGGTGCCAAATCACGTGAACATCTGTATGAAGCATTAAATAATGTTTATCCTATTTTATACAATTATCGTAAAATCAACTGACTAGTCATTTGCATATCTGGATGTTCTTTTGTAATATATATAATACACGATGTAAATAATTTCCTTTGATTAATTTTTATTCTTCACATGCCACCAATACTTACCGATGGAGCAAACCAACATCACAGTATTTCATAATATTTACTAGTAGACCTAGTTTTTAAAACGTTATTACTCAACTAACTTCAGGTCGCGATGACAGTTCTTATAATTACTGGTATATATATATATATATATAAATATATATATATATATATATATATATATATATATATATAGGCCGATTTCGAAATGGTTGAATTTCCAAGTGTGTAGAGCAGTTGTAGTAGACGACATGTCATAAAATGTGAAGCCCGTAGTTTTCGACAGTGCGCAATGTCCTAAATTATCATGATTTCAGACATCGTAGGTTATAATGTAGAACAGATATTCATATGTTGTCTTTGAAAGTCTCAGTTTTTCATTTCATTCAGATTATGAATAAAGAGTTAGACACTAACAGAGAACACATTCGAAAGTGATAAGTCTTATCGATCGAACGCTATAATCGTTTTCCTAAGCTATTCTGGTAACCCGCAGTCTAGAACTACACAGCGACTTGAACACCAGAGAGAAGACACAAGTATGAGAGAAAATACTTTATCCCAAGGTTCCTTTTTGTACAGAAAATCATAGGTATTTATAGATGTTGGCGTCTGTTGAATCAACATCATATTTCAGCCGATCCGTTAACGACATATTATGCTACCGACCAATAGTAGCACGCCACGTTGGAATTCTAGAACGTTCCATCATACTCTGATTGGCTAGGACCCTTCGGCTCTTTTTGGGGCTCTGGAAGCTCCGTTGAAGTTCTCCGGAAGCCGACTCAACAGAAAGATACACCATATCCAATTTTAGCTATTATCTTGATGTGGTGAGGACTTAGTAGAACTATATTGGTTGAAACACTCGTTCCCTTAGGTCTTACCATGCTAGGAGGGTCGATTGGAGAGTAGTATGACTAGAAGTAGGAACTTGGGATCCGAAGTTGAAGTACACTACTGAATGTACTGGGGTTTGACGAAAGTACAATGTTTCTGTCATAGCCGGAATCTCCGGGGGACGGTGGATCATTAAAACGGAAGGGGAGTTAGAAAAAGTTGAACCTACAAGTAACACCGCCTTGCCCCACGGATTTTCATCAATGTTAATGTCTGAGAAGTACGAATCTAAGGCATCAAAAACTACCCAACTCTTCTCTTTTAGCCTCATCGCTCTTCCACGAACCGATGCTAACGATTTAAGTTCGCAAAATCCTACTCCTAAAAATGCGCCCCGAACTACATATAAGGACTTCTAGTGTTCAAACCTTATGTCAACAACAGGCTTCATTAGCTAAAACTAGGATCTAACACATGTTCTGTCTCTGAATTGTCATACAACTTGAAGTTTAGCCATTAATTCGACTTCGCTTAGTCAATATGGGGGCGTGGCCAGGGTTTTCATCTGTCAAACAAAGGGCTGGTGTGCTCCTCACCGGTCCGCCCTATGTTTTTGAAACACGATAGATGGAACTAGAAGACATGAATGTTTTCGACTATAGATGTCTTTGAAAGACTCCTCAGGAATGTGGGCATTACCGAGTAGATGATGCTAAGATTAGAGGGAGAATAGTAGATTAAAGTACCAAGTTGGTTGATAGGATTGAGAGTCGTCAACTGTGGTGGCCTTGACACGTATTGTGTTCGGCTACTATAACCACAATGTGCGATTTTGGCCAGGGCGTAGGTAGGTAAGTTTTCTACCTTTAGATCATAAGTTCTAAAATTACTTCACACCTTTTATCCAGCGACTTCATTATTTTGCAGCATGTTATCTATCTTTGAACTCGTTCTTAACATCACTAGTACTGATACTACTTTAGTACTCATTTTATTAATTTCCTTACCTTATACTGTCGTGATGCAGCGACTTGATCCGGTGCACGTTTGTACTAGGTTCTAGCATTATTTATGAATAACTAAATATCACTGTTGAGTAGAACAATGTAGTAAAGCTAATCAAAGTAACTAACTGAAAAAACATTACTATTAACAAGAATCTCGGAATCTGTTCTCATACGTCTCAACAGTCTCAGTTATGGCGGGGCTATGACATACATTTAGTTTCTATCACAAAATAAAACTGCTTTCCACCTATTGTCATGGAAAAGTATGCTTACGCTTATATGTATATACATGATGGAATTTTGAGAAAGGTAGTTAATAAGGAAAAACTGCTAAATGCGTGCATAAATGTATTTAAATCAGAAAAATTCTATATTGAGTGATAGACAATTCTACTCTAATCTTATTCATTACAATTAATACACTGCATATATAAGAGAATAATTGTGTTCGCCAGAATAATAATAATGTTTGGAACAAAAAACTCAACTGAAACAGTTAGGACATCGTGTGACCAACAATAATAGTTATATATATATATATATATATATATATATATATATATATATATATATATATATATATGGAACAAATGATGGGAGTAGCTACATCTTTGTTATTTATTCTTTATAAGTATGATAGATATGCGGCGCGGGACGATAACACCGTCAGTAACAGGCAACATCAATTCGAATTTCAGAATTACAGTAAATTCTCAACTTGAACAACAGGTACAATCTCTCTATGTATAAATATATATATTAGTCATTCTTTGTTAATAGAAACTTAATCAGTGGAATTAGATTATTTGTTGCACATTGTCTCCAAGATACTTTCAATTCATTTAAACTTACATTTTCTAACAAGCCTAAAGTTTAATTAAAATTAGAGGGCAAGAGAAAAATATTATTTTATAAGATGAATAGGGCAAAATCCTTAACTTAAATATTGTAAAAAATATCTCAAACTGACTGAAGTCAAAAATGTTATTGATGGTTGTATTCTGATTGAGTAATCTGAATATGGTTGTTTTGAAACCTTACAATGAATAAGTACCATACAGGGAAAGAACATATATTCAGTGCTATGTGGTTTTTATTGATGCTTCAGCTGATGTTAAATCTCGATTACAATGACTTTTAGCTTCAAAATAAATCATGAATGGAGGGATTCATAAAAGCTTTTTTCCATAGGATCATTCAGAACACTGGTCTAGTGACAGTACAGTTATGGCCAATGTCGTGTTCATCGTTAGTGCTAGTTGAGTTTTAATAATCAATCTGGAGTCCGGCTACTGGTTCACGTGAATCGATATCGCATGAACTATGGTGTTAGTTTGTTGAATGACAGTGGCACGGATCCACCAGAAAACACTATTTCCCTTAAGATTTCAAGCACGCCTTGTTGGCGAATGCTGACTACCACGAAACCTAGGTCTGGAGTATCCTAATAACTACTTCCAATCACCTGAGGTAGTAGATTATGGACGACAGTAAACTGTCTAGGGAAATGTTATTTGGTTTTGCACGCAAACGCTTAATGTCAAATCAGAGTCAGGATCCAAAGGTGTGCGTGTCTGACTTCAATCAATCCATAATATTACGCGACTCCCATCCATTGCCTGTGATAAATAACTGTCAAACCCAACATGATTGAACCATACTCTTCACAGGCTTTTTATAAGAACTCCAGTAGTTACATCTCGAAGATAGTCACCGGCGAGCACATGATTATTATTAGTATGGGGTATTTGTGGAGATTGTAGAGTTTTCATAGTTTTAATCACAAACTGTTTTTATTTGGATCGCCAGTGAAAACCTGGAAGCGCTGGGCAACCTTCTCGTCCTAGTATGATCCAGAGGTTAAATGTTCACGAGCATGGCTAAAGGTCCTGGGCTGCGGGGTCGTGAATGAGTACTACTGAATAGTCCCGAACTAGGACTAAACGGGCTTCTATGTTTTAAGTCTAAAATCAGTTCGGGATTTGAACCGAGATTCCCCATATACCAGAAATATTTAGTAATTAATTTGTACGATAGTGGTGTATGTTCATTTTGAAGTAACGCAACGGAAACAATTATCTAAATATTAATGTAGATTAAAGCACAAACAGGGTAACTATGGCTGAGTTAAGCTATTATGAACAAACTCTTTTGCGCTCCATTTTACAAATGTTTAGTGCAAGGAAAGTCTCGCTTGCATAATGTCACTAAATACTTCACAAATCTCTCAACGTTTAGTTCATGTGTCATATGGTGTAAGCTATCCAGAAATTTATTGAACATCTCTTTCAATCGCTCCTTCATTTCACAACACATTGTAATTTGTTAACTGACAAAAATGCTCTTGTAATAGCATGGATAATATAAAATTTAATGAAGATTAAACATTCACATAAAAATCTTTGGTGAGACTATTATTTGTAGACGACTTTTGGGTGATACTAATTTGACCCTGAAAAAGATTCGACCACTTGCTAGAGTAAAACCAACATGAAGAATAAGGATTGGGATTTAGAGTTAAAAGTTCGGTTTAAGGTTTCTACCATGAAATAACATTCTCTACAATGGTCAAAATGTTATTCAGCTATATGAATAAATGAATTTTGAGCCAAAATCTAAATCTGATTGATCTGTCCATAACTTATAGTCCAGTTAAATCTTCAATTCGGATTTAATAAACAAGATAATAATAACAAACAATTTACCTGTAACATCTAAAAATTCCTCTACACTTGAAATTGTTAAAAGATTCTCTTCAAAATAAGCAAGTAGTTTTGGAGCTGCCTTCATCAAAGCTTCATCTGATGTACGAATGTACTGCGATAAAGAAACAGACCATGATGGTGATGTCTGACTAACACTACTACTACTACTTGATGTAACTGACTTCAATTTAGTTTCCATTGAACTTGTCAATGGAACATTCTATAGAGGAAAAGTAGAAATGAAAATCCAACACTCAGTTTATTTTATGATACCACTGGATATAACAGGAGAATAAAAATAATTCTCCGTTCGCCGTGCTATAGCATGCGATAATTAGATCAGTGACCGAGATTATGTTACCACTTACTCATCAGCATCTTTCTCATTTTATTTGACCTTAAACTAATATGTCTGGTGGGCCCAGACTATTAGATCTATACTAATGTTGGTGAACAATAAGGTGTGGGATATAATAATGAATAACGTGAATTTGTTTCTCATGAGATATATAGAGATCTCTGAGTTTTATACGAGGAAGTAGTTATGACATCCAACAATAAAGAAAATTAGATAAAAATGTGACATTTTGTTTGATTCAGATTAGCTTTACAAATTAACACAATTTACCTGGAATAAAAATATTAAATATACTTTATCTAAGACATTGATATAATCGGTTATAATTACGCTTAAATCACATCTGGATACCTGTGAAATATGCATAATCCTATCGTTTATTTATTCATGAAAGTATATGACCGCACTGACCGATGACCTGTCATGCTAATAAATAATTGAGAAATATGTGACTCTGTAAGATGTGAGTGTCTTTGATGATCATCGTTTATGTAAAACATTTAGCTCAATGTTCCATATATCGTTTTAATTTAGAATTATTATTCATCAGTGAGATAAAGAAATGTAAACACCACATTTTACAAAACACTGAATTACACCTAATGATATGTCCGCTCCACCAAATAATAGCCATTCGAAGTAAATAGAAATCAACCACCGAAATTTCTTAAATTTAAATCACAGTATTTCTTCTTTTTTAAACAAATCAGTCGTGTTACGTCTCGGAGATGTTTAAAAAAAATCTTTGGCAAAGGATTATGGTTTCCTCCGTTTGCATCATTTAGAAGCGATAAGAGATAAAAGTATGGAATTTTCTGTCTTCTTACACATTAAAAACAAGCCTAATGAAGGTCAATTTCACCCTTATCAATAGATTAATATTTGAAAGTTAAAAGGCATTTAGCGTTAAGCTTATCGTCCGTCATAATACTAATAATAAACCAATACCAAAAAGTTAGATCAATGTGAAGAACTCTCCATTCACTCATTAAGATACATACTAATTTGTATATACACTAAAATACCATTATTGTATCATAACATCAAATTGTTTCAGTCAGTAAAAGTGAACACAATTGACAAGAAAAAGACAACAGCAATTACAAACGCATACACAACGTGAAGTGATTTCGAAAAAAAACCTACCTTAAATAAATATTCATAAATAGAATCGATTAGACCAAAGTAGATTAAATATGGTTTAATCAGCGTAAATTGACTATCGACAGTACTGGTTGAACACGTTACATTATTTGAACGTCCCACAGCCATATACAATAGACTATGTAATAAAGTCGCCCGATGATTATGCCATTCATCACGTGACCATAGATGTAAAGCCGCCACTAGACGATATAGGGGCCCGGTAGTAATCCAACACTTATCCGATTTCGCCCAACTATTTGTGTTAGAAAAAGAAAATAATAGGAGAATAATTATTTTGAGAACAAACAACGCATTTAGCTTTTTTTGTGCATCGATTCAATCTAGGATTCATATGAAGACACCTATGAAGCTGTCGAGTCAATGAAATAACATAGAACTCAGGTCAAATCATTAAGTCATGTTCAAGGTGTAACTCAACTGATGATCAAACGTTGGATTGTTTATCCCAATAATGGCCGTCGTATAATAATTAAGCAACTAGGAACTTAAAAGCTGGTAAATCCACCAGACCTAGTTGAACTCTGCTAACATCGTCATGGGTTTCCGTTTTCCATTCAACATAACCTTGCGCGATTATCAAGTTAGGGCGGCCGAAAATAATTAATCATTAGTTTGTGCAGTAATCATACACGGATACGTAAGTTTAGTGGTTAGACTTTTCCATTTAATTGTACCGTTAGTTGGGGTGATATTTACATACTCTTAATTACTCCTGTTACCCCTCATGGAGGAGCATAGACCGCCCGGCATCACTCTCCATCCAGCCCTGTTCTGGGCAATCCTTTCCAGTTCTTTCCAGATGCTATTCATTCTTTTCATGTCTGCTTTCAATTCCCGGCGTAGTGTCCTTCGGCCTCCCTCTTTTCCGTCTCCCTTCAGTATTCCAAGTTAGCGCTTGCCTTGTGATGCAGGTAGGTGATTTCCGTAATGTCCTACTCACTTCTAACGTCTTTTCCTAATTTCCTCTTCAGATGGAAGCTGGCTTATCCTCTCCCACAGTAGGCTGTTGCTGATGGTATCCGGCCAACGGATATTGAGGATCTTGCGTAGACAACTATTTATAGATATTTGTGGTGTTGTGGTAGTTCTCGAAGTCTCAGCTCTGTACAGTACGACTGTTTTGACGTTCGTATTGAAGATTCTGCCTTGATATTGGTTGAGAGTTGTTTTGAGTTCCATATATTCTTTAATTGTAGGAATGCGGCCCTTGCTTTGCCGATCATTGCTTTTACGTCTGTATCCGATCCTCCTCGTCCGTTGATGATGCTGTTCAGATACATAAATGCTTCCACCTGTTCCAGAGCTTCTCCATCAAGTGTGATTGGATTGGTGTTCTCCTTGTTGTATTTAAGGATCTTGCTTTTTCCTTTATGTATGTTGAAGCTAACTGATGCAGCGGCTACATACTCTTAACATCAGAATAGTACCTCCCAGAGAGCCATATTTCCTGTTTTATACGTGATAGATTAGTGATAACGATTGGATGTTTGAACTAATGATCTTAATAAACTTATGAGGAATATCATCATACTATTTATATAACGACTGTGAAATGATACTTTTAAAGGCGACCAACCAATTAATCTACTGAATTCTCTCATGAAATACAGAATGGTATAGTAAAATAAATACCATGATTTTACTTTTATGTTTTACAAAGTAATGTGAATTTCAATATCGCTTTACTAATTGTTATAAGATCAACTGTAACATTACAGTAAAGCCTAGATCTTATCATACAATATTTGGTGACATAAAAAGTAAACAAAGCGCATGAAAGCATGAAATAAGGATAACTTACTAAGAGCCAGGGACTTCAGTAAACTGTTTTAAAGCCTCCAATTCTTGTTCAACATGAGAGCTCATTAACAATGAATGTAAATAAACCTATATACAATAACAATTTGTCATTTATCTAGAACTTCAAATAAGAACTATGGAAAATACATATTTTTGAAATAAACAAAAATGGAAACTTAGTCCAAGTTTACAGCAAAAAAGACTCAACTCTGTAGAATACAGATGGACAAAAATAGTCAACCAATTAACCAGAACATCATATGACTGTCTCAGATCAGTGCATTTTGAAGGAATCCATAAAAAATGCAATAGGATTCCTACCGAAAATAAGACTCCATCCAAATCAAACACTTGTCATAGATCTCGTTATTCCTAAACTGCTCCAACTTTCGTTCATTTTTGTATGAGAACAGTTTAAGACTAAAAACCAATACATTAAAATGTCTTGGTTTATTTTCTTTAACAACTATTCCAGTTTAAACACCAACTGTTTCCTTCTGGTAATTTTACTATCACGATGGCCAGAAGTGGACAACCGTTAAAAATACAAAAATGACCAAGCGTTTAATGATATCTCAAACATACTATTCACAGCCAAAAATAGAGAACCACAGTAAAGCTAAGCAACACTCGATTCCACTAAATTAAAAAGTCACTCTCAGTGAATTCAGAGTAGAAATCAATAAAGCAAAACGAAATAACATATTTAACAGTCAGAAGTTAGGTGAGCCTGTTTGTCCACACTCTACTGAGAAATGAAAAGGGAACTAGAATGGTAACTGGTAATATTTTCCTCCCTGTCTCTCCTTCGCAAAAATGAGGACCAATTACATTGAGATTTATGGATCACATGTATTATTGTTCGGCGAAAAAAATAACATGGTAGTTAGGCTGGTAGTAAACGTTTGGGGAATGAAAATGAATAGCAGCTAGCGCTTGTTGATTAAAACGCTTTCTAATACTCGTATATCAAATCAATATAAGAGAGCACTCTTCACTATCACTGAATAAAACTATTATGATGATACAAAATGAAAGGGAGTTTAATAACAATACATTCTGATCAAAGTGTTCTTTTGGTTCACTATATAGGTGACACTGTTGAACACTGACTAATATTTGTGTTGAGAAAAGTGTAGTTCGAAGAAATGTTGGAGTCTCATTTATATCAATGAGAGCTACGAATGAAAATTGGATATCGTATACAGACGTTGAAATGCCAGAAATGATCAAGATAATCACATCTTTAAGTTACGAAATTAAGCATAACAGCTTACGACCACTGGACTTAACGAATACCCTGACAATACAATTAATGAAAATACAAACTGTATTTACTTACTTGCATCAAATGTGGCAGTAATTGGATATTGCTTTCTTTACCACCCCCACCAGTTTCAACAGTGAATGTTCGATTACAGGCGAAACGTAATAAAAGCAATTTTATATCATGTAAAGCCATTACATAACCAGGACATATACTGAGTTTATGCTGTAAGGAGGATCAGAAACGAATAATATTAAATGGAGCAAACACATAATAATAAAAATCACATTATGAAAACAGCTCAAATTAATGGTCTAAAAAGTTTCATGCTTGCAACATGATGTGATACTCTTAGATTTGGTGGTCAATGACCCACATTGGTGAGGAGTCTCAAACCAGAGGGAAACGATTGCTTTGTGCTCCTAAACGTTTAAGGATTTTTTAGGTGAAGTTAATCTGAGACAAAAAACTGTCTTAAAGTTACACCAATCTTTGCAAATTATTTTACTACACACGCATACTCAAAGGATTCACAATTGATTGATCAGTGAGTAGTGATGAATATTATACTCATACAGTCCTTTGGTGTTTACCAATCTGGAATGTGGCAAATAATCTAATTTATTCAATATCGAATGCATTATGTTGAGATGTTAGCGAGAAACCCTGAACCTAAACTTTGTACTAGTTGGCACTCGTCAGCAAAGTATATCTATAATCTTGGAGAAACATGTTTTTAACCTGGAACTTAATCGATAGAATCTGATCAGCACTAAAAATCTAAACAAAAATGATATCGGTCAATACTTATTGGTCGATCAATAGTAAATATCTCAGTCTTACAAGTTAGTCGCGACCCGAATAGCTATAGATCAGTAGTAACGCATTAGACTGTGAAGCTAGGTGACGCGGAATCGGATATACCAGGGAGCACTAGTCCTCTTCAGATTGCAGTTATACCTTGCTAATAAATATCAACTAGCACGGAACCAAGGTCAAACAGGATCTCCTGTTGACTATCACCAACCATTTAACACATTAAAAGATTCGCTGGCTTCAAATGCACGGATTTCTGGAAGAAAGGATTTGTGTCCACCTAAATCACTATTCAGTCACTCAGATAATGCAGTGAAACAAACGCTAATCGATGGTTTCCTGATATTGATATAAAATATTAAAAAAGTGAATAACTGTTATCGTAAAAATATCTCTCATTAGAGTACAACGAATATTTAGCGCAAATTTGTTTAGTGTAGTCCTGTTTTGTTTACTTTATATGTAGCTGAAATTTTGGAAAATGGTGTCACCGCATGTTAAAGTGAATAACTGAAAGTTGCTTAAGTAGTACGCTACACTATGAAACATCTTATTTTTCTCAACCGAGGTACACATGAAACAAAAGTGATCGCATAATTAACTGAAAAACAAACGTATAGGAAGAAATTCAAATCAGTAAAGGACGAAGAAAGGTAACTGATAAATTCCTCCCAGATGACCTCTGATTAGTTCGTGAGTGAAAACAAACATGTTTGTCATATAGCATATCTTCATTGTCATTTGTACATCTGTCACAACATACTCCTGTTTCGGTCATTATCTGGTTCTTAGACGAATGGTCGGATAATTGAGTATGAATGTATTATGTAATTAGGTAATAGTAATACTCTAACAATAATGTAAGGGGGAGCAAACGAATGCTTACCATAATGAAATCCATGAAATTGGCTAAATGTCCAGCATAAACAGTGTCGGGAGCTTGTTGTTGTTGTTTTATAGTTTTTGATGAAGCCGCCTTACTATCAGACGATGATGTTGTAGTACTACTAGAAGTAGAACTTGGAGCAGCAGAACTACTGGTTGGTGGGTTCAATATTGGTAAAATGTTATTACAGCCAACATCCCAGTTATGTCGTTGAGCTACTGTCCATTCATTCTCTGATGAAGCTTTATATGACTAGAAAAATAATAATATGCGATAAATCAAAACACAATTCGTAATTTACAATATTACTACTGATAGATTTATTTTATTAACTAGAACTGTTGGTATACACTTATTTAGATTACATGCTGACAAAAGCCTTCAGCTCATCAATGTACACATATATGTAGAATGATAAGTACGAAAAAAACGTTCCAACGTTTAGCTCACACAACGTATCTAGTGAAATTCCAGTGACACGTTGAGAGGCTATGGGAGGTTTTAAGTTCAGTTCCAAATACGGTCGTGGACATGCACTACTGAGGAACCCCATAGTAGAACGAAACAACTCACTAGTGTCTCTTTACTTTCAAAAGTTGTCGAAATAAAGTTACCGAAAACCCTACACACATATGATCGAATCTCACACATAGAGTAGTGGTCAATAGTACAATGGTTAATAATTTCCTATTTCAATCAATTTATTATACGCGATGGTTATAGTTCAGTGTTATCAGTTCTACACCACATAAGCTGCATCGTTTGCAATGGTTTGTTAGCTAGTATCGATTCGTGATGAAATTAATTTTCAAACTAATCAAATCTATATAAGGAACCGTGTTCATTGAATAATTTATAACTATGTCATCAACTGATTTTATATGAGAAAGAAATATAACTACTCAATACTAAACGGACGGATCGCTATTGGCTTCTATTCCAAACTGTTACTGACACAATCTCAAGCTGCTGAATTGTTCTATTGTCAGGGGGTTCAACTGGGAGATCATGGTGAAACAACAAGTGCTAGTCCTGCTCTAAAGTTGTCTGTTATACCACAGGAACATATTCTAAACTGACAAACCCTTTCCCTTTTTTCATCCACTCATAGCGTCGGCAAACGATAAATGGTGAAATTCGTAAAATATTGTTTTTCAAAAAACAACTAGGAATACGTTACGTCCACTTACCTTTGTATGACATGAAAAATGTACAGTTACGAAATTTGATAAAGTTGAATAACCATCAGGAATGTTTGACGGTGGATTGGTGAAATTAATCGCCGGTTCGCAACCTGTTATATAAATATTTTCTTCTAACACACACCGACGAACATATACATAGATACCTAATGCTTCATTTGGAGCAATACGTAGCCCTTCATGACAGATAACACATGATAAACCTGTTTCTTCTTGAACAACTGCAGTCATTTTATTAAGTCTATCTGTTTCCACCATGGCAACCTACAAATGAAACGAAATGTTAAAAAGGCAAATATTTAAACAACAAAAGTACATTTAGTCTCCGTTGAAAATCTGTAGACTTATGAAATCATTACAGCTGCACGAATATATGGCGGTTTTACAATAAATATTGTGTTCAACAATCAGGTGAGGGATTGTATTACTACAGTATTATGATCAACCAAAATCCCACTGTCTTAGTACTAGGTCAAAGACCCTTATGGTAAAAAATATTTTGGAAATATGTGTTATTCGGTGCAATCCCTGAGATACCTGAAGACCCTTAGTTCGATTTCTGGAGACATCATGGGTGTGAACTGTTGAGGAACCTAATATTAAGACGAGACGGTTGTTCAATACAAGCTTGTTTTTTTATGTTATCTCAACTGGAGTAAATCTGTGACGAATATCAGCTACGAATTTAATCAATCTCTATGAAACTCCTTTAAAAGCACTCATTAAAATTATTTTCTCATGATGTTTGTAAATGAAACATCATCATTTCAAACAGTTACTTTATACATATCCTATTCGCGAGATCAGGCTATCTCAGTAGAAATAATTGGTTCAAGAATAGTGTGAACATTAAAACCTAGATGTACTTAATAATTTTTCAACAGAATCAGGGAAGTCACAGCAAATTCAATGATGACATCAAATTTATGATCAATCTTCCTATTAGTAAATGTACACATTCAAATAACTAGATCTTATTTCAAGGGGCCTACTGTAGAGTTATGGCTACGTACATTGAAGATTTTAGTCCTACTCCATTTGTTGTAATTTATGGATTTTCCGTGCTAATCATAACTTTATATCATTTTGAAATAGAACTCGGTAATCAAAAGCCAAATTGTTCTTTAAATGATTTTATTTGGTCATAATACTAATAGACTACTAAAAAAAGTAAATGATTGACTGATAAAATGTAATTGCTGAACGTTTGCTTTGTAAAGCCAAAAAACAAGATAAACATCAAGAATAAGCAACGTAGAACTTAGCACATGCGTTTCGAATAAAACAACGACACCACAATGACATAGTGGGATGGAATTATCATGAAAAAAGGAGTATTATTATTATTATTATTATTATTATTAATAGTAAAAAAGACAAGGCATATAAAAAAAGTAGAACGATATTTCGAGACTCAGGTCCCAAGGGTAGACAAAGCCTGGATGCAACTACGCATTGCAGACGATTTTAAACCATTTCGTACGGTTTCTAATCATTGGTGGTGATTATCACGTGGATCACGACCAAGTAGTCTAGATCTATTTACATAGTTCAGTCAGGTTGTCAGTGACTTCATGTAGTGGTTCCGTATCTTGATTTGGCAACGCCCAGCTTTCTTCCAGCTTATTTCTACATCAGACAGCATCGCCCATTGAGCGTAAATAAAACGCCCCCAACTACTTTATTCGATGAAGATTCACTACCTTGTCAGTCAAATTGTCACCTCCAGTCAAGTACTCTATGTCTAACCTGAGCAATGCTTTCTTAGTGGTCTCCAAAATACAGAAGCTACAATTGTAATGCATCTTGGTGGACATCAAGAATTACTTCTTATATTTCTTTTATTTGTAGATATATTAGAATAAAAATTAAAGACAAACAAACAACCTTACTTGTCCTTTTTCATTAACACGCATATTGAGACTACGTAAACGTTTTTCACGCATATTCTGTGCTAATGAACGTGTACGTCGAAGTGTTGCATCACGAAGGTTATGAATAACTTGACCAATTGTAGTAGTAGAGTTTTTCATAGATACATTAATTTTATTATTGTCTTCTTTATTGGCCCAATCATTTAACATATCTTCAGCTAAAAGACCAACACGCCCAGATAATTTACTAGTTTCTAATTGATGAAACAAACAAAGTAGCTGATATGCTTCAATTCGGCGTCGACCTGTCTCAACCAAACATTCAGGTTGACTTAAAATTGTTGCCTCTTGATCTCCATCAACACAAACGTGTAATAATTGTAATACATATGGTAATGAAGGCTCAGATAAGAATTTAGTAACTTCAGGATCAGTTGTACTAATAAAGAAAATAATATGATAAAAGAATATATGAGCACTTCATAAATCATTCTATCAATAGTTTATATATAATGAAAGAGTTTACATGTATTATGTCAATTAGAACTGTGATATGAGGTTAAATGGTTAATGATTTTCAACTGCAGTAAATTTACGATGCAGTATGAAAGTCTTCTTTGATCCAAACTCTATTTGTTCAGCGAATGATTCACAACTATCTAGCTCTGTAACTAACAATACAGTCCTCTGTGTATGTGTGTGTGTGAGAGAGAGAGAGAAACACTAAAAATTATACTATTCAACTATACACCTCTCATAGGTCAAAGTCAGTCAGTCAGCAACAATGTAGAACTTCGTACGTACGTACATCAGTTCGAATTGCCATACCACATTAGCACAAAGATGCAGTTGTCGATTCAAATCCCGTAGTGGTAGAGGTAGTAAGAGTTTAAGCAGTAATCGGAAAGATTAGGGTTTGAAGATGTTATTCAAGAAGTATAATCCAGTGAAATAAGTTTGGAAAGAGAAAAAAAGAAAGGGATATGAAGAATTCAGAAGATTAGAATTCGGGTGAACACAAAGAGTGGATGCACCTGTGCCCACCATTGCAAACGATTCTGAGCCATGTCATTCAAGGTCTCTAACCATCGGTTTCTATCGTCTCGCGGATCCCAACCAGGTAGTCTACATCTACCAACATGGCTCAGTCCACTTGTCAGTGATTTCATGGATTTGTGCCATGTTTTGGTCTGGCCGCCATTAGCTTTCTTCCAACCTACTCTTACATCAAAGTAAATAATGTTTTGTAGTTATACCAACTACTATTACATAATTGAACTGTGTTTCGTGCATAAACCGGATTACTGGAAGATAAAAAACATATTTGACTTCAAATTCACATACAGAAATGATAGTGCAATTACACAAAGTTAAATTTCAAAAAAAAGAGTGATAGACAACTTCAAACTTTGAAGAATATGAATCTGTAGTTAAAAAAGCACAGTAGATTTATTTAATAAAAGGACGATTCACAATTACCCTCCTTAAGTAAAATTCAATGATCTAATTTCTAAGTAAAAGCATTTGTTATAATTAACATTTCAATGTATTTTACAAAATTAACATGACAAAAAATAACATACTTGGACATTGAACTAGTAGTGGTTGTAGATAATGATTCATCAAAATTATTATTAGTATTATCTATACAAGATAATGGATATGTAGACCATAAGAAATGTAGACTAGTTTGTAAAAGCATTGCATTCTGTTTTACTTTTCGTTTAAATAATGCACCATTATAACTAGATTTTGGTATAGCAAATAATAATGAACAACAACAGTCCAATAGAGCCACTTCAAATGTATTAAATTGAGCTGATGGTCTAAAAAAACAGAAAACAAGAAAAAACACTACTCTTTGGTAAAATTCTCAGACTGGGATACCTTTTCAAGTAATAGTCTCATGGATGTCATTGACATATTCTATCTGATCACTAACTCTTGTTTAGATTCGTGCGCACATCTTAAACCGTATAGGTTTAGTAAACCTAATGAATTACTTATACCAATAAAATATCGTAATAAATTAAGATGCCTACAGAAATGTTACTTTAAGTCAAACGATTTCAGGGCACTTGCACCAGTAAATATAATTTTTTAACCAAAGTAAAGAAAAAAATAGGTTAAAACCATTGATGAGGGGTCGTTAGAGCTTAATAGTATCTCAAAAATACAAAACTTAATTCTCTTTTTCAATAAACACGTTAGAGAAACTCAAAATAGAGATATACCATGCATCCTGCATAAGGGCACTTTTATTAACGGCTCTAAAACCATTACAAACCTTTCGGGCGGTATTTTTGCGAATGATAATGAAGTCCTAGATGGCGCCGTTTCAAAAGTCATGTATATGACTAGTAAGTCAATAAAATTTATTTCTTTTACTTAAGAATTAGTTAGCTATAAGCTCCCTAAAGGTTTCGAAAAGTCATGCAGTAGACGGAATATCATCCTTTCTATATAAATATGGTGGATCTAAAACCGTTTAATCGCTCTCTTTCTCTCTACAGACAGGTACTTACCCTCAGCGCTTGAAAACCGCATATATCATACCATGTTACAAATCTGCAGATAAGACATGCATGAACAATTATAACATATGAAATTCTATCGAAAAGTTATTTGGAAGAAAAATCATAAAATGAAAAAAGTGTGGAAAGTATTTAACTGCTGAGGAAAAATGTCCAGCTATTTGTCGAAGTTCATTTAGTCATCTCAGACGTTGGAATTCGCATTTTTAAAAACTCCCCATCTAACGGCTAAAACACGAAACCATGAACAAATAACTTTTGTATATGTTGACTCGTTCTTCGTGTCGTCCAGAGGGAAAATATCTACACGACGCTATCACACAAAAGAGAGCCTAAATCCACAATGTTTAAACAAAGGTTGAAAACAGTTATAGATGAGATATATTACACAGTCAAGTTTATTGTCACTAGCATTCAGATAAACCACAATATCGCATATATAATTACTGGACGAATATCACAATGAATTAGAACACAGTTTTGCGACCTTAGTAAACATTTATCTGTTGAACTACTATTGTTGAATCAAATCATTGAACATACACTCACTTTAACTGATCTAAATTAATTTTTAAAAAGTCAATTATTGCATCCATTTTCTCTTCATCAGAAAATGTCATCAGACCAAGTAGACGTGCGACATCCACACTAATATTTGGTATATTCGGGTGAGTTGTGATAAAATTCAAAAGGAATTTAATTGAATTCAAATCAATTGAATTCATAAAATCTTTGAAAATAAAAGAATTTCGAGAGAAAAATAGAGGAGAATGGCATGTTTAAAAAGTTGTGCAAGCAGATAAAAGGATAGTTATTGCAATAACATATACAATAATAAAATATAAATACAAGCAGATTGATTTAGGAGTCAATCAGAGTACTTCTGAAAGAATGACACAAATAAGTTTCTACATGCATTCTCTTCTTGTGTTTTACTGTTAACAATCGCTTAAAAGTTCATGTATTTCGTCATTGGTACACGTTCTTTCAGTGGCGTGACAGTTAAGATCAATTTACATATAGTGAAAGCTAGAGTAACTTATCCCAATGTGTACCAACCTTCGTGTATCTGTAAAAGTTTGAGTTTACAAAGGGTCAGTCAGAGCATATCTGCCTTAAATTTGTGAAACCTGACCCTGGGCTAAGAATGACAGGATACTTTTTGTGTTATGTTGTCGTTGTCTTATAGTAAATCCTGACACATACTGACAAAACCATGCAAGTAATTTCAACGTCCAGTGACATATATTCGGGCGAAGGTAAGTATCACTATTTTGAAACGGTAACTTCGGTGGTTCAGACAAGTTTTGTGAATGTTGTTTCAGTGGCTTCCAAACTCTGCATTATTTACCGATGCCAGGACTGGTTAGAAAAAGCAGAGACATGATCAGTTTATGCTAAGGACTTATATGCTGGGTAGGATTGGCAACTGTAGATCCATCACGACCACCCAGTTTCAGTACTAGAGATGGAGTAACTCCGTGGTTTACAATGTTCTCAGAAATGTCTTAGAATAGATGCTAGTAAGGATCTTGTTGTGGCCTCTGAAGAGTACGAAGATTGGATTTATAATCTACAAATAAGATGATTGGTCAATTAGCCAGGATCAGCATAATTTGGTTAGCATCTCATTCCCACTTTTGATAAATTAATTACAATCTGTAATCTATATAATAAGGCATAGTGAATATGAACGACTTGTGAGAAACTACAGACGATAAATGCAAAGTACATTAAAAAGACAGAGAGATGGGTGGGTATCTATGACATTCTTGTTTACAAAGAATCAGTAGTGGTTTAAATTCAATAATCCACATTCCTCACGACATTTGATTTCCGATATAATGAGTAAAGAACTAATTCATTATTGACATGGTTAGATTTCACCAGTCACAACTTGCTTGTTTTGTTTAATTTAGTGAAGATAGAGACCGATCAGTGAATGAAACCAAACTGATTTCCATATCGTTATTATTATTAACCATAAATAATTACTGTAAATTCACTAACCTGATTGAGACAGTTCACAAGAAGAACTCATAACATTTAATTTGTTATCGACTAATTCAAGGAATGATTTCAATACAGTAAGTAGACGTTTGGTTATATCTTCAACAATATCTGTTGATTGATGAGGATGACGAGATTTCTGTTGGTTTGATTGAAGACAAATGATAAGAGTATGGAGTAATCTAGGTACAGCTCTACAATCAATGAGAGAAAATGAAAAAAAGTCAGTAAAAGGTTTGAGGCAAAACATATTTTATTCTCTTTCTTGATTAACGAAATGATACAACACAGTAGTGACAAGATTTTTGGTTCAACGTATGGACATCGACTTTCTAATAACATCTTAGTTCTTGAAAAAAACCCAGAAGATATGAAAGAAACCTTGTTTTAAGGGTTAGCCAATGCACTAAAAAATAGGGCACTTGTAGGTTAACATGTGGCCTTGAGAGTCTATAAGCATGCTAAACTAAGAAGGAAATCGGTAAGTATTCAATTTGGTTCTAAAACTTCTGTTTCATTGATTTAAAATACAAACGTTTGCGTTTTCAATCTGGAATCACGAACCGAAAATCTATATTCCTTAGAATGAGCCTTTACTATTCTCTCATTTATTCCATAACCATTTTAATGTTAATTTATTATCTGTTCTCTATGGTTATCATGCGCAAACATCATGTACACACTGGTTGTATGGAGTTTTAGTCTTTGCACAACGATAAGTAAAAGAGTTCTTCCAAAAGACCCATTTTCCATTTTCTTTTAGTGGGTGGTATTGGGGAAAAAAACAATTAAAGTGTATTGGTTGCATAACAGTAGTAGAGTGACAAGTGGATTCATTAAAGTAAGTTGATAATTTGAAAGGTCAAGATCGTATCAACCAGAAAAAAATAAGGTTATCAATTATATGTGAAATACCCCGTAAGGTTTCACAGTATCTTTTAACTGAAATTTCGTACGAAATTAATTACTCAGGGTCCTCAAGAGCATAGGAGAAAGGATCAATATTCAGATATTCTGCAGAAAAAAGAAGTAAAAATAAGAATTTTCCAGTGGACATAAAAATACCGGTAGTTGGTAGAAAAACACAACAGTTCTGTGTAAATGCGTTAAAATCTGAACGAACATTGTGACAGAAACTGGGGGCTATATATTTATATCATCTTTCCATTTCTTTTTCCTTGAAGAAGCTCAGACCAATTTGCCAGGCAAAATGTTAGAATTATTTGAATTTTAATCGCTAAGATTTTTATAATTAATGACTGTGTAAAGTTGAAATCGGTCAACAAAATCAGTGAAACAAAATGAGGAACGTAAGCCAAGAAGAACAACTTACTTAATATCAGGATCAGTAAGACGTTCTATGCAAGCTGGTGTTTTTAAACAATACTCCAGTATATGAACAATCACATCAATCAAATCACGATCATGCAATGCATTCTGTGAACTAGCCAATCGTTTTAATAAATCACCTAATCCATGTGGATGTGTAACCAATACGGAGAGATGAGAATATCGTTCAGGTGGGATTTGTTCTGAAGATAAATTTTCGACATATGGTAGATTGTCAGCTTCTAGCCCAGGTATACGATATCGTAAACGCATGGGTTTATTAACCTGGAAAAAATATCATAATTTACGTAAACACTTGCAAAGAAATGGCTAAAATGACATTACGATAGAGAATTTTTTAATGCCAGCGATATTTTAATGGTCAACGTATTTTAATTTCCGAGATAGTTCACATCACGCACTGTCACTCAGACAGGTAGCCATAAGCGCAACTTATAATCTGGCACGTATGTGAATTAGTTTAAGTTACCATAACATATTAGCACAGCTAGATGAAACTATCAGGATAAATAGCACAGTAGTAAGGATAGTAGGGAACATCACACATCGACAATGTGGTTCAAGAAGAAAAAGACGAATTTGTGAGCTAAAAAGCGATAACTTTAAAACTCCGGAACTAAGAGAAAACAAGGTGACTGCAATTGCACCACTGCAAGCGATTCCGAGCTACGTCACATTACCAACGACAAGGTCTTCAAAGTACAAAGCCATCACATAAAGAAAAAAAGACAGTATTTGACCGGTTCCCAAATCATCAACTTTAGTCTCAATCCAGTTTCTTTTTCAGATAATTCAAGCAGGAGTATTCTTTCACAGTATGAACAATAGGAAAGTAACGCCTACATAAGCATCTCTAAAAGTATACAGGATTGTCTTGTTCACATCACGGACCAATTTAAGCTGAGACAACTAACGAGGACTAGGAAGTACTGAAATACTGATTTGTCCTCGTTTGGGACTCCCACCAAACAGTGCGCAACCACGAAATAAATATCATTCGAACCCAGAATCTTCAAGTCTCATGAGAAGCAGATTACCTTTAGACTACTTTGTTGACATCCGATCAATTACGTTAAATAAGGAATAGATGACAAAGGTGGGATTTCGATGACTATTCTAATATATATCGATTGGCGTTTCTTCTTTTTGATTCAGTAGGCTGGAGGCAGAAAGAAATTAGGATGGGCAGTTGGCGTCAGTATATTTAGTAAACACAACAGGTAAAGCGGTCACTAGTATTATTGGTGTAAGCAGACTTGTCATTAAAAGACTCAATAAACTGATGACCATGTTAAGTTAGCAGACTGAAGTTGAATTCAGAAGTCCAACTACAGTCAATTTAGTTTTTTTTTACCTTATCCGGATAATGAGTTTACAATAATAATGCTAAACAACAATCTGGAATGAATGCTTATAGAAGCCAGTAAAAAGCATTCACTTACATTATTTCGATTAGCGCACCATATTTGAGTGTAGACATCATGTAGACGTAATTGAGGCATAAGTATTGTCCTTCACACACTATTTCGAGTCGCATATCCGTTGTAAGATTATTAGAATCGCATATAAAATCAATCAGATTGTGTATACGTGGACCTAAACCTCGAGTATCAGACCTTTACAAACAGATAAAATAAAATAGAATAACCGGAAGAGATGACATGCATGGAGAGTAACAAAGTCGTTATCAAATAGAATATAATGGACAACTAACTCTACCTTATCTGAAATATCTTGTGATTGAGATTAGGTAAGGGGTTACGGAGATTGTTAATCACCGAACGATTGAGCTTATTTTGATATGAAGGGCTTCTGTGAACTTGGCACACAATAACTTTCACTGTTAATAATCCACACACTAATGGGAAACAAAAATGGGCCTTTCAGGATAGTCTCGTATTACGAACAGAAATCAAAAATTGAAAGGGAATAATTTTGTTGAGATAGTTATATGAGATTATCTTGGGACACAACAAAATTAGGGAACTAAAAATGACAACAACCAGTCGAATAACAATGAAGGTCATCGAAGAAATATGAGCTACATAATTGTCATAGAGGTTATCCTTCAAAGAAAGAACGAACAAAAAAATAGATAACTTGAGCTCTCTTTAGTACTAGCATAAACCCAGACTGCAATAAATGAAACAATAAAGTCACATCAAAAAATCTATATTAAAGGGAAGAACTAAAAAGGTAGTGGTAAAAAATTGCGATGAGATCTTCAACTACTCCAATATTGAGTTTATTGGTTAAGGTGTTCAACTTTCACCTACTAGGTCGTATGTTCGAGCTCCGTCTATTTGCTTAGGTTTAGGCAACCAGGTAGTATTACTATCCCTCACGTATAAAGTGTAGTTCAAACTCCGGTAAGCAAATGTCTATTTGATGAGTCGAGCCACCATTATTATAATTCTCAGGCAAATTCAATTTTCTAGCGTCAACATAGGTTTGGCAAACAATGAAAAGATCATCTGATAAATAACATCTAACTGAAATTTAAATAAAGAAAAAACTTACGAAACTCAAGGACTTCATAAGAAATCATCCCAAAAATACCTAATGGGTTCACGATATATACAATGAAGCAAAAACAAAATGACGACAATAACTTACGGCAAAATTTCAATTCTTGATCTAGCTAATAAGTAATCTTCATGTGGACGCCATACTTCTAATTTAATTTGGAAAACTGATTGGTCAGTATCTAAAGGACAGACTGGTGTACACAGACGTTGTAATAAATAAGTGGCAGATCGATGATCATCAATCGGATATTCAGATAAGACATCTAATACAGTCTGATATAAAGGGGGTAACAGAAAAAAGGAAATCCAGTATATATTGTGAGACTATACATATGTTCTCAAGGTAAATAATTAAGAAAACAAAACAAATAAAGCCGACAACTATTAGATATCTTTTTGGGTTTAAAATAATTATCACAACATTCTAGGAAAATGTTTTTTGACTAGTAGCGGAATCGACGACACGTGTTTCGTTTTGTATACTTCCGAACATTCTCTTCTATTTTATTTCGTTTATTTTCTTATTGTCAATCTTCTCAATTAACGGTACATTGTTGAATAAAGAAGTAAAGTCTAGAGATACCGTAAGTTTCCCGTCCAAATGCATGTTCTATACTGTTATATCTACAGTTCAGATGCTTGATATACCGCAAACTACTTGAGCACTCGAACCCTCCAGGTTCCAAATGAGAAGACAGGAAACGAGTGAGAAGTACAAAACTCCCATGTATTTACAGTTTTTATTAAAAACGAAATCATCATTACAGTCAACCAATCCGCATACAGTGGTTTCTAGAATTTGTCCAATAGGGAAGCTACATGTCGAGATTCTGGAATGTCTTCAGCCCTTTCTGAGCTTCTTAGAGCTTCCTTGAGTTCACATGTACCATAAAAAGGTGAAATCAAAAGAGCCTTTATTGTTTCTGATAATATTCAGAGAAGTTACGAGAATCAGACCAACCACATTCCAGTTTTATGGTATGGAGAATTATACAGAGACAAAACCAGGAGAAGAGAAAGTTCTGGAATGTGAACTTGGAGTAGAGTTGTAGTGTGTTTGATTCAGTAAGTTAAAAAAGCCCAGAAATAGCTGGTCCAACTAATCCCTAATGTTCCTTTTCTCTTGACGAAAAATTAGTCTAGAGCTTTTCCGATCTTACATCTTCATTCAGATTTCGTAAGATCGTTCAACAACGAGTTCATTTTGTCAATAGAATTTGTCCCATTCACTCAAATTAGCCCTTGTTGTTCGTTTGAATCACTCGTGATCGGAAGGTTATCTAATTGATGTATATAAGACGAGTTGATTTAAGTACGTTTATTGATTATTTATTTTTAAAAGCTACATCAATCTGGATTTTACCCATGATACATCTTTTATATATGGTAGGATATTCCATTCGTAGGTTTCATGATTAATTTGATAAGAACCTTTACAGAAGAACAATCATTTATAAAATTTTATCATTTTGTCAATACAATAATAACCTTTCTTAAAAAGCAAAAGAATAGTGTATATTTTTTACCAACTAAGAAAATACAATCATGAACTTACAGATAGAAATTCTTTAATTTGTATACCAGAAACACCAGTCAATTCAGCAAGCATAGAGTCAAATACAGTTTGAGCTTTAACAGTACAATCAGCACGTTGAAATACCAAATATCTTAATTGAGCACAAGCCGGTAATAAAACATGCAGCAACTGATTTTGTTGTGATCTTGTCAATTGCTTCTAAAAATAAAATTTTGTTATGAATGTGGCGAGTTATGAAAAATTCACTTAGTAATAATAACTATTATTATTATTATTATTATTATTATTATTATTATTATTATTATTATTATTATTAATAAAGGTATATGTTCGAGAACGGAACAACTTTAAGATTAACTATCTATCACCTAAACTTGAACTGTCTGTTCAAACATCTAAATCTATTCTGTTCACAACATTAACACAGAAAAATTGACCTAGACGACTTCACATTACAAATGTTATGTTTTTTACACCAAATTAAGGATACACCTTTGATCTGAAAAGCGTTGTCATTAGTATAATCAGATTTACTTTGGTTGTGCTAAATATTTTTCTATTTTCACAATTGAAATCACTAACTGATTTCAGCTAGACCCTCAATGAAAACCTGGGAGCACCAGGACGGTAATTCGTCTTAACATGGTACTCCTCAGCAATACGCACCCACGAACCCACACGCGGGAGTCAAACACAGAATCTTTGGTCCCGTGAAAGAATGCTTAACCGCAAAACCATCGAGCCGACGTCCAAAGGTGTCAATGTCTAACTTCAAACAATCCATAATCTTAAGCAACCCACATCCATTGCCTGCGGTAGGTAACTGTCTCACGCCTAACACTAATTGAAATCCACGAGTCACGCCTTCTCACTAGAAACCTAACAGTTGAATCATGAAGCTAATCATTAGTAATTGCATGATTGTTATAAGTATGGGGGACTTGTGGAGATTGTAATATTTTCATAGTTGTTCTTCTGTACTATTTGTACTAATTTAATTGCAGTTACTTATGTATCCTCTGAAGAAGCGATTTATGGTAAATAATGAAATGTCGAAATGCAATTTTCTACACAATGAGGTATTAATAATATATTACTATTTATTAATACAAAATTTAAGCACAATCATATGATACTTCCCATCAGTAAAACCAGGATTTAATGATAAATCAATGGAAAAACTCGATATGTTCAATACAAAATTTATCAACATCACAATTATATCCTTTGAAAAAATACAGTGTGGTTGTCTCCGAATTACTGATTGAAATACATCAAATTTAACTCATTACTTATAATAATAATAATAATAACTTACGAGTGGTTTGAGTACACTTAATAACTCTGCGACTAGAGCGATTGCATAACCAGGAGCACCTCCATTACATGAGCCAGAACCACTAATCGAACTTAATGTAGCAGACATTAATTCATTCCAATATCCGACAGGTACCGATTCAATACGAGTTATTTGAAGTAGTAATTTTCGCATTAAAATTCTTACATATTCTATAATATATTTATATATGAAGTAAATAATCCATGTAAATTAAAATACTCGACTGGTGAATGAAGGGGTGAAAGTGTGAGATATACATATATTAAAGATTGAAGAGTAAGATTAATGAATTTAAGATATTAGCCTCTTTAAATATATCCATTTCTGTCACTTTTATAACTGTGTTTAATAAACATACAGTTACATATCAACAGTCCCTGCTGTAAATACACTAAAATTCAATTTTTCTTCCTAACATCCGAATTCATGTTAGATGAAAAATGATACTGAATAACACATGGACAAATATTTCAAGTTGACGAAAAATAATAAAAACGATCAATCTTTTTTACTTAGAAATTTCCTCAAGTAAACCTAAAACTACCCACACTGCTTTGAAACGTCACCAATTGATCGACAGAATTCAATAAACATTAAGGAACAGAAGAATACTAATTTGGTTACTACCCAGTGATTAATAAAGATGTCATTCTTATAGGAATTTAGTTAGTCATTGTATAATTTCATAAAATAGCTCGCTTCCATATAAATTTTTTGCTAATATTTTCTGTAAGATCAATGAAGGTTTTACGATTAAATCACCTAGGTCGGAGAACGAAACTCTATCAAAACATACGGTAAGTCTCTGACTGAGACACTGCGAGGCATAGGTGTAAATCCCACAGGAAACGTAAATTAAGATGGATAATAGATATATGATGCAGATTGTTTTGGAAGACAATGAAAGTTTCTCAATTACGCCATCTATCTGAAAGTACATTTATTTAAATAACTACTAAGGAATTGGAATGATGAATGATTTATTGATTTTATTTCCATTGCATAACGATATATAATGATACTAATCTATCGATTGAATCCTCACAGAAATACAGCTATCGCTCGAGAGCGAGTGTCGACATCAAAATAGTTGCCATTATCCTTCTGTTATTATCAAAATACAGTAGCTAATCTAGTAGCAGATTAATACGAAAACAACATATTGTTTTGTGCTGAGCACTAACTTCACATTTTACCACAAAAAATGAAGTTATCGAACTGAAAAATGGAAACAACCACCGAATATATATAGCAGTCCATTAAAATGATTATTAATATGATGAAATGTGAATAAATCTCAATGAAACCAATTAACGACTAAATGACTCCACCTTTTTTTTGATACTGTAATGAATAATGAAATCATTTAAACAGCCAAAGTTAAACTAACCTAGGAAGTTCCCCTTAATTAATAAATAAGGTATGTACGGTGAATTCGATATAGTAATTCCATTTGGCCCAGAAGTAGATATATTACTACTAGTAGTGGTAGTACTATTTGTATGGTGTTTTTGTTTACGTCCAGTTGAACTGTGTTCTGATGATTCTAATGTCGTTAACTGACGAAATTCTGTGACAAAGATATCTCCAGCAGTTGTGGTAGAATAATGTGTAAAAGAACTGTTTCGCGCTGCGGTTGCTGCTGCTGACGCCGCTGATGATGATGATACTGATGCTGAAGGCGTCGTTGCACGTTCAGTAAGTAATAAATATGCATCACGTGTCGATGCTAATTCATCCAGTCGAGGAACACAAATTTCAGTAAGATATAGTAATACAGCACATCGACGCTTATTAAACAAAATGTTTAAACTATTATTACAGTTTGTATTGACGGACAGATTACCACTACCATTATCATTATTAATGTTACTAATACTGCTACCATTGGTATTTTCTTCAAAAATCTGTTTTGGTACAATATTTGATGTAATAGCTAGCAACAATTTCATACAGTCATATACTCCTCGTGCATTTGAATCTGGTGGTGAAAACAGAATTTTAGTAAGCCAATTATCGGAAGATATACGGTCAGCCTTGATGAAAGCTAATAAACAAGTAAAACAAAACAGGGTAAATACTAAGAAAAAAGATGATATATGTGTGTTTACTTTTAGATTACGAATACATAAAGCGTAATGGTAGTCAATATCATGTGTATATAACTGGAGGTGGTGTTACTCGATGATCAGTGTGTCAATTCACTAATTCTATTTCATTCTCACTTGTTAGTTCAGATTTAAATTATAATCGATTTGAGTCACCTGGCATTTCATATTTGTGATATATTGAACAAACCAAGTGTTTCGAGGTTGAGTAACATGTTAAACGAATGTGCCAGTAAGTTATTCACCTAATCAAGATTGTGAAGCAACCAATAATCTTACAGTTCTGCCGTCATAACGAATTGAGTACTAGTTTTTACTAGTTGATGTATCATAATGCTATCCACATCAGTACTATATGACCAGAATAGCTGGAAAAAATTTAGGAAGACATTTATTTAGTGGGATTCATCAATAAGTGGATTTACTCACCGGTTTCAAAACAAAATAATGAACAGTGAGAAATTAATAATCTCATTAGTACGTCATCAATAGAGTACTAAGTAAAATGGTAAAAATGGTAAGCCGATTGACGAGGTATTGAATCTTCCTTAATTAAGTTAGTTGGGACATATATTACGCATGTCAACCCACTGACTATCTCAATGAGCGATGATGGCTAGTGCAGAGGTAAGATGGAGGTGGCTAGATCAAAACATGGAATCAGTCTATGAAGACACTGACTGTTGGACTAAGCCATGTAGTTAGGTTCAAACTATCTGATTGGGGTTCGCGTGATTAACGTGACCAATAAGTAGAGACCGAATGATCTGGCTCCAAATCGTTTGTATTAGCACAAATGTATTTACCCTGTTTCAAAGTATTCATCGTAAAAGTTCTTAGGGGCTCAGAAAACGCCTGGAACATTTATCCCAATCAGAGTTGGATAGAAGCTTCTCAGAAACATTTGGAAAACGAAGAGTTACGTATCAGATTTCCAACTGAATATTTAATAATAGTGCCACTATATTTAGTATGGCTCCAGAAACTTCCAGAAACCCAGGGTTGTCTGTAACTCTATAAACACCCTCGTGTTTTCTGAAACTAAACTAACCTCAGAGTAAAGCGTTCCTTTCGCACTTCGCGCCTTTTCTCTTGCCTTGAAATCGCTATGTAGGTTTAGTTTGGGTTTATAAGAAGCGACTGGCGAATCAGATTAGGTGTTTAATAAGAAGACTTATCAGTAAGTAACTGCAACCGTGCTACTTATCAACTGCATGGTAGAAAACATAAATCTTACTTTAAATTGGAAACTTTCGCAAATATGGTTTTTGTTTCGTGAAAAAGACACTTCTCACTTACAATTTGTTGTGGATATACCCCAATATTTTGCCCAACGTTTCATTTCAATAACGCTTTTCCAACGTGTTGCAAAACGTACAACTAAATTAATTTGTTTAGCGTTTAATTCTTCCCATATTATTATTTGTTGATCAGAAGAATTAGAGCTGTCTACTTGAATGTGTTGACGTTGTGACATAGATGCTGCATACGTTTGTATCGACATACGTTCTCTCCAAGCCTAATTAAATTGGAAATATGAAATTATATATATATATATATATATATATATATATATATATATATATATATATATATAGTAGTAAATTCACAAAATAAGTATAAACTGGCTAATTCCGTCGCCTCTATGTGTAATAATAGACATACAACAAGGCGAATACATTGTCTTATTTCTGAATATCACCGCTCTTGATCAATTAAAGGAGTGAAGAGAACAATATGAAGTTCTGTTTTGGTAAATTTAGCGGGTACAAATTTAGCTTTGAAAATTATTGATAGAATCGAATAGAACTTACTCCATATTTCTAAACTTCGTACGTATACATGGAAATAAACTGGGTTTTATGTACAGAAGAAGTTTGTTTATTCTCTTAATTCATAATAAGATTCTTTTCAATGGTAAATATGTTTCTAGAAACTTTTTGTTCTATTCAATTTTAAAACTTTTGCAATTTACTCAATTTCTGTTTGTAACTTCAATTTACGTGATCTATTCATCATAATAATCTGATTACCTAATTTTGTTTGTATTGATTTTATGAATTACATATGATTAATTTTACAAATTACGCTAAACCTTCATAATCCATTGCATAATTCCTATCTTTACACAACGAATTTTTATAATTAACCGATTAGACCAATATAAAGTAATGACGTAATGGTTAATAGTTTCAACTTTCAACTACTAGATCCCAGGTTCGAACCCTGACCCACCTACTTCGGTTTGGGCAACCGAATGATATAGCTAGGACTTACGAATCTGTACCTGGATAAATGAATACGATCAAAACTAATCCAGTTCGTATTCGACAGTGAATAATTCACATACTCAAAGTAAAACATACCATAAATGAAGCGTAAGGTTGATTAGTCAACCATGGTTGAAATGATGTAATCATATTTGAACGAGAAACACTGCCAGATAATGATAAAGAAATTGAAGCTGGTGAATATTGATTATTATAAAATGGAGTAGTTTGGTTGAATCGATGATGATCAAAACTTTCAACATCTGTTTCAATTTGTTGCGTAACAGGTAGTAATGAAGAAATATTATTGTTGGCAATACTTGATTGATTATTAGTGGCGAAAATTGATAGAAGTGATCGTTTTGTAAATACTAAACTATTTGGATTAGGTTGATATGAAACTAGCTCATACAGTAATTCCACAAGTGGTAACAAAATATTTTGTACAACAGGAACAGATGGATTAGAAGTATTATTAGAGTTATTATGAATACTAATATTACCACTGGATAGTTTCAATAGAATTTTAAATACAGGACGTAAACGAGCCTCCCAATTTTTAGTACTAGCATCTAATGGTTGTTGTTGTTTACTTAATTGACTATTGTGTTGTGATTTTCTTGGAAGGATTGATTCAACACTTCCTTGTAAGAGACAAACATCATTGTATGATAAAGGTCCAAGTAAATGAGCTTGATTACCATGAGTATTAGCTGTTCGGATTAATCGATCACTGAGAATATCACCGAGATGAGATATCTTTTTAAAAAAAGAAATAGAGAAAAGAATATCATAATGTAAAATTTAATGAATTTATGATAAGTGTATTATGTAAATACCGAAATAGGAGATAGTACAAGCGCATGAACAGAAAACTATTCTCTCAAGCATATTCAATGTACTGTAAGAAGAATGCATACATAAATATACAGTCCACAATTTGACAATACAGATAGGATCTCGAATACAAACATATAAGTAATGATGATTAGTAATACAATTAGCAAGATTAACAATAATAAGATTGAGGAATTTTTTGTGACTAAAAGACTCAAGTCTATAGATATCAGATAACTACTTAGGACGCTTGACTTCTTCATAACAGTTTATAATTTGTAGTTTGCTACACTTTAAAATCACCATCTTTTATGTGTCTTCGAGTCTTGCTGTTGTCGAAAATACTTTCCTCTGATTGGTTTGTTGGTGTTTCAATACGTTATTTTATCAAGGACATTGTAAGTACATTCGCACGCAGTGATTGTGCTTGCCTAATTAACTTTGATAAATCTAGTTGAGGTTTAAAATCATTTGGATTGGTAGAAATTAAAAAGAAAAGTTTGTAGAATATGTTTATTTTTCAAAGAATTCGATTCAAGGAAAAATATTTGCCCTTATTGTTTAAAATATGTCACACAGTCACCAGTAGATGAATACAATAGCTCAACTGGAAGTATACCGGAACAATAAACCAGAAATTATTAAATCCAATCAATTTAAAAATCTTTTAAACAAGTTGAATTTCATAGTGTTTAGAGAGCCCCGAGGATAAACGATTAGAGTCATTCCCTCTACCTTAATAACACTCATTATTGATCAGTATAGTATACATCAACCTATTTGTAACCAGTCAGGTAGATTAGTCAGTAGGCGTAATGAATACTGGTGAATGAAGCATAACTCATAAAACCTGTGTAGAATCATATAAATTCTTAATTATAATAACTAGATGCATAAAAAGCTAAGTATAGACTGCATATATTGTGCTATTTAAAACTATTATCTAGTCAGTTAGTCAGCAACAACGTAGAACTTCGTACGTACGTACGTACATCAGTCCCAGTTACCATACCACTATTATCTAACCTATAAGCTGATTCTTTACATATGTTAGTGAATCGTGTATCTGTGTATCATAAAAGCCAGTCTAGTAAATCAATTACTCAATGATTGTATAATCTCGTAACCAGATTGTATTACCATACCATTGTGCCCCCTAAGAAAACCACCTGCTTCTTTTTGGGCACCCGGCAGAATCACAGCCCTCACACATATCAAATGAGATCTGTGTGGCGCATATGTATTTGGTGCCTCCTTGTACCAATATCTATGTGTTAAAATAAATAAATAAATAAACTGTATTACCATATTATAGTATAACATCATGATAAACAGAAAAAACCTTTTTATTTTGCCACTGCATGTAATTTTACAGAGATTTCTAGGTTATCAATTCCAGCACCTATCTTCCTTGGATTGAAAACAATCTGGTAAGTAAATTTGAAAGTGATAAATTAATGAGAGCAACTAACCAATGAATAACAATCCTTGGTTAAATAAATTAACAAAGTACGTAATTCTTGTTGTAAATGTTGAGGATATATATTTAAACCAGATTCAATGACTTTTGTGATTAAATTGCGTACAATATCCATAGAATTAATGACTGGCGATTGTGTTGTTGTTGGTGGTGGTAGAGCTGTAGCCTGGGATAACGAAGACGGAACATTAAACAAACGGAAAGTATGGTCATTATCACATGTAGCATTTAAACCAAATAACCAATGTGAATTATCCCATATTGTTTTACTGGAATTTTTCAGCATAGTTATTGATGTGAATTCTGCAATATTTCGTAGAAAAGAACTACATTGATAAATTGTATTTACTAAGCACCAATAACACCCAGATAATGATGGGTCTGTGAAGAAAAGAAGAAAAAGTAACAGAAAAACAACATTCAACAGTAAAAAATGTACACAAACTTTTGAAATACTATGTAAAAAGTAACTGCGGGCTAACAGTGCCTACAAGCCTAATGTGACTAGTTTTTGATTGTTCGGGTTTCAATTGTAAAATTATTTATTAACAGTTATGCTGTGTAGATTGATAGAAAGTGTAACATTACGTAGTATGAAATAAATGCTGAAAAATTTTTAAATTGTGCATACGACGAATTATAACATTAGTAAATAGGTAAATTAGCACTTTTAAAGAATAAAGATTTGTAGATTAAATGATGGTGTTAATGCTTGCTTAGTGTTCAATAAAATGAATTTTCAAACGATAGAGAAGAATTAAAGCTCAGACGGATGCTTATAATGTTGTTGAATTCTCTGAATCAGAAGTGATTGAATTGTGTGATTTTTATTGTCGTTCTGGACAACATCATCGGCGGTTACATTATGTAGAAGCGCAGATGATGTTGTCTAGAATGATAATGAGAACTTGGCTACTTAACCATCTACTTCAAAGAACTCAACAACACCAGACAAAAAACAATGAACCCTAAAGCAGTAGGCTAGTAGCTAAAGAACTTGGCATTCAGCCAGTAAGATTTCAGGTTTGAACATCAATTCATTAGTTGATAAATAGGGTACGTCAATGAATCATCATGTTGTGGAAGAAGAAATTATTTCAAACAATCTCAATACTCACTAGATATCTTTTCTTACAATAATAATCAACATTGAAATTAATCTTTGCATAAATATAATATGAAAATTGCTCTGTTTTAATTCATTAAAAAAGAGGCTATCTCTAATGTTATCATAATTGTGAGAGCATTTCAAAAATAAAAGTCATAAATTTTCAAAGAAAAATAAAACTTACAAAACATTTTATCTAATTCCAGATAATTTAATTGTGTATTACCAGAAGCACAATCTGAAACTTCAGGTGTTATACATCTATTTCCATTGAAAATAGATTGATTATTTAAACTACCTATCACAGTAGATTCATGTTGTTCTTCTGTATCGAATTCTACAACAGATTGACGTGCAGCCCATAGACGTCGTGTGATTACAGCTGAATCTAAACTCAAAGCTCGTGCTTTTAAAGCAGTACTAATTAAGCGTATTATAGCAGGATTAACAAAACCAGTATAATTAGAACCTGGTACGGTAGACTGTGGAAGATCTTTTGCTTTATCGCTTACTGAAGTGTTATTATTTGATGTTCCAGTTGAATTCTTGGAAGCAAGTGAGTCTTGTATATATATGAGATCAATAGCTCCAGTATCTAAAGAACATAGTCGATATAAGCATTCAGTTACGTCAACTTGAATAAGACGTGAAAGTATTTGAGAAGTTTTACTCAATTCCCTAGATAAACTTAAAATGCGGCCACAAGCAGATTCACGATCATCTCGATCATGTAACGGTTCAATTGCGGAATAGTATGGTCTGTGTGAGAAAAAAAGAAATTCACAGTTAATTTATAGGAAGAATAGAAATAAACATATGTTGGACCTATTTTATACACGAGAGACAAGATGATTTGAAATATTCTGTAACCAACTACTGAGTGATTGACAAAAGGTGTATAATGTTTAATAAGATCTGTGATACTACAATACCTGAATCAGAAGGTTTGCTGATATGCTCCCTCAAAACAGGGACAGGGAGAGAAAAACATATCGAAAGCTAAGATGTAATTCACAGATATATAAATCAAACTTAATACTTCTGTATGTGTAGCTTAGAAGTAGTGATACACACAAATTCAGGTTCGCTAAATACCCTGAGTTTTGTAAGCACGTGCACACTACCTAGTTGGGATCGATGTGATTTTTTTAAGAAATGGTTAGATATGTATTACATGGTCCAGAATCAGTCGCAATAGCCCAGATACATCTTCAATCTTTCTTTGAAAAATTATACATTTTGCTCTGTAAATTCAATAATCTTTGTTAAATCATATTGTGCATGTGTAATCTTTTCTACTACGATGGTATTTGTCTTCGACATTTCATTTTACCTTCCTGTTGTGTGGCAATTGTGGCCGATGTACATACGTGGCGTTCTACGTTTTGATGACTGGCTAAGCTAAATCCCTGAAAAATCGTCGTCTGTATAAGATAGACGTTTTATGATGATATGAAGAGATGAGCACTAAAAGTAACATTGTTTTCTTTATCGTAAGTGTATTAAAAACACCGTAAGGGTGTGTAGATACCACTGAACATCGAACACACTTTTTTGCTGAAGAGTGATCTTATTCACAATGTGTTTGGATTAGATAAGCTTAAAACGAAACAAGCGCTTAAAGCATAATATTTTGATCTGTTAAACAACTGAAATGACAAATGCTTAAAAATCAAATTAGGAATATAAAAAATTCAACTTCAGATAGATTATGATAAAATGAATGCGATTCATACAAATGTGTATAAATAGGAGTAATCAAAAATTGCATAAGAAACTAACGTCTTCTTATACAAATTAGACCAAAAAATCAGTGACTTAATGGATCAATACAATGTGTCGGTTTGATTACGATGAGCTATTATGACAAGTTGGAGTAAACAGTGACCTAGCGTATATTAGCCGAATATCTAGACCATCTCAGTCAATCCATGTCTAAAAAATTCTAATCAGGTGATTTCCATCTCTTCCTTAGAATAATCTACATCTAGGAGTAGCATTGTTCACTCGGTAATTTTATCATTCAGGAGAAATGGTAATGAACCGGATGAGTTTAGAAAAGTCACATCCTGTTGTAAAACCCAAATGGATCATGTGCTATCTCAAGGTCACACGACAGATAAAAATATAAGCAAGTGAATGTGCTGTTGGAGTAAGTGATTTGTGCATCAAGCAAAGGTTACACCTTACATGTCCTAGTTTGGGTCAGTGAAGATACAAGTATGTACAAAAATGGCTTATATACATAAATAATCAGCTTTGTGGTTAGAACCTTTCTAAACTTTTGCATAGTAGATTTGATTAGGCGTTACGTAAAACTTAGTACATTACTAAATTCAACCTCAAATTGTAAAAAATAATTCCGAAACAATAAGTATTCACTGTTCTTACTAATTTCATAGTTTATATGAAGTTCCTCGAGAAAAAATAGTTATTGAATTAAAATGCAAAATATAAGCAAATGAAGCAATTTAAAAATAACCAACCTGGCAGTTATACTGAATTCAATTTTACCATGTCTTGAAGTACCACAATTAGCGCATAAATATACATCTTCATTACTTAGATTCAAAGAGCGACAGCGAAAGCATTCATTCACATTACTATGACACATTATGCATGTACTACCTTGTAAATCAGATGCATGACATCGTGGACAAATACGACGTTCTTCTTGACCGGTCGAATGGAAATCTGCATATTCAAAAACTAAACGTGATGCTCGGATAGGTAGACCAGGTGTTTGTTTTAAATTTAATGAATCAATTACCAAGTCTGGATTCATCGTTATTCGTTTATCTGTAGCATATTCTTGATTTGAAGCTAACCAGATTGGAATAGGTGATGGATGTGAAAAACAAATTCTAGCCACTGTTTGATTTCGACTAAATCGAACTGATGCTACTGGTTGCCATAATTGTGGTTCGTGAATTAGTCTTGCTGAAGCACGATCAGTCAGATCACATGTATAAACATTTAGTGTTTTAACATATCTAGGACGTTTCGATAAAACGTTAAACTAAATGTTTTGTAATAGAAAAAAAAAGAGTTGATTTTTAGGAAAATTCTATCTCATTGCAACAATTCAAAAAAAGTATAATATAATTGGGTAATGAAATCAACTTGCGTTTAGATGGATTATTCAAATATGAAAAGCAACTTATTTTTAACGAGAAGTGAAATATTCAGGTGACCAAACATATGACACTGTCGACAATGTGAAAGTAAGACCGCGAGCAGTCTACTAATAATCAATATAAACAGATCGAAAGCATTTTTACTTGCAGCACCTAAGTTCACATTTAAGACATGAGTTTATAAATCATTGATTTAAACTATTTTATTTAACTGATAGGATACAAAACAACCAGGTAAGAAATAGTAGTATTAAGACGAAAAGAGAGTTCAATTTAAAAAAATAAATTTAACAAGAACATTCTATCTTACAAAGAATAGTTTAAAACTTATTTCCAAGAGAAATCTAACAAGTTAAACCAATCAGACACAGATCAAATGAGAGATTTTGTCGGTTGTACTCTATTGGTAAAAAATATGATTCATTTTCTGAGGGACACATATCTACACTCATGAGCTGGATTCAGTTAGCCAATGATAGCTTCAAACTCATTTTCGGTTTTCTCACTCAAGTAGCTTGATTGAGGATGTACATTAGCAAGCTTTTATATTAATAACAGACTCGAACGACCGCACAATATAACAATATATTTATAGAGAGAAATACTTTAAAATTGTGATTACTTTTATAATTATTATTATTATTACCATTACATTTCCACATACCTTGACTGTAATTTGTGAAATTAAATAGCTACCTTCAAGATCGAAAATGTGAACTGAAGAAGTAGCACGGGATTTTAACTGAACGGGAATCACAAGTGAAAATGGATTTGGTGGAGCTCCAGCAGCTCCACTAGCATTAACACCACTACTACCAGAAGTAGCTGTTGTTGTTGTCGTTGTTGTACTGGGATTTGTTGATGCAATGGTACTTTTCGGTATATTCGAATTTGTTTGGACTAAACCAGAAACATTTGGAGTTGCAGTATTTGAAGATGTTAATGGAATATCTATTAGGTAATAGATAGTGCGGATTAAATACATGAATAACTATAAAATAAACGGATTGATATATATATATATATATATATATATATATATATATATATATATATATATATATATATATATATATATAACTAAAAGAGATCTATGTCGTAACTAACCGACGAAAATTAATTGATGTAATGAAGATTTGTACACAAATTTTAGGTGTGTATGATGAGTGAAGAGAAGAAAATAATATTTGGATGTCATTCTTTCTAGACGAGACTCAGATAGTCAAACACCCTTAATGAATTCACGAACACAGGACTATCGTAAAATGCAATTACACTATTAATTTTCATCTAGTGAAACTTGATGTAGATATGAAATACGTTTAATAACGAAACATTAGCAAATACCTGTTCCATTAGCTCTGTTTGACTGTTGAGTTGTAGTACGTTGAGGATTTTGCGATAATAAATTTCCGATAGGTGATTGTCTAAACTGATGTGTAAATCGACTATTATAAATGGTAGAAACCACAGATTGAATTGAACGCCTGGATACATTGGGTTCCGAATCCCAACGAAAAATAACATAAAATGGTTCATCGATCACTTTAGCATAACATAATAAACAAGGTTCCAATTCAAAGGTGAATGGAGAATTCGAAGCATTAATTGATGTGGAAAAATCGTTAAACAGATTACAATTCAAGTCTGTCACTACAGTTTCAGGTGTACAACTAATACTGTTGCTGATTGAAGGTACTTGAGTGGTATTTCGTTTTTGAGCTGCAAGCGAAGCCCACGAACGAGAAGTGGACGATGAGTCAGTGGTCGTGGTGGTGGTTTTGGTGGGTTGCAAAAATGTGAATTCATTTACGACTTGGTCCAATGATCCACTTCGTTCAACGGATTCTAATGGAATGAATACACCGGTAAAAGTCCTTTTTGGGAATGAGCAAAGTGCTGAAAAAACAAGATTGAAAAAATAACGCTTTAGGAAAACACCAAAGTTACGCTGAAAAGCTAATTTTAAATACTTAATTTTGATTGAAAACATTTTTACTAAAAAAAATTCTACATTTTAAAGTAATAAAACAAACACATACCATAAGTACTGAGTAAAGCGTACGATTCGGATGACGTTTTATTGCTTCAAGACGTTGCATTAAAATCCAAATTACTTGTTCTATTAATTCTGCTCGACCTGACCAATTAGGATAAGAATTCAATAGATGAATACTTAACTGGACAAACTGATTGGAATAAGGTACAAATGTAGATAATTCAGGCCATAGAGATGCTATTAAACTAAGTATACGATGTTGAGCTTCACGAGAAACACAGCTAAAATTATATTATAAATAATGAGAAAAAGACAGTTATTATATAGCATAAGTTAATTAACTTTAAATATTAATCATAGAATGTTAGCTTACGGTGTAATCAAGTATCGACTGAAACTCGGCTAAAATGAAGTGTTTAGATCAAAGTAAAAAAAATCGAAATCACTTTGTTGAGAACGTTGTGGACTAAGCTTCATATTCATTATGCAGAGATCGAAAGAACGCTCATAAATAGAAAGTAAAGATTTAAAGAACAGATCATAGAAATTATCAATCTATGGATCCCAAGAAAAATTTATTGAATGGTTTTATGAAGTATTCTTACATAAATATAGTTTATAGTCTAGTATATTAATGATTCTTGTAATGTTGTTTTATTCTCCAAAAGTAATAGCTGTAGTATTATTAAAAGAAAAAATCGTCACTGAATTGTAAACATTTTCTTCTTTTGTTATCTGCTAATAATTTTTTTATATTCTATTTTTGTGTTAAACAGTAGTGACAACTAAGAAGAAACTAGTCAGGTTGTTAAAACAATTATAGTTCCATCAAGAAAATAACTTCACATCAGTATAATCTTGTATTTCATGACAACGATTTGCAAAAGTTAACATTCTAAATAGGAAGAGAAGTATATTCTTCGAATTCCCGTATGTACCATTGTTAGTAGAAAACAGAAATTTAAACTGACGCAGCCTAATCACATTCAACCATTAACAATTAGACTGTTGTAACAGACACATCCAATTCTTGTTCATTTTTCTCATGTCTATCTCCATTTCTCGACGTAATATGTTCTTTGGTCTTCCTCATTTTCTTTGACCTTCAGGATTCCATGTGGGGGCTTGCCTTTGTTACGCAGTTTGGTGCTTTCCTCAATGTGCGTCATGTCCACTTCCAGCAACTCTTCCTGATTTCTTCCTCCACTGGGATCTGGTTTCTTCTCTCCCATAGTAGGTTGTTGCTCACAGTGTCTGACCAACGGATCCGAAGTATTTCGCGTAGACAGCTATTAGTAAACACTTGTATCTTCTGGATGATGTCTTTCATAGTTCTCCAGGTTTCTGCCCCATACAGTAGAACTGTCTCGACATTTGTATTGAAAATCCTGACCTTGATGCTGGTTGACAGTTGTTTTGAGTTCCAGATGTTCTTCAATTGTAAATATACTGCTCTTGCTTTGCCGATCCGTGCATTCACATCTGCATCACACTCACCATGCTCATCAATGATACTGCCCAGATATGTAAAGGTTTTTACATCTCCCAAATCTCCGTTAAGTGTGGTTCGATTGGTGCGTCTAGCGTTGTATCGGAGAATCTTGCTTTTCCTCTTGTGTATGTTGAGACCTACTGCTGCTGAGGCTACTGCCACACTGGTCGTCTTCTCCTGCATTTGTTGTTGCGTGTGCAATAGAAGAGCCAGATCATCTGCGAAGTCTTGATCATCCAGCTCCATCCTAGCTTTCCACTGTATCTCATTCTTCTCCCCAGATGTTGACGTCTTCATAATCCAGTCGATCACCAGGAGAAAGAGAAAGGGTGAGAGTTAGCAATCTGGCTTGACACCGGTCTTCACTTCGAACGAGTCTGTCAACTGTCCTGCATGCACGATTTTGCAGTTTAATCCATCATAGGAATTCTGTATGATGTTGGCTATCTTCTCAGGCACGCCGTAGAGTCGAATAAACCTGCTTAGTGTTGTCCTGTTCATGCTATCAAATGCTTTCTCTTAGTCAATGAAGTTGATGTAGAGTGGTGAATTCCATTCAACTGATTGTTCCACAATGATCCGTATAGTTGAGATTTGGTCTGTACGCGATCTATCCTTATGGAATCCTGTCTGCTGGTCTCGAAGTTGAGCGTCTACGGAGTCCTTCATTCTGTTTAACAATACCCTGTTGAAGACGTTTCCTGGTATTGAGTGGAGAGTGATAGTCCAACAAAAAAAGAGAATTACTTAAAGTTAAACATCTGAACTACTTGACGATAACACAGTGATTTTAGAATAGGTACTCGCTGCAACGAAACCTGAAAATTCTGGGTTCGATTTCAGGTGTAGGGTTCATTCTCACTACCAAAAAGTCCCAAAACTAAGATGAAGTAATCGTCTGATGATTTCTGGTTTCAGTAGTTGTCTAAGTAAGATCAGTTAACAATTTCCTCAACACTCTGCTTCGGTTTGAGCACATGGGCAGTATCATAGCCCTCACACAAATCGATGATAACTGCTATTGGCCTCACTGCTGCGCATATGTATTTGGTACCCCATTGTACCAATATTCATGTGTTCAAATAAATAAATAAATTCCACAACATCCTATAATAATAATTATCATTTAATACGTAAATCGACTGGCGAAAAGAGTCATAGTTGATGGAAATCAGGATTTTTCATTACCTCAAAAAAAGTATTTACCTGAATATTGTAGATAATATATGTGCTGTTGAATCACGGATAGCTTTTTTAGGACATCGGCACAGAAATGTACGAACGAATTGTGTGAATAAAGGTGAAATAAGTAAATCTGCACGCTTTGAATTATTATAATTCGACATATTCTCATCTAAGCTTATCTCTGAACAAGTAGATATGTGTGAATCCCTAGGTAGTATTAAATAACGTGCAATAATTCGTGATAATTTCACTTCAGTTGATTGAACTGAATAAGTTGAACGTTTAAGTTCATCATGTAACTTAATAGTAAAGAAAAAGAATGAAGTAGAGAAAAATTTAAACAAAACAATTTAAAAAAACAAGTTATGAACATAAAATAACAAAATGTTTTTGTATGTAACTTCATTGATGTATCTTCAAATAACTCAAATGTCTGAATTATATTGAGTTCTGTGTAAATGGGTCAATATGATGGGAGTAGTTGTATACTTGTGTCCGATTACTGATTAATCTACCTGAATTGATTATATACAACTAACGACCTTCGTTAGCAAATGTTACAATGATATTTCTGTAATTAACAATAATATAATAGTGAAATAGTGACCGATATTATTACTCAATACCAATGATCCAAAATATAGCTTCCTAAGCATTTTTCGCTCAATAACCAGAATAAATTACGAAAACAGCAAGCAGAAGAACTTTGATTGTACTGTTTAGTTTATAAGTCGGTAACAATGAACTAAAGGTTAGGTCATACCTCAAGAAGAATTGTACAATACATAGCAATAGTTTATGCATTATGGCTTATGAGTGTAAGAATACAAAGGTATAATAAACTGAGTATTTAGTAGTAAATAAAAATATGGACAACAATTTCCAGTAAAAGGAGGTTGCCAACCTCACATATAAACTCATCATGAACTTGGGTATATACTACACGCTGGATGTGAGGGCTAATGATGCTACCTAGTTGGCCAAATCACGATAAGCAGATAAACTAAAGATAAAACAACTATCCAGTGTTTCTTGGTTTTCAAGGGTTGTTTAATCAAAAATTAGTTTATGGTGTAAAACCACTGAATGTATTCATTTAAAAAGGTTTTTATCTTGAGGTAACATCGACTGGACATAGAATACATTGCACAACTGTTGCATTGAATTTGAGGATTTCATGACAATTCGTAAGCCTTGTTATCAGATTGGTTCGCGTCTTTAGTTTCGGAATCTGCAAGCTAACTAGTTAATGTGAGCACAATAATTGTAATAGTCAGTGGTTAAGGATTATATATGACAGAGTTTAAATCGATAGGATTGAGACTAAGGTTTTTATTCATAAACTTCTTTTAAGTATTGAATTTTATTATTGGTCTATGGTGTTTTAAGTCAGTTTTTAAAACCATAATTCTCAATTATACCATTACCACTCACTACCTTTTTCAGATCAAATAGTACTCAGATGATTGTCAGTATATGATTGTGGAGATTGTTGAACTTGATGTAATCATGAAACGATCTAAGTTATAAGAACTGAAGAGTCCAAAACTGAGATAACACGGCCATCCAGTGTTTCCAGGTGTTTAGTGGCTGTCTAACATCGACACGTCCATGACCTCAAAGAACTCAGAAAGAGTAACACTGATCTAAATTCTTTTAAAAAAAGACTTACGTGTTTTACGGTACTATGACTACGTGACTCCAATGAGTTTGGACAGATAGCCAGTTGAATTAAATATATCATATTGCGTGCAATTTTCCTGTCAAGAACCAAACTGGTATGGAACAAGAACAATAAAGAACCTTCATAGGACAAAAAAATTAACAAAGGTAAATCAGAGTAAACCATTTGGATTATAGAAATATATGTATTCAAGAGAGAAAAGTTACGTATCTTATCTCATGTCAGATGAAATTTAGTTATCTAGTTTTTTGTTATTGTATTTAACTCTTTCTTTAAAATGTAAACTTGATGATATATTTTGTCATATTTTCACAACCTTTGTCGCTATCTGATTGGTTGTTAACACTTTACGTTAACTTTGTTAGTTACTCAAAGGTCGTTGGATTTTCCAATATAAATAACATAGTACCTTACCGATTCTTGACTTCTGTGCAAAATATAAAGTTATCGTGGAATTTCGATCTAAATTATTGGTACGCGGATTATTTACATTCAAGTGTTGTGTTTGACAGAAATCCGACCTATTTAAGTTCCGATTCGTTGCCTTGTGTTACAAGCTTCAATTGTTCACTAATAGAATTCACTATTCGCCTAACGGATATCTTCAAAGACATAATCGCTTGATCAACGTTCAACAATAGCAATAGATAACATTTGATATCCATGTTAGGCGCGCATAGAAACACACTAATGTCTACGTTCCGAACAACTTTGAGAAAAATACAAGATACATACAATACATTTGTAATATGCGGACGAAGTATTTATTACTTGTCGCTAACCACTGCCTACCTTAAGAACAATGTTTACTAGCGTGAACGTATGTTTGAACAAAGGTAGATACGATCAAACGAAGATGTGACATGAACTAAACGACTATTGAACTGAAATGTACTGGTAGATCCAGACTGACAGATAAGGATCCGGGCAATTATATTAAGAGATCCATGGACACCTTTCCTTTCCTCAGATTTTGGGTTTCAAAATTATTTTATACCTTCCTCTTTCGTCAATTTATTCTATTTTCTCACATTACATTGTTTAGGTCTAGCATTCCTATCATTACTGATAGTGTTGTTAGATTTTTATTATCCACCCGGTAATTTTTGAAATTTTTAAAAAAAAATCACCCCCCCACACTGAAATTTTTTTACACCCCCAAATTACAATATTTTTCATCCCTGGTTTCGTCCAATGAAATGGCTAGTTTTAAAATTCGTTTTAATTGGTTAGTTATGGCTTGAAAATTGTTATAAAATATCAGTACTTGTCGACGAAGTACATTTTAATCGTCATCATGGAGGAGAGCAAACTTGCTGGCGTTTCTGATGTCACAGAAACGGAGGAAGTGTTTTTGACAACATTGTTTTTCGTTGCGTTCCCATCAGTTGAAGCGTTAAAGGCCGCTATCGCAACTTTCGAAAGATCGACTTACAGTCATTATGTAGTGAGAGATTCGCATACGGGCAGAGATCAGAATTCGTATATTAAATTTGTGTATGGACAAATGGGCGTATAAGGTCTATCGGTTCGTCACAGAGGATTAGACGGAGAAGGTAATTTGGTTAATGTAATTATAATTTTTTTCACGAAGGGCTTCCATGAACACGCAATGTCCGGCATTCATGGTTTGTAAGATTATAGACGGATACTGGACTGTTGTGTGTGGGAATGTGCATCACAATCACGAGTGCACTTCCCTGAGGTACCAAACTAAGTCATGGATGCGCAAGTTAACGGATGCTGAGTTTGAAACTGTGCGGCCATAGCCGAGCATGAAGAATGCAGTGATAGCGTTAGTCAGGCGAATGTCTGAGGAACAATGCAGTTCACTTCATGGCTTCATATTTCACGGTAGACTACCGACAACGCCATTGAACTTGCATGGAGAACAGCATTCGTACACCCATTCAACAACCTCGGCTAACATTGCACTGCCCTTTATGCAACGAGGAACTGTTGATTTGGATGAAACGCTCAGTAACGATGAGGAGGAAGTAATTTCTATTAACTCCGAAGAGTTAACTGAACGGGACATCGAAAATGAAGAAGAGGATGACGAGAACCGACTATGCGACATCTGTAATCTTGCCCAGCCACCGTGTGAAACCGGTGATGCGGTCGCTTGGGTGTTCTGTACATGTGAAGCAATATTTCATACCTTCTGTGCCTACGACCCATCACCGAACGTACGAGCAGTGCACTGTCCTATGTGTGGCGCCATTATATATATATACCAGAACAGGTCAGATGTTACCCTTTAAACGAAATGTTCATTCACAGATTTCGAACACCTGATACTCCTAGATTATATTAATTTCAGAATTCATATAATTATTATTACGTAACCGATCTTATCATTAAATTCCATTAATCTCTAAAATTACCACATAATTTAGGAATTACTTCCTTTTGACCTCCGACCTCGTAGAATTACATTGTAGCACTTAACAATTATCATAAAATATGCGAAAATAAAAATTACTCTAGCAAACAATAGTTTTAAAATAACTTCATCATAACACTAAACAGTTACAAGTCCGTAATTTCAATATTTTAGAAAGGCCAAAAATAAGGCATGGCATTAATGTAACAATGTACCAATGTTAACATAAGTACACATTTGCATCTGTTACGATATATATATATATATATATATATATATATATATATATATATATATATATATATATATATTTACAAATTTTAATATTTGCAATTTTAAAGGTCATTAGATAAAGGTCTAGATGATTTGCAGTTAAGTGTTCAGTCACAATAAGTGGAATAGTATTATAGCAAAATTTAAAATGCAAAAATAGTAATAACCATTATAAAGGTTTATTGATGCAGTAGACCTTGTTCATATTTATACGTTTATTGCCGATAGATATTTGTTGAGTCAGACGACGTAGGCTTGTTCATTTAAACTTCATGAAACGAATACCTCAAATGTTTGTCAAAAATGGTTACATTCATAATGTATAGATATTTCAGGTTTCGCATTACGGTTAACAATATTCAAACATGACCGATTATACGCACTACTTTTTATTATGACAAATAAGTTAATTTTAAAATGCAGAGCTACAAATAATTTACAAGTGAAAACCGTAATTCATTTCTATGGATTTTAAAATTAACCCTATTGAAATCTAACGTTTTCTAATTCTTATTAAGAATGACTATTTAAAAAATGAACCTTCACTAAATATTAAGTGCCTATTTAGGAAAAATTATTACTTCATCAAATGATGGTCTACGGTTGGTTCACCTGAATTATACATACTGCAATCAGTAATTTATCATGATGATTTATTGATATGTTGATTTCTTTTTCCCATTAACAGACCATGTGTTACTAAAAAACTTATGCATACACTTCGGTAATAGTTTGTTTATTAATTGGGTATTCAACATTAGACTACCGACCTAATTCAGTAATCACTATTATCAAATATTCAAACCGGTTTTCAGTTCCGTTTTCCCAAAACTTGCTTTCAATGTGATATATATAAGTACTCGTGACATTAAATCACTTGATCGGAAATCAAAAATTTATCCAAACACACATTCTATAACAGTACGATCTCAGTTGGTGTTTTTTTTCTTGAAAATTTTTTAGAATTTTCAAGACTAACATTACACAAAACTAATTATTCATTATCATTAAATTTCAAATTTCAAATGCAAATTATGACATCCAATCACAGCACTTGATGCTATTTCGATTTCAACTAATCAGATTGCAAAGATAAACAGTTTACGACCAATCACAAAATTATTAAAGGTGACAAAATTTTCACTTCAGTACACACTTGCAAAACAAGTAAACCAATCAACGATACGTAAATTTTTCATTCACACCCCATAATTTTCTTAAAATGGGTGGTAGGGGATCATATTTGCCAGGCACTTAATGTCAACCCTGTTGTTACTTATACTATTTTAATAATTCTATCTGGTTGTGATGATAAGGTGTAGCAACTTGAACGGATGAACATAAATGACACATTAAAGCTTACTTATGATTGAGTGATTCGTACTCAAACCAAGGTCATTCAAAAGGGGAACAAAAGGAATAAGCTATACAAATCAAAAACTAACCTGATGAACGAAGGCATAATCTTTGCCAGTAAGCTGTATTACGCACTGCTATCGCTAAACATAATGAAATATCTTCCAACTATGAAATGTAAACAAAAGTTTTAAAATAAATCTTAGCTTTGTAACTTAGAAAAGGAAAATATGGTAGCTATTATATTATATTATTATATTAAATGAAAGGTCTAAGATTTGAATAACAACTTTGTTTCTACTTCAGTTTAAACGAAAGGGTAGATAGAATTTTCAGTCATAAAAAACAAATCCTAGTGAGCAAGTTAAATTACATTAAACTCATGCAATATTAAGTTATCTATGAAAGAACTTGTTTTTTTTGATGTTATAAAATAAGTGGCATTAGCACGACACACTGAAAACCCTGAGTTTGCAAAGTATTCAAGATATTATACTATTCTATAGTCGATACCAACAGTTCTTATAAAGGTAGTACTTGTGTAAGTCAAAGGAAGATTTATGGAAATCATTTGGTTGGAGATTGTTTGTCATCATAAAGAAACACTAACTGGATAATGATTGAAAACTAGATATCACCGGGCAGCCCGACCGTTGTTGCTACCTTGACGTGGTGGTCGGGCTTGCCTATCGTGATGAAGCAACCGAGCTATACTGGCTGGAACAACCGTTCCTCAAGGTCCTACCATGTCAGACAGGTCGGTTGAAGAGCGGTAAGACTAAAAGCAACAAACCCAAGGTCCGAAGGCGAAGTCGTACTGCTGACTGTACAGAGGTGTGACAGCAGTAAGGTGTTTCCTTCAGACAACCAGCATGACAGCGATGCTGCCTTCCCACAAGGAGGGGTGGGGTTAGAAAAGGTCGACCCTAAAAATGCACACCTCACCTTACCTCACGGATTTCCGTCTCCGGCGGTAAGGCCCTTTGAAGAACGGAGCTAACACGTCAAAACCTCTCACGAAAAGGCCGTGCGCGACCGGCCTCAAGCAGTTGTCCCTTGGGCACTGCGGTCACGCTCTCAGGTCACTGAGACCACCTCTAATCCAATTTCCTTTTCAGGTACCTCCAGAAGAACCCTTCCACGGTGTGGGCAACCGGGAAGTGATAACCGCCCTCATACCTCTAACAGCACTCAAGACCACTGTATTCATAATCAACCTTCCTCTTCAATTCCTATTATTCCTCCTACATCGACTTTCAACTCTAAACTTCCTCTTCGGCTTCCTCCTCAAGTGTCACCATAGCCAACGATTCTAGTGCTCAAAACTCTGTCCCAGGTCTACTGAAACCTCGCTCCAAACTACACATTGGAGCCTTCAACGTACGCACCCTATGTCAAATCGGTCAGCAGGCTTCCTTGGCTAAAACCCTAGAGTCTCTTTCCATTGATGTATGCTGTGTCTCCGAAACACGCATACAGGATTCCAGTGTGGTCATTCACTTGACCTCACCTCGGCAAACGGAGAGCCAACGAGATACACCCTCGTGTATCTGGTGACCCGATGGCCAGTTCTCGTGGACTGGCAGGTGTAGGCATAGCACTAAGCATGAGGGCGGAACAAGCACTGCTAGAGTGGATCCCCGTCAACAGTCGTCTATGTGCTGTTCGGCTAAACGGCTCCGTAAGAACTCGGAAGGATAGGGACACACGTCGTTGCCTTTTCGTCGTTTCTGCCTACGCTCCCACTGACTGCAGCTCAGATGAAGTGAAAGATGAATTTTACAGAAAGCTTCCGAACTTCTTCAGAAAGCTAAACGCTCAGACATAGTACTCGTAGCAGGTGACTTTAATGCTCAGATAGGTAGTTTAAACCAAACAGAAAGGCATTTAGGTGGATATTTTAGTATTCCGGCACAGCGAACAGATAATGGTGATCGTCTGCTGCAACTATGCTCAGACAATCGTTTATTTTTAGCAAACACAAATTTTAAGCATAAGGAGAGACATCGTCTAACATGGCGACCCCCTACACCAAACCAACGATGGACTCAAATAGACCATATTGCCATCAGTCATCGTTGGAGAGGGTCGGTAGAAGATTGTCGCTCATTCTGGAGTACCTGCTTGGACTCCGACCATGCCCTAATACGGGCACGCATCTGCTTGCGCCTCACTGGACGCAAAAAAGCCACATTAAAAAGACCCATTAGAACTGAGTTGAGTAACGAGAAAACCAAAAGTAGGTTCCAGGAACAACTGAGGTCACACTTAGGTAGTTCTGAAGACGAGGCTGACCCAGATGTTGCTTGGAAAGACATACAAGCAGCTGTGGAAACAGCAGTGACATCTATTAGTGACTTAAACCACAGAGTTACAAAGAACCAGTGGATTTCTTCAAAGTCTATCACACTGATGGATTCTCGCAAACTCGTCCCATCAGGTTCCGAACATGATGAAGAGCGACAACAAATCAGATCTAGGTTAAGAAAAAGTCTAAGGAACGACCGTGAGCAGTGGTGGGCAACGAAAGCAAAAGAGATGGAAAAGGCGGCGACTATAGGGAACACAAGACAGCTTTACAGACTAATAAAAGAAACTGGAATTAATAAGTCAAGTGTAAGTGAGATTATTTCGGAAAAAGACGATACTCTCATCTGCTCCCAGTCCAGACGTTTAGAACGATGGGCGGAACATTTCAGAGAACAGTTCAGCTGGCCTTCAGCTACTCTACAACTACCCTCCATTCCCAGACAGTGTGAATGGAACATTGAAGTAGGTCCCCCAACTCTTGCTGAAGTTCAAAAGGCTATAGTTAATCTGAAACGAGGAAGGGCAGCTGGTCCAGATGGACTGGCTCCAGAGGTCTTTAAGGATGGTGGTCCAATTTTAGCGATTAGGTTGACTAATATTTTAGCTAAGATCTGGGAGTTAGACGTTATCCCATCTAACTGGTCACAATCACTTATCGTCCCAATATATAAGAAAGGGTCAAAATCATCCTGTGACAACCACAGAGGGATTAGTTTAACTAATATAATATCTAAAATACTAGCTTCGATAATTATCAACTTAGAATACGCAGATGATATAGTCCTGTTTGGTGAAGACGCTGATAAAATGCAGAGTCTTCTAGTAGCACTAAGCAACAATGCCAGAATGTTTGGAATGCGCTTCTCTCCCTCTAAATGCAAGTTGTTGCTTCAGGACTGGTCTGCGTCAACACCTGAACTAAGGATAGGGAGTGAAGTAGTCGAACGAGTTGACAACTTCACTTATCTTGGAAGTCTGGTCAACCCTAATGGGTTGGTGTCTGACGAAATCTCAGCACGGATTCGAAAATCTCGTTTGGCTTTTGCCAACTTACGTCACCTTTGGCGAAGGCGAGATATCCGTCTATCAATAAAAGGACGAGTATACTGCGCGGCAGTCCGTTCTGTTTTACTTTACGGCAGCGAAACATGGCCATTAAGAGTAGAAGACACTCGTAAGCTACTAGTATTTGACCACAGATGCCTTAGAAATATTGCTGGCATCTGCTGGATCACCGGGTAAGTAATAGTGAGGTTAGACGCAGGGTATTAGGGAATGATGGTAAATCAGTTGATGAGGTTATGAATCTTCATCGACTGAGATGGTTGGGTCACGTGTTACGTATGCCTGAACACCGATTACCACGACGTGCAATGCTATCCGGTATTGGAGATGGTTGGAAGAAAGTTGGGGGCGGCCAAACCAAAACGTGGCATCAGTGCTTGAAGACACTAACTTCTAGTCTGAGCCATGTTGGTAGATGCAGACTACTTGGTTGGGTCCGCGTGACTATCGTAACCAATGGTTGGAGACTCTTGGTGACATGGCTCAGAATCGATCACAATGGCGTCGGTGTATACACTCCCTGTCTTCCCTTAAACTAAGAGATTAAAATCACTTCATATCTTTCTTTCTACGAACCAATTCTTTCTTCTTGTACTATATTTCTATATGCAATCTTTCTCTTATATATTACCACCTTTGACCTAATAACTGCTATGAATCCGGTGTTCATCTTGTTGTGCTGATGAGGTATGGCAACCTGGACCGATGCACATATGTGCCTGGTCCTACGTTGTAGCTGACTGACTGACTGATCACCCGGCAGCTATTTCGTTCCGTGTCAGGTGTTTAAAAGTGATAGGGAAGAAACTTTGCATGAACTAGGGTTTTGTGTTAGTTATTACGCATCAGCGAAATGTACTTGCATATATTGAAGAATGGATACTCTCCGTGGGATTCGAACTTGAATCAGTTTGAGATGTCATCAATGAAATGTTTGGGCTATGACTGGTTTTGATTAGTCACTAATATCCAATAATCACTCATTTGGAAATATTTCGTTTTAGTTTAGGGATTTTTGAGCTTAAAAGGTCACGGGCTCCATATTTGAAGAAGATTATGAGTATTCATTGCCTATGAGTTCCAAATTAGGAATAAACAAATATTTAGTGCTTCAAGTTTTCCACTGATTTCAACACATGATGCAACTAATAAAAACAAAATCGTATCTTATTAATTCAAATTCAGTTTAGAACAAATCCTTAAAAACATACGTCTATGTTAGTCAATTTGAATAACTAACAGACAAGTGACAGTGAGTTACACACACATACATTACTTGACAAAATATTTTATCACCTGAACCCTGTTTGACTCATATATCATGATAATGAGTTCGTTTAAAATTACAAAACAAAGAATTGAAGACTTATAGTCAGATTAACATTAATTTTGCAATAACGATGTCCTTATCAAGTCAATCTACATTCTCATATCTTTCGAAGAACTATAAAATACCGGTCATATCAGTTACACAATTATTATTGCATTTATATTATCACATCTGTTGTCTGTTGTCAGAATTAATTGTAATGATAGTTTATTGATCTAAAAGCGAAATCTCCTGTCTATTGATCGACAGCTAACTTTGTTTAACCACGAGTCTTTGTCTTCGTTATGTAGAGATAAAAATAGTCATGGTTAATAATGGAAAGTTAGTGAATGTTAATAACTTACAATTTCTCTTTGAGCTATATACGGTAAACGTAGCTGTTTGGCGAATACACCTTTGTCCTGTGACCACAAATAGGAACGTGAATTCAGTCGAGAACCATCATCAACAGTTGTTGCTGTACAATTAGTACTAAGATTAGGTTTAGAATTTACTGACAAGTTATTTAGCTCATTTGAAGAAGTACAACTGGGTGTTGTTGATGTTCTGCCACAAGCCGTAAACTCCATAGATCCACAACCATTATGAATTATTAGACCACCAGTATTGACACAGATATCACGGATTCGTTGTAACAGTTTAGCTAAACGATGGACATCTTGTAGTTGTCGGTAACTTTTAGGTCCTACTATAGATATTAACAGCTGGAATACAAAAGGAATGTGAATAAATGAAGATATATAATAGAAATTAATTAATTGATTGACCATGAATCAGAGTAATCTACATTACTGTGATAAAGGAGTGTGAATGAGTGAGGAATAGGAACTGGGTCAAACTAAACATTAACATTCTAAGCTGTTGGTTGATAAGATAAAAATTTCTTATACAACATATTTATAATCACAAATTAGAATTTTTCCATTCATTCAGTTTAGTAAAATCTACTTAGTTATATTGATGAATAGTGGGATTTTTATTTCACCGGTGGCATAACATGATTCCTGATTAGAAAAAATTAGCTACTCACCATTTTACTTTTATAAAATATTTAAAACAAGTTGTAGAGTACAAAAACAACAAATATGTAGAGAAGTATTTATTGGTGAAATGATACTTTTACGCGTAAAGTGTAGACAAAAACACAAACCGTTCTTAGTACTAAACTTAATTTATTTTCTTTGCAACACTTATTAGGCTGTATGCAAGTTTTTAACACATTAGTAAGAGGTTGTGGACATTGTTGAATTTCAGTGAAACACAAACCGATCATAGTTACACAGCAAGTGAAGACAAATTAATTAAAGTTCGCGCCATCACACAAGCTAGTGGATTTATGAACTTAGTAGCTGAGTAGATCACGCGATTACAATTGATGTGAGTGGTACAGGGTTCGAGTTTCGGAGTGAATAACAACTGTGAGATGCAGATACGTCCAGCTGACGAGTCTTAAACTGAACGAAACACACGTCCTGGATTCTCCTGCTAGTCACCATCCAACTCGGCTTAAAATCCTGTTGACTTAATGGCGATATCGAGGCGTTTCGCACAGGACGCATATATACGAAAAAACTGATTCATTGAGGTCCACTTCAAGACATACTTTATATGTGAGGGCTAGGGTGAGATATTATAGCCATCTGCTCAAACTAAAATAGGTGGGAGCTGGAGTCGAACTTTTTCTCCAGTGGTTGAAAGTTGGATTATTTAACCACTAAGCCAAAATTTCACTGATTAACCAATAATTCACAAACTAAATCAAAAATGTATGTGCGTAAATCACCAAAAGACTAAAACACAATAGAAGATCCAAATCGTAATAAAATACACAAATTATGATTTTTTGACTTTGTGAAAGCGCATAAATTAGAATGATATTAATAAATATAGGAGTTAAGTTGAAAAAAATGTACCCAGTAATCTCTCTTAATACAGCTATTAGTTAAAGAACCCAGATGAATTTCATTTATTGTTATTGTAAGTTCTTGAGTACATAAAAAAAGAATTGAGACAGTAAGAAAATTTCTAAAGCAGAAAAGATAAACTATCTAGTCGATGGATTTTTACAAACTGCCAATATGTAGGTAGCTTTCATATATACCAGAAACTCCATCGAACGGCGTTAATCTACAAAGATATTGACTACAATACTGAGTCTTGTCGGAAGGTATAAACTTCCAGACTGAACTTTATGAGATATTAGTCAACCATGATTAGATACACTGGATGACATGACTTGAAATCGGTCACAACGATTCATTATTGTTTGTTATTTCTTTTCATCTGAATCTTGAGTTAGGTGTCATATTCTTGAACTTTATTCTCTTTGAACTGCACTTTGTATATTTAAGTTTCCATCATAGTTAACATTATTACTTATGGTTCATAATATATCAATCAACACTTACTGATACATAAGAACTACCACACTGACTACAACATAATCACTTAAAATATACACTTCAAATAACAAATTTCAATCATATATATATAAAATTTATCCTATGAAAGAGAAAGATAACTAATTTTAATTGATATCTACCAAAAAGTCATTAGCTAGCAGAGAGAAAGTAACCAAAAGAAACAACTTACCGATTGTAATTCACGTTCTAATGGATAAATTAACTTTGAATTTTGTTGAACACCTTCCAAGTTTATAAATTGAAAAAGTTTACTGGAAACATTTACATTATTTGTACAATAATCCGAATTATTATTACCATTCTGTTGCTGTACATTTACAGGATTTGTTGCAGTAAATTGAGATTTAAATAGGGTAGGATGACGCAATAAATCTTTATAATTGAATAGTACAGAACACCATCGACTTTCTGATTCACTTGATAAATAAGAGACTTTAAAAGAATGATACATAGATTTCCCACTGTTTGATGATAATCCATTTTTATCTTTACATGTTGATGATAAAAGGTATAATAGAATATTTGGTAATTTAATACAAGCTCTAGTGGCTAACCAACCTAATTGACTCATTATTGGATTACCGATATAATCTAAACAGTGAGATGAATTAATTAAAGGTAACCAACTGAGTAGACCTCTAGCTGATGTACCGACTACAGTTTCACCACTATTCTGTAAACTATACATGATACCTTGTAGAAGACCACATGCTGAAGGATTACTTATAGCATTTGGAAAATTATTCAAATATGAATGACTGAATCGTATTGCATCACATTGTTCAGTAATGTCCACTTCCTGAAATTGAGAAACCGGAAAAAAAGAGTGGTAACAATTTCATTGAAATCACAAACAGATCAAAGCTAGACGATCATTGGAAACCTAAAAGCACTGGATGGTTGTTTCATCCCATTGTGGAACATCTCGACCGCACAAGCACGAATCAAACATACGACCTTCAGTCGGACGCGTCAACGCCTAATTTCTAGACCACTGTGTGAGGATCCAATCATGTACAAGTAAAACTTCAATCAATCCACCATATTGTGAGACCATCTTCTAATGTCAACAATCTCAACAAACCTATACAGACAATAGTAGCATTATTTCAGCGCTGCAGAACAAAACAATTTAAACAATTCGCAAATTTGAATATGTATGATTTCTATTTTATTCCGGATTTCACTCGATCTCCCATCTGTCCTGTGTAAAATTTAATGCTATAACTCCGAACATTTCACTGTAAAATACTGTCAATATTATTTACTTTCAAAGGTGGATGCTAGTCGTTGTATAACATGCTCAATTTAACACTGTAAATATAGCTATCATTATCAAATAATCAACCGATAGAAGCCGAGAGTAGAGTTTAACAAAGGAAGAAAATTATGTCTATTCCTGACGGTTGCATTAGACAAAAACTGTGAATTCGATTAGCAAACAGCAGATATTTATTTGAAAGAGGTTGAAAAAAATAGATTCAAAATATTTACAATGACTGAGTAGTAACAAATGTCATGTACGTCAAGTATATTTTAGTGCTGACAGAATTCTATCGATCAGGTTGAAATGTAGTTGCTAGTCTAAGTAACTCAAAAATGTGTGTATTATGTTGAGACGCAAAGCGGAGGTTGTCTATAGTCAACAGGAAATGCTGGAACCAGGTTCTGTGCTATTTGACATTCATCAGCAAAGTATGCCTGTAATCTTAAGGAAACTAATGCACAGCGAACAACCAATTGTAAATACACCTCAGTTCCACAGGACGATAGTCGCAATCCGAATAACTCAGCGGTAGCGACTGTTTGTGAAGCTAAGTGACGCAGGATCGAACCCAATAGAAAGCTTTAGTCCCCTCAAGATTACAAGCACAAATTGTTGAGTAGTGTCGAATAGCAAAAAACCTACATCCAGGGTTTCCTGACGACCTAACGAACAACCATTTTATATTTAAAATTATGGTTGTATAGAATGTCCTATTTAGGTTAGCAATTTTTTTGAAAATTCCAACAGAATAATGCCAAGTTCGATTTAAAAATGACAAAACATTCTAAGAATTTTTAGAAATTCGGATTTAAAAAAAATTATCAGCTCCTATCGTCTGACAGTGGATACACTACTACAGACACTATGCAAAAGAGCAATCAGTAATAACTTCAATAATACACTTCTACATACACAATAACAAATTATTATGCTAAAAATTAGCATTTGATAAAGCGAGATATACATAAAGTCAACAAAAACAAAAAAGCAAAAACCTACATTTGCAGAACAACTGGCGCTAGTTAGTTCATAACTTTTAAGCAATTGTGTATATAATGCTTCTATAAAAGTTAAACAAAATTCTATTATTTGATCGATTAATGCACGCAAATCAAGTTCATTAGACAATACATGTATTTGATCAGCTGTTGTTGTTACAGTTTTCGGGTTGAACTGTTGTTGTCCTATAGATGATGAAGACGGAGCCGATGATAATGTTGGAGGTTGTGTCATTTTTCGACAATCATTATCTGAACTGCATTCCTCATGTAGCCATAAATGAATTAAAGAGAATGAATTAGAACTATCATTTGAGGAAGATAATAATGCTGATGATGGAATTGATCCAAAGATTTCTATTAATGCATATAATTGTAGTACTATAAATTCTAATAATAATAAGGTATCGGAATGAATGATTTTTTCGAAATTTTCACGTAGATTATTGACACCGTACAAATCTGTTTTTATTGTATACCCATCGTTATCAGTAGGAAAAGTCGAAACAATTTGTATTAAACCATTAATAATTGCTCGAATCAGCCGCTTCAATGTAATTCTAAAAAGAAAGTATAAAAACATTTTGTAATGAAAGTATTTATACTAAAATCTATTGACTACCGCGTTACAGAAACTTTGAAAGAAAAAAAACAGAAAATATAGAAATAATGATAATCACAAAGCAACCAATAAAGTAAAACAAGTAAACAAGGAGGTTATAGCGCGAAACCTTTGCATGTAAGGCACTTGGCTTTCAAACTTTGGGAACACAGATCCAAACCTTTGTCCCATTTGATAGCCGAAGCACTGTTTGCATCTATTGTGAAACGACTGAATGAGTAATGCAGAGATCAGGTATATGGTACCTGATAAAGGTGGCAAATTTTTTAATGGGGACGTGAATATCAACCACCTAAGATGGTTGTCAGACATAACATATAGTGTATGACTTGAAAATAAAGTCTGCTGATTTGTGTGTTTACCTAGAATTGAAATTATTATTAAGTGGATGACTTGTCGTTTCGAAAGTGTACAGAGTCGTAGTCAATTCAAATATATTCCCTCTAAAATTCAAATTGTTTCAAGAATTACGTAACAGTCTGTTTAAAATAATTAGCAGTCAAATTATTATCGAATCACTTTATTTTGTCCATATCTATTTGGACAACTTCATTTGACTTACAACCCAACTTGACTAATTATTCCATTACTAGTAATTAAAACATTAATGAGAGCTAAGAATCTGAAATTCATATCTTTTATTGAAAACAATTTATTTCCCTCAAATATAACTTTTTTTTTTATTATTGATTTAAAGATGAGTTTTTACTTTGAAGATAACTATCTAAACGAAACAGTACATCAATCAGAGAAACAATAGATAAAAAAAGACTTCATCCTGACACAAGATCGTACACCTTAAGATATCTATAAATCTTACAGGTAAATTTATTACTATGATTACAATAACAAATATTACAATAAAACAATGAATTAATAATTTTTAAATTTCTCACTTGATTTTATACAGTAGTTGTTTAATGTAATCCAAATAAAATTTATTCTGATAATCTATATGATTGCATTTTATAGTAGTGGACACTGAAGTAGATTGTACATGTTGTTGTTGGAGTACTATTATCTCTGCATTAAGTTGACATGCATTTCCATGTAAAATACGTATTAAACTGATCATAAATTGTAGAATAGGTACAAATTGTTGACTATGACCAGATGATATCGATGATAATGTGTTCATACACTTTGATTGTTTAATTATAATATTATTCCATTCATTTGATAAATAATTTGATATATTTAAACAAAATAATAATGCTAAATTTTGTCTATGATATTTTGAGTATAAATTTGTATTGCTCAAAGTGTAATTCAATAAGGATAAAATAGTCTGTTTATCATCATTGTTATCTTCATTATTATTATTTTCTTGATTCCGAAGATTTTCAAGATTATTATTGTTGTCCGAATGATCTAAAACCTGATGATTAACATCTTTAGAATAGTCGTCAGTGATGAAATTTGGGTTATGACTGGTGTCCTGAACATCATTATGATCTGCACAAGTATTTTCAGGATCATGAACATCACCGTCATCATCCTCATTATCATTAACACCATCATCGTCTAGACTTATAGATTTTGAATAAAAAGACGACTTTCTTCTACTATAACGATATGAATTTGGTAAAATATTTGATTCCGGTGCACTATCATCGTCATCACTGCTCATAATAGTACTGCTTATTGATTGTAAATCGTGATTTTTATTAGTTGTGTGGCCGTAGTTTTTGGTAGTGATAGTAGTGCGAATTGTAACATTGGAAGTAGTAGTAGGAGTAAGTGGATTTCCACTATGTGTTGCTTCATTAAATGTCATATCACAAGGTTTAGATGAAGACATTGTTTCATTATCAAACAAAGTGTACAAATCGGAGAGGTCTTCTTCTTGAACAGCAACACCAGTACCTGCTACAATAGTAGTGACGAAACCATCATCATCATCATTGTCTTCAAAATCATTTTCATGAGTAACAACTGATTGACATGGGTTTGATGAAGCTAAAACAATTGGTTGATTAGATGATTCTGAGTGAAAAACAACAAGATGATATTGAAAAGGAATTAATACACACATGAATGGATAAAATTATGCATGGAATTTTAAATGCAAAAGAGAACAATTTCTAAAAGAAAATTGTATGTGGAAGATGATAACGTAGAATGATTCATTTGATCAACCTGATAAGCTATGTATATTTAAAAGCTTGAAATGAAGGAGTCAGCTTTCCCTCTCGAAATGCACTCACATGGTCACGCATATACAGCCACTGCCAGGGAAGTCCTATCCACTGCCTTCTTGGGGTGGGGGGGGGGTCGTTTACGGAAGTGAGAGGACGAAAAAACCCATTTCCGGCGCTTTAACTGGGTTGGTGGATACGGACGATCGATCCACCTAGGGGAGTTGGAAAACCCTGATTCCAAACCAATGGTGCATATGGGCTCCAGGACCCTGAAGGAACAAACCGCGTGTAAGCCAATTGCTGGTCACCGGCTACCATGGTGATGCATTTCCTAACGCTGCTCTAATGCCTTATTAGATTAGATTTCCAAAATTAGATCTCTAGGTCAAAAGCTCGGGGAGTAGTCCCTTAAGAAAACCACCTGCTTCCGTTCGAGCCCTCACACAAACTGAAAGGTGAAGTGTGGTGCATATATATTTGGTGGCTCCTTGTACCAATGTGTGTTTAAACAAATAATAAATAAGAATTTTCCAATATGTATCTATCTCAAATCCAAATCAACCTAAAATGAAAACAAACTACGACTATTTGTTTTAATATGAAAAATTACCTTGAACAGGAGAATTCATTGTCCTTTCAGGCTAAATGAAGCAAGAGAAAAAAAGGAAACAAAGGTTGAATTTTTTTATTCTAATTAAAATACACTGGAAATATGGTTAAACACAAATAATACTCCTGGTAAGTAGACGTAAAATATGATAGATGCATGCTTACAATATTTTTGTCTGTAATAGTGTATTATTATATTATGATAATATGTTCACACAGTTGATTTATATATATATATATATATATATATATATATATATATATGTACGCTTACTAGTTTTGTACATCAAATAAAAGGAAACGACGTAATGTGTTCTTTCGTCTTCCTCATTTTCTTTGACCTTCAGGATTCCATGTGAGGGCTTGCCTTGTTACGCAGTTTGGTGCTTTCCTCAATGTGCGTCATGTCCACTTCCAGCAACTCTTCCTGATTTCTTCCTCCACTGGGATCTGGTTTCTTCTCTCCCATAGTAGGTTGTTGCTCACAGTGTCTGACCAACGGATCCGAAGTATTTCGCGTAGACAGCTATTAGTAAACACTTGTATCTTCTGGATGATGTCTTTCATAGTTCTCCAGGTTTCTGCCCCATACAGTAGAACTGTCTCGACATTTGTATTGAAAATCCTGACCTTGATGCTGGTTGACAGTTGTTTTGAGTTCCAGATGTTCTTCAATTGTAAATATACTGCTCTTGCTTTGCCGATCCGTGCATTCACATCTGCATCACACTCACCATGCTCATCAATGATACTGCCCAGATATGTAAAGGTTTTTACATCTCCCAAATCTCCGTTAAGTGTGGTTCGATTGGTGCGTCTAGCGTTGTATCGGAGAATCTTGCTTTTCCTCTTGTGTATGTTGAGACCTACTGCTGCTGAGGCTACTGCCACACTGGTCGTCTTCTCCTGCATTTGTTGTTGCGTGTGCAATAGAAGAGCCAGATCATCTGCGAAGTCTTGATCATCCAGCTCCATCCTAGCTTTCCACTGTATCTCATTCTTCTCCCCAGATGTTGACGTCTTCATAATCCAGTCGATCACCAGGAGAAAGAGAAAGGGTGAGAGTTAGCAATCTGGCTTGACACCGGTCTTCACTTCGAACGAGTCTGTCAACTGTCCTGCATGCACGATTTTGCAGTTTAATCCATCATAGGAATTCTGTATGATGTTGACTATCTTCTCAGGCACGCCGTAGAGTCGAATAAACCTGCATAGTGTTGTCCTGTTCATGCTATCAAATGCTTTCTCTTAGTCAATGAAGTTGATGTAGAGTGATGAATTCCATTCAACTGATTGTTCCACAATGATCCGTATAGTTGAGATTTGGTCTGTACACGATCTATCCTTACGGAATCCTGCCTGTTGATCTCGAAGTTGGGCGCATTGGGTAGAACGTTTACAATAAATATGGTTTTGTTATATCCCGACGAGTAGAATACTGTATTTCTGATGTTTCGTCACTCAATGTAAGTCACTTTTTCATTGTAAATAAATAAGAACTCAACACTATTAGTGTACTCTCGCTTAATACGAAAATGCTAGCTTCCTGATAAATTGTGAAATCATTTGTAATGTTGTTTATTGACCAAGTACATATTCGTGTAATCAACTTCGTGGTACACTTTATACATGAGAGCTAGTTATATTACCGAGATGCCCAAAACGAAAATTGACTAGTGCATGGTGCTCGATATAGTTGCTGAAAGGGAAAAATCTGTAACTGCAGGTAGTAAAAAGTCGTACCATCAGTCAAAAATTACCATAGTGTTGTCGTGACTACATTTGATGACTCTGACGCTTCTACTTCATTATTGCTATCTCATCTAGTTTAGAAGTGAGATATGGAGTAGTTACCATGGCTTACATAGATGACGAAATTAGTGATTCTCACAGTGCCAAAGTACTGTATAACAGTATTCACACACACGTGCATACAAATCTGTAGTAAAAATGACCACTAGACAAATTTTTAAACCTGGTAAAACTAGCATTTATGCAGTGAAATAGTATTATCTTATAGACCCAAGATATTATCATGTATCTTAATGTTTTTTTCGCTCATCGTTAGAGCAAAAAAGTATTACATGGATTAAAAATTATATGAGAAATCAAAAAAAATATTTTAAGTATCTTACTGTGTCTGAAACATTTGGTTCAGCAGACCAACTTGTTGCATGATCTAGCTGACTGCATTCTGAGGAATTTTGTTCGTTGTTTGGTTGTTCCGTGTGATCAGCATTTTCATTTCCAGGTAAGGAGACAACTTCCTGAGAAACAGATTGAAGGCATGAAGTATCTCCCGACTGTTGGTCGTTCACTTCAACATTATCTCTAGTACCTGGACCACCTTGATCACGCAGACTCAACTGTAGGGCCAGTGTAAACAGCTATAGAACAAAAAAACAGCAGTGGCGACAGGTACGATCAAAGCAAGAGAAAGAATATATGAAATTATTACATAACATGATGAAACAAGAAAAGTTCACTGGTGAAATTTAATACTACTCCAGCCGGTCACAATCAAATGTGGATATCTTTTCAATTTCCTGCACATCTGGAGTCCCATTAGAGGTACCTCGGCCGTTGTTACATCCCGTCTGGTCACATAGTGGAAGGATACTTCTACTTGAACAGCCAAGAAATGGAACTAGATGAGTAGTTATCTTGTAGACAGTACAGCATGACCATATAATTTAATGGACAACTACCTCAGAACACATATATCCTTGCTGTAACTACTTTTAAACGCGTTCGCTCAGTATTTATAAGCAATTACCGTTGATGATCGAGATTTATAGGACAAGCTGAATTGTGTTATTTTCAACAACCGATCATTTCTCATCCTCCAGTTACAGAGGGTAGCATCGCTGCAGATAATGGGGTTGACCAAGGACACCACTTTACTGCCTTCACACCCCTATATATTTGGTAGTACGACTTCACGCTCGAATCATGAGTTCACCTGTTTTATTCTTACCATTCTTCAATCGACCTGTTTAACATGGTAGTACCCTAGGAAACAAGTAATCCAACCAATATAAATTTATTAGGCAATAGTAGTACATTATATGAGATATTTTGTAGTAGGAAAATAATTAAAAGCTATAAATATAATCAACTTCACTGAATTGCATAAATCCATTTTTATAAAAATGACTACATTATAAAACTTAAATTAAGAAATTACATACCACATCTTCTTCTAAATTATCTGAAAAGGCCCACATATCTAATCCTTCCTGTGCATCTTCGATATCCAATAGATCTTGATTTATATCGATCCCTTCTTCTCCATTATTAGTTTCTTGTCTTTGTATATTATCGCTTGTTTGTTCATGTATATTTTCCTCATCCATAACATCATTCCTTTGCCATTCTCTAGAAGGGTTGATATTTGTTACGGTTCTAGGTACCCTTTGCATGGTTCTAAAGGTATTTGATTGAAGATTACTACTACTAGGTGTTACGTATGATTCATGAACTTGAGCTTCATGAATTCCTGACGATACGGTTGTCTGAGTGGTAGAGGTCAGTGAATTTGTAACTGATAAATTTGTCCCTGAAGTTGACGCTGTAGTTGTTGTATTAGTATTTTGATTTGTTCGTTGTGGTCTGTTTAGAAAACTTCTATACTCAGAAAAATTTATTCCCAGTTGATCGATAAGAGATTCTTGACCATTCACAATGGATTGACCAGATTCTGCAACCAATTGTGCTAACAAGAGAGCCATTTCACTGGTTAAATTTCACTAATACCTAGCCTTAATTGTTCATCACTATCTTCCTCCTCATCCTCTTCATCATCATCATCATCATCCTCATCCTGACATCACCTTCTTCTTCTTCATCCTCATCAACATCATCATTTTCATCTTTCTCATTATCCATTTCTATGTTACCATTACGTTGTTCGTCTTCAGGATCGTCATTATCGTCATCTTCATCATTATTATCTTCTTCATCATCATCAACATCCTCATCATCTTCTCCACCAATATTTTCAGGTTCAGTTTCTAGAATTTCATCGTTTTCATTAATCCCAAATTGATTCGAGAGTCGAATTCATTTTCACCACCAGATTCAGAATCGGCAACCATTTGTCGAAGTGAAACAATACGTCGTGAACCCCATATTCGTCTACACAACCGTAAAATACGATATGCTCTGTCATCATCACTTTCTTCACGTAATGCTGAAATGGACGGTTCAAATCCACCTAAATCAAGAAATTCCGATAACAGATAATTATCTGAATTATTTAGATCAGTATCTAAATTCATATCAGATTGATCACAATCATCTACAATATCATTTTCCATGTCCATAAAATGAATAGGCTCATTAGCATTGAAAGTTGTTGTACTATTACTGATAAGTGATCTGGTTTCACCCTCCCATATCGGTATGGAAGGAGGTTGATTCTAAAATTATCATAGTAAGAAGAAACATAAAGAGAAAAAGCACGGAATCATTGATGTTGTATTTCTCGTTTTTAATGATTTAATAATATAGTACCAAGATGTTATGCAAACAAAAAGGGATAAGTTAAACACAGATATATCAATGGTGAATTTTTTTTCAATAACCTTTAATTTCTACGTTTATAAATTCAGAATAATAACCTAATGAAATATTCGAGTTAAAGGTAAAGACATCTTTTGAAATTATAGGACATGAATTCAAAATCGATGAACATATGAGCCAGGTTCTAGATTGCTTATGATAAGGAGCAGGAAGGCGAGTCAGACAGTAATGATCAATGAAGAGCCTGTTAGAGGTAGATATAATTGAGTCCAGATTATCATATCACATAAGCATGATTCAATGAAAGTAACAGAACGAATAGCAAAGAGATCGAAATAATGTAGTAGCAATGGTAATAAGAAAGATTGACCAATGACGAAAAAGCGCGAATAAACATACGAAGTCCAATTCAAGATCGAAAATAAGATATAGAGTGGATGCGTCTGAGCCTATGGAAACGATTCTGAGTCATGTCGACCAACCTATTCAATTGTTGGTTATAATAATTATAAGGAGCCCCAATCAAGTAAATTATGTCTAGCAGTATGACAGGTCAGCAGTCAATGACTTCATGATTGTACGCGAAACTTAGATTTAAACACCTACTTCTTGGAGCAACCATATATATATATATATATATATATATATATATATATATATATATATATATTTCAGTAACGAAATTAAACTCAAGAAATGTAATTCAAAAGGGACAAATAAGACAAAAAAAAACCAAGCCATTGAACAAAACTGAACAATAAAAAACTGTAAAAACATCACAAATGAAACAGATTTGCTAAATTCAAGTCAAAGCTCATTGGAAGAGAACCAATACATAAATGTTTTCATGAGAACTGTAGTCGAATGTTTGCGACAGTCAAAGAAACAAGCAAACACCATGGAAATGATCATACTGCTAGTCAAACAATAGAATTGTCTCTTGATGGATATAAATGCTCAGTTACTGACTATCTTGAACAAAAAAAAACAAATGGTCGGTTAAAAGGACATGACAACACACGTCATCCGCAACTCGCACGTTTATTCACCTATGTAATGATGGTAGAAATGCAGACGACATCAAAATCCGAAGCAGTGACAGAAACAACAAACACAAATCTCCATTTCATGAACACAAGAACTCCCTGCTGATCAAAAATACAGCGATCAACAATTGTTACTTGGTTTTTAAATGATCAGTAATCATACGTCAAGGATTAAGAACGAAGAGGTGCACGAGTGTAGAAGTCAATTGTACCTTAATGAATGGTTTCATAACACATGTTTACTGAGTAAGTGTTGGTGTCCATGTAGGATGTTAAAAGGAGACTGTTCTTCCAAACTTTGGTTGATGTAACATGCTTAAACTGGGGATTTATACGGCCTCAAACAGGATATCAAACTATGGTTCACTGTATTGTACGCAAGTGTCTGAAATGTGGCTGCACAAGCTCACTCATTCCTCTTTGTGCCTACACTGAAGTATATATTCGATGAAGTTCACTAGGTATGTTGTATGCCAGAACAATGACCAAATATCGTAGTTCAATCAGAACTCAGATGTTGACACCGTGTTTAATTGAGGGATGAGCATAAGTGTATCAAATCGCACATAAATGGCTTTCTGTTATGCTAAGCACATGTAGATATTTAAATAGGATAATCAACTTATACGAATATTCGTCAATATTACAACGAATAGTTTGAAAAAAATTGGGCACCGAGCATAGAAAAGTCAGTATATATGAAAATTATATTTGAATTATTCTCAGGGATTGAAATTTAAATAATTACAACATTTCGTCTAGCAAACTTGTCTGAAGAAGTCAACACACGTTTGCTGGACGAAAAGTTGGAATTAGTTAAATTTCAGTCACTGAGATTAATTCAAATATAATTTTCAAACTTAAGAATGATAAACTGCTGGAAATTACATCTTACGCCTGACTGACATCATGGTTTGAGAACTTGATCTCTGTTACTTTGTTGTCCACATTCTACGCGCCATCATCTTGGTAATTCATCTTTTTTGAATTACCATATTCCCTTCATATTGTAATCACCTTTTAAACTTAATTGGTGGGGATCCACGTCCAAATGAGATAATGAAATCCTTTAAGGTTTAAATCGCTCCTGATGACTATAAAAATAGAGATCTATGCGCATACTAAGGCCTAACATAGAATCACTTAGGTATTTAAAAAACTTGTGATAACCTTACATGCAAAATTTGATATAAAACTTACTAAAATTCTTAAGAAGTGACTTGACCTTCGCTGCCTATTGGTAGTAGTACCTGATCGAGAAGACCAACGGCCAATAGTTTCTTGATGATTGTCAATTAATGACGTTAACTGATGACTGTCGACATTATCTAGATCATCGAGAGAAATTAGTTCCCGTGAGCCGGGATTTTCTTCATTTATTAAAACATCAATCAACTGACTAGGATGTAAAGAATGATATTCTCGTGGAGGACGTCTACGACCAGAGTATGGAGTTGTTCTTGATTGAAAACTACGTCCAGAAGAAACAGTAGGTGTTGTTGGTGTATTTGAACCAAGGGAAGTATATGCAAGATTAGAGCCTTTTACGGATAACAAATCAGTGTCAGTATTCTGAGAGATATTTCTCTCTGAGAGAGGTTTAGTGAATTTGCTCTCACTGGAACGTGACACACTTGATTTTCTATAACAAGAATTATAACGATGACTCAGTGAGGAATGATTTTTAAACCAAGTTATACGACATTTTGGTCTTGCATTAATAATAAGACGACATAAAGCATCACGAGTAGCAGATGACACCTGTAAATGGATAAAATTGAGAAAAATTCAATAACTTATATAAGCTATAAATACAAGTGAAAGGGAAGTGAGTAATTTATGTCATACTTACAGGGACAATGGATACTGCAGGAAGTTTACAAGCTAAAACCAAAACCATACAATTTAATGCGTTAAAAAATCTGTGTTTATGAGCGAATCATTTGCAAATGACCTCATTCAGAGAAAGAATAATCCACACTACACAGATTGGATTAAAGCCCGGTTGACATATGCAAAACACAATTGGTGTTTTCTGCGCGTTTTACGGTCACAAGCAGACTGAGCATGTTATATTGTTAACTCTCCTAAAAATTCACTTTCTTATGCTTGTGAACACTTTTTAGTATGGTCATACAAGAGCATAGATGAGACTATCAACCATTCCATTCTAGCAAATTGAACCAAGTAGAATCATAAGACAGACACCATCCTGTCATTTTCAGTAATCTACCATGTTAAGAATAATCCGTAAATGTGACATAGAGGTATTCAAAAAAATTGTGATGCAAAATGGTGAAATCCTTGAGCTATCCATCTAAAAAATAAATGAGTCTAACCTCTTTACCAACCTAACCGAACAGTCATTTTTATCATACAATGACTCAATAAAGCACATGTGCATAGTCTATTCGTTTGTATATTTTTAAGATCTAAACTCATTAAACTTTGGTGAGTTATTTTGTTTTATTACATTTGTAAACCTTATTTGGTACATTGAAGTGAAGAAGATTTGCAGCTTATGTAGATGATAATGTTGGCATTGAATGGTTTCATTTCGAAGTATTTTATTATGCTTTATGACCACTGATCCGAATCACGTGATAAAACCATGCATCAAAATTCCGATTTTTATGACTTAATGTCTCTGAGTTGACTGATTCCATGCTTAACAAGCACTAGTAACTTTCACACAACTGTTAAGTCCCCATTGACCCACGATTCCCCAGCTTCTCTGTTTGTCCTGGCCTTGAGTCCATTAGTAAGCAATTGATCTCCACCACATTATATTTCAAGCACACGTAGTGCATATACAGGCATACCAGACCACATTACACCATAAAGTGCAAAATAACAACTACACATGATTAAGCCAACAAAGTCGTGCGGGAAGGGGAAACTAGGAAAGGAAAACTGGCAACAGATTGCGAATAGAAAGTCGAACAATATTAGTTAATGCGTTAATCAAAAGCTTATAATAAAAAAACATAGGTACATAATAATCCAGTTCCTTAATAATTATGTAATAAGAATTCATTAAATAATTAGTTATGCAAATTATCATTACTTTAATCTTTGTTCTGATATAACACTTTCATTGACTTCTTTCTCTATGTCAAACTTGTATTTTTGTTGTATTCACGTTAAGAGAATGCAACTTAAACAGAATTATTTAGCACTCTATAATTGTAATCTATGACTTCGTTCTAACAATTAAGTGTATGACATGATCCGTGATGGAATATTGGGTTTTATCATCTTATTATTATGATTACACTTGTCCTACATCATAGCTATTTCTTCCCCTTATTTAGTTTCACAAATTTGTTTGATCTGCAAATTAATTTAAGTGAACAGTGTAAGGTAATTATTTCAACACATACAAGTTTATGTGTATTGCATATTAGAAACTTTCCCAATTTAAAAAGGTGAATTCTCCTGCTTATCATATTCGACCAAAAATATTCAGTCTGAGTTCAAACTAGCATAGTAACCTTTTTAACTTAATAAATAAATTTTAGTCATTAGAACAACTAAAACTTGACAGTGATTCTGTAGAATAGAAAAAAAGAAAATGTAACATGTTACTACTTACTAAAATATTACTATGTGTTAGCATTGTGATTAACAGTTTTCCGTAATAATTTAAGAAGTCAATATTCAATGGTTTAGTCTGTTTACCATGGTGATGATTATTTTCACTAGGCAGTTCAATTAAACTTTTCATAATCAACTCATCTAACTTCTTATTATCATCACCATCATCTGGTAATTGGTCGTCTATAATTGTACATAAAAATAGTGTATATAGTGAACGCGTTAATGGATTCATAAAGCACCGAATGGATTTATTATAATAAGACTTTGGTCTTAAATCCAGTGGAGATGACGACGACGACGATGAAACTGACAGACAATCTTTACAATTTTGTAAATTTTTATTAATGACTGAAGATAACTGAGCTATATCCTGTTCTAATGTTAAAGAAAACAAATCAAATTTTGCAGACCATATAGGATCGATAATATGCGATGTATTCGTAGGCACTGGTAAATTAGAAATAAATAAATTGAATAAGTGATTTATAACTGTATAAAATGATATATTATCATTTGTAGATTGATAATGTTGGTGTTGATTAGATAACCACTTAATTAAATGCAGTGGATTGATGTGTAGAAAATGATAAATTTCCATTGAAAATTGTCGAATTAAACGAATTGACTTGATAGTTAAATAATGTTTAGATATCATATCATCAACATTAGCATCAGTGTTACTCATGTTATCAGTTAATTGTTTCCATGAATAATTCAATGGATGATATAGAATTTCATTTAGAATACACTCGATATTGTTAAAATTATATGTATAACAATTATTATTTGATATTTTCAATTCTTCAATATTTAGAAAACGTGTAGTCATAAAAGCTAACTGATAAAGATGCATTGATAAACTAATCATCAGTGTCGGTTGAATATTAAACAGACTACAAGTTGACGAGTTCAATAATGATATCCAATTGAGAAATTTCATTATTTCTACAAGTAGTATATTTAGACTGGTAGGAGGCTTTTTTTCATTTTCCACTGTTTGTCTAAATTGAATACTACCATCGAAACCACCAGAATTATTATTGTATTTATCGAAAGTTTTTCTTAAACTGGACAAAATTATCTTGAATCCCGTTAAATTCGGATTCTGAATAAGGGAGAAAAAAATATAAACGACAAAATTAGGTAAAATATATTACATACATCTCAAATTTGATAAGAATCTACCTAAATCCAACTCGATAATCAAGTACATGTCTAATATTCAATATTTAGTTGATTTATGATTCGTTAAGAACATGAATTATTGCAATATGAAGACAGAAATTGCACAATGCTAACCGATGTCAAACGCCTTGAGATATGTGAGTGATTTCCATTTCCCGATCGCCTACACCATGAAATGACACTGCTACTTGAGACCAAAAAATAAAACTAGATTAGTGATGGGCTTTTTGACAGGGGAACGGAATCACAGTACCCAATTGGCAACAGCTTCAAACCACAAACGTCCTTGTTTTGTCTAGTTGTAGATATGGTTCCTCTGTAAATAAAAAACACTACAGATAGTGACTGGAATCCATCGGCAAAAGTGGGGTGCGATGATTTTAGAGTCAACCATTTCGCACCCATCCCTTTAGAACAGAACAGCGTCGTTACATATGGTGGGCGTCCGATGAAACTACATTTCTGCCATCACACCTCTATAAATTCGGCATTATGACCGTCCCCGGATTCATTTGTTCCGTATTTATAAGGCATTACCAAGGTTGACCGAAATTCATGTTTGATAGTGTTAGTTCCGCCTTTCTCTGACCTACTTGTCTGACATAGTACGATATAAAGAAAAGATTATTGGAACTATCGCAGATCAAATAGGTCATTACGGTAGCCAACCTTGATCACTATTTAAAGGTAGCAGCTAAGGTTAGGTTGCATTGTGTTAGTAGATACTAATCGCTACAGATAATAGAAACGTATGAAGTAGCACAGATAGGCATATTCAGTGAAAGTGATCATTGATATTGATTTATAATCTGTGTTTTTAACCATTATACGATATACGATCAAAACGTTTCTGATCCTCTACCAACTGATCCACTATTTTAAAGTCTAAATCACCATAGTTGATTACCATATACTCGATAAGGTGTACTGAAACGAAGAAGTAGTTTGGAGAATGAGTTTCGAAATTTTAACGGTCACAAGGTGTTTCTCACGTTCAGAAATATAAGAAATTCTTTTAAAAAATATACCAAGAAGTCAGATAGATTGAAAAACCTTATGAACATTCAACGAATAAAGTAGATAATATGCACTAAACAACCGTGTTGTACTGGACAGTGAAAGATACTAAATCGGAAAAAGGACAATGATGGCGTGTGTTAAGGACAAACTTTCGCCTTGGGCCACTTCAATGTGTATCTATAAATTTACTTGCTCATGTGGGGCATGTTACATAGGCCGCACAAAGCGATCATTATCCAAACGCATCTCCGAACATTATCCGGCTTGGCTCTTGAAAGGGGAGCGAAAATCAATCACGAGTTCTATACAGGAGCACTTAATCAACTGTGGACATATCGCTCCAAAAGACTCTTCGTTTAAAATAGTTTACAGAGTCAAAGGAACGGGATCGAAGGGGTTCGAATCAATATTTTATGCACCGCAGAGGCATTGGCAATCCACAAACTAAAGCCTGAACTTTGCGTGCAGAAACGATTTGTCCAACCTCTCATCCTACCCTGGCCCTAATTCCCCTAATGGGTATGTTTCTAGGTGTTTTTTTATTGCACTTTTATTATTACATTTTGCACTTTAAACTCTAATTATTTATTATTATTACCTTTTACAAGTTTTCTTGATTATTATTCAGTCTATTATTGTGACCTTTGTTGTTTTGTCGTTTTTCTTCATATCTGTCAATTGGACTATTATCTGACCCTTAAATTTTGTTCTTCCTTACCCCTTGATTAGTACGTAACCTCATTTGTTATTTATTGTCGAATCCATTTTTGTGATACAATCCATTCTATCCTTCTATAGACATACATTTTCCATATAACTATATATACGAATGTACAGCTTAAGTAAATGATTTCGTCGAAAAGAAAATTTTCTTCGCTGAATTCTCTTTTTCTTATTCAATGATGGCTTTATCAAGAAACTGCATTGGTTCACTAATGTACTGATTATTCAAACAAATCGTACCATGAGGTGCAGACGTCCGGGTTGAGACTGTTGATAAAACTTGAATGTATGGTCGGAGACCTTAAGTGGTGTAGCTTAAAAAAAATTGGTTGGTATAAGTGTATCCATTTTCATCTTCCTCCAAAAATCCAGTTTTTTATGAATACACAATTCTAATTTTTGATTATATTAATTCATAAACAACTTGGTTGAGAATCTTGTTAATTACCTCTCTTTGTGTGCAGTTATGATGCATGATAACTTTAGATGTACGTAATTATCAGGACCTACATTAATGGTGACTGGAATACTAATTGGCATGACTTCACTGTCTGATATACAGATGACTAACTGTATAACATACCGTTGGCAGAAAATATGAATATAACGAAGTGATACACAGAATTATCATTAAATCTAAAATAATGACAAAAAAGTAAAGAATGGATTACAATTCAATTCCTACTTTCAAAATATACCGTGCACAAAACTCACATGTTCAGATTTTGAGGTGATACCCATATTAACTATCGCACACAACATGTTAGCAATTGAAGCTGTCAAGCCACAATAATCACGAATCAAACATAGTGGAATAGAAGACAATGGTGATAATGTAGTCGATAATGTAGAATTATCCATTGAGATGAAATGTGAGCAGTACATTGAATTTGACAATGCAAATATGGTACTTGGTGGAGGTGGAAATGGTTTTGAGATAGAGAGTTGTGGTAAACGAGAATGTGATGTTTTCTTACTATTGCTTTTATGATCGTTACAAACTAATTCAGTTACAAAACCGGTACCGAACAAGCGATCAAGTCTGAAAGCTAACGACTGTTCTGTAAGTGTAAAATTACAAAATGCAATTAAAATCTATAAGTACATGGGGGATAGAGGTAATACGAATAAATAGATTTGTAAGCAATCATTCCAAACATGTACATACTAAAACACAAATGGTTCTGAAAAGAAACAATGTCTTTATACTTTGGATCAGACTATCATGAAAACCCAGAAAGGGAGGGTATAATTTTCCTCTTGACATAGGAATCTACGGAAGTGAGCACTCAACAACCCACCTGCGATCAAACCTAAAACCTTTAAGTCTCGCAGTGAGGGTTTAAACACCATGACCAACTAGTCTACATTTCTAACTTCAATGAATTCCATATAAAGCAGGACTGCCATATAATGATATGGGTGATATTTGTCTCATGCCCAATACCGTTAAGTTAAAATGGTCACGAATTCTTTTACTGAATAAATCATCAAGCAATCAAATTTTTTATGATGAAAAATTGTGATTTGGAAGAAGAGTATATTTATGACTACATGAACTTAGATATACCTATTGAGTTTACATACATTCAAACTGACTTTTAACAACAAAAAATTAAATTTATAGGTGATTATTAAAAGTCATTGACTACTTATAGTAAGCATCATTAAATTTGATTCATTAAAGTAACGAAAAAAATACCAGGTATTCTAAGGCAATAATACATTCTAGAAACCTTAAAAAAATTCTAGCGTCACACAATATGCCACCAAATCACTGTGAATTTGAATTTTATAGGCTATATTCTCAACTACAGTTAATTAATGATAACTCAGTGAGACGACCATTCGACACTAAAGTACATGCCCTACTAGTAGTTCTTTTAGCTGAAAAACTATATGATACTAGGATGTGACGAAACAAATTCTCCACAAAGTATCGAACTAACAAGCAATTTTAAAAATTGTTTAACAGTGTTCTATCTCTGTTTCCATCATTTAAAACAGTCTACGAAAATAGCCTCATCGTCTCAAGTTTTGTGACCTTCGTTCAATGTCTTTTTAGTAATTCGTTCACTCATAAAAAATTGTGTTGAGTAGAAGAAGGATGTTCAAATACGGCAAGCTTACTAAAAACACATCGACGATATCACACTGACTTGGGATAATAATCGACTAAAAACAACGGGACAAGACCCTTGATAAGTTATCAGTATGATAACCATCATATAAGTTCAGTTGGTGCATTTACTGAATAAACTGGATATTTCTTGCATTTGAAAGTATTAAAAATTAACGGTAATTTGATGCCTCCAAAGATAAACTAGGCGAAACAATATCGCATCCACAGAGCATAACAAATAATAACCTAATAGATTCGAAAGAATGAGAGTATGAAAAAACTGAGGTAGCAATCAACACATCATTGCAAACAATTAACTTACCAAAAGCGTTATTCATTTTATCAAATTCTTCTGAGTCGATAACAGCATCACTTAAATTTTCATGCATACCATTATCATCATTATTGTCATCAATATTGCATTCACCAATACTATCATCATCATTATCATTAGTAGTAGAAGTAGTAGTATTCTTCAAAACAAACAAATCCATTGGACCTTTAACTTTCTTATTACAATTACTCTCATTTAACGGTAAGGTTTGTAATTTCTTTTTAGACAATTTATCAGGGTTCAAGTGGTGATTTGTATGTATCAACTGTTTTTCACCTAACAATTTAACAGTTGGACTTGAGTGCGATGATAAAGATGAAACTAGATCACGACCAATAGAATAAACCATGATACAATCGATACATGTCATATCTTCAGGATCATCACTAGTGCCAACTGTAAAGTGGATATGTCATGCATATAAAAAAAGACTGATGATGAAACAATTATCAAAATGAAATCAAGTTTATAAATATGTATGCATCCTGTGTAAGAGTTTAGTATAGAGATATCATGAATAAGAACGGTAAATCTTAACGTATTGTTAGAAAATCAGTAAGCAGTTATTGTAAATGAACACTATATAGCAGAAACACTAACGTTACAAGTGCTTTACACAATCAATAAATATATAGAAGTTTTCTGAAGGTATCTCTATCTGTAAGTCGAACAAACAACATATAAATTTGTCAATAACGCTGTAAAACATCTATTTTCTCGAACACTTATGAGGAAACAAAAAGTTTTCAGAAGTTCCATGTTGTTTCTGGTTACAGTTAGAAACAGATATTTAGCAATGAGGTTTGTGATGTAAGGTCAAGTTTAACTTGTAGCTTATATACAGCCTACATAGAAAGAATCGAACATTTGATAAGTTAAACATTATCAATTTAACCCAATGATGACGGAATATACATACGTCACCTAGATGTAGTTCTCTGGTTTCAGTACAAACTTCGGGACAAATTTATGGCGAAGATGATGTTTTAAAAGACTACGAAAAAAAGTAAGGATGGCGATGAAAATATTATTCTGAAGATGATCACAATTCTGAACGCGCAAACTATGATAGTAAGCTCATACAAAAGCGGATATTATAGCTGACTATTACAAAGAAGGCAATTACTCCCATAAGTGACCGACACTTTTGCAAACATCAATAACTATTGATATCACATTAAATTCTTAATATTATAGGAGGAAAGGCATAGGAGGTGTATAAGAGATTTAAAAACCGTAAATAAATGTTATTCAGTGAGCTATGTGAAATATAATAACAGTTATGGGAATTTCCATAACCCATATTCATTGATCATAGTTTTACAAACACTGAAAACCGGGAAGGACTAGGTAACTGTTTCTTTTTAGCAAGTCACTACATGGCAATCTGAAAAAACGAACTTTCCAGGGACCGAACCCAAAATCTTCGGTTTCATGTGAGAACATTTGACCTTTGAACCATTGAGTTAAGAGAATTAAGCAAAATAGGAACACAAGTGAAGATAATATTTACAAATGTTTGAAGTAAACAAGGTAGAAATGATTTTTATTATGACATAATCATTCAGTCAGTCGTTTTGAGTGGTGTTAGAGGTATGAAAGCGGTTATCAATTCCCGATAGGCAAGCTTAACCAGCACGTCAAGATAGCAGCAACGGTCAGGATGTAATCATTCAGAGGATAGAGTTCATAAATGACTCATTCACATACAAAACTATTTAACAAACAACATATTCATATGCATGAGTTTGCTGTCAGCTAATACATGTGTACATTAAAGACAGTTGAAAGAATTTTGTCAAGATTGCTTTGGTATATACGTTACTTTTGCTATAAACTGGTCATAGTTCAGGTATTGTTGGAACGAAGAAAGCAGTGAACAGCTGTATCATTTTCATATAGGACTCGCTTCCATTGAATTCTCATGAACCAACAGGAGATAGAACGTAGAAAATTCAGAACTCGCGACTAAGACTAACCATCAGAAATAGTGGACCGGTGTCAAACAGTACAATTTAAGCTTCCATTAATTAGCGATACACCATTATCAGTTCAAGTGAGTTGATATTCTATGGAGCCGATAACTTTATTACTACTGATGAGAAGTTGTTCAAATTATTATCAAGTGTGAACAATAATAAATAAGCTGCTAACAACCTTAAACTGCATTATTCAATTAAAATTGATATAGAAATAAAAATACAACTGATTGAACTCTGAAAAGTGATTACTACTATATTCCACTAATCTTTTGGTGCAGATAACACGTTATTTATCAGAATTCAACAGGACGATTAGATCGAGTGACCCGATATTCCGTGCATTATGTTGAGATTTTTGAGTAAATCGTTATGTCACAGACTGTGAAGCTGGATAGAATCCTATAAAAAAAATCACTTCTCTCAGAAATGTACATACACCTTGCTGATGAGTATCAACCGACACGAAAATTAGGTCTTCTAGTATTACTTGTTGAGTACTCAAAACCACCTAACATCCCAAGAAGAAATATTGCAGTACGATAACTACGTAGAAGAATGAGGTTATTAAAGTTTATTTATAAACTTTTAACTAATACTTGTATTATTATGATTAACATTAATTCCAGGTAGTTCAAATTAGAAAAATAATAAGTATAAAAAGTTAAACTTACCAACAAGTTGTAAAAATTCACTTGACTTTAACATTTCACAACGATACAACGGTAAATCGATTGTACGCCCTGAAGTCATTCCAGGGTAGGGTAGTGGGACAAATATAGTTCTATTGAATAACTAAAAATTAAAGGGAAAGTGTAAATAAATGTTAGATCCGTTTATTACGAATCCATTACTCATAAGTAACCAGCTTACTTTATTGTATCATTGATTAATGTTAAACTAATTACTCGCTAATTGCTTGATATAATTCACATCTGTCTCACCGTGTTGAACTGGTCGTTTTTCGACTGTCGCTGCTTAGTTTATCAATTTGAACATGAAGTTTTTTTAACCTAAGCTATTTATTCTCTGATGTAAAAACATTTATTATTTGTAAAGATTCGAGTATTAATATTTTGAGAAGCCGAGGCAGTTTTCTGACTTTGATCAAACTTAGATGTGTCATTTCGATGAATTTAACACTAAGAATGAAAATCCACTAAAAAATGCAGATCCCAACAATAAACATTTAAATTTAATTGATTCCTTATGTAACACATTGGCCATTATATTGTCGAATGACAGAGCAAAGTAATTGATAAGAATTAATGAACAAGGTTTTCGATGGCTATTGTGGCTACCTAATGATGAGGTGCAATACTGATCTGAATAAAAACACTGACAAAAAACATGGATTTTGTCTTATTTACAGTCATGCCTTTGGTGATGTTGAAAATAAAATTTTGTAAAATACACTGAATATGACTGGAAAACAAATAAAAAAGAGTTAGCGTATACCTTGAAAAATCTTGGCCATCGACTTGTATTCTCATCGATTGATGATGGTGATGATAATCCAGGCAATGTTACACGGAGACCAGCAATTAGAGTATCATTAGAACGACGATTATAAATGTCAATAATATAAGCTATATGCTGTTGTGATTGTTGTCCAATAGATGTAGATGAATCTTTTGATTTAGCATTTAATCCAATTGATGCTCTCGATAAAGTAGAATTTCTCGACCCAACATGTAGTTTGTCATCTCGACAGTAATTATTAATAAAACGTGTGCAAGTACCAGCACCAGTGACTAGATTCCCTGGTGTCGTTAAACGCCGTCTTAACTGTTCATAATTATAAAATTGTAAGAGATCTGGACCACCAAAATCAATCTATACATCAATTAGTTCAAGACAGAAGAAAAAAAACAACCAAGAATATAAGTGAAAAATAAAAGGAAAAGAAATGATTTGCAAGCGATTATCGGAAATTTATGCAATAATGTTTTCTGCAAGTTGTAACTCATTGATAGTATGAAAGACATGATGTGAAGCTTCTGGTGTAATTTTCGTTACTAACGAAAATTTGAGTCATAACCGTCAATAATGCATACGAAAAACGTTAATAAAAGCATGCTCTATATGTCATTCATGATAAAAAAAATAACAATGTTACGGATTTTTAGCAACGAGATCTATCATTATACGATAAAATAAATGATTATGGATCTAGTTTGTCGGCTGACGAGTTAAACTTTCGACCTTCAAGTCTCAATTTCAAGTTCTGCTTATCTACAACGGTCTATGCAATCGGAGTATGTCAGTACTTCACACCAAAAATGTAGATTGAAGTCTATTACACGAATCTATAATTGATAAATTAGTTATCTTGTAAACCATAAAAGTCAACTACATTTAAATAAGCTTCAAGAATTACAAACAAGTACACATACTTCGTGGGTTTCGGATACATGTTCGAAAAAGTCAATAGGTAAAGGACCAAATGCCGGTGATTCAATAAAATATTTCTGCAGTGTTTCAATCGTGTTTTCATTAATTATTGTTAATGATCTCTTTCTAGGAACTGGATTCTGCTGCTGGTTGGAACATTTAAAACTTTCAGATAACTGATAAAATGATGTTGTTGCCAAATCCCATAAAACACCTTTCGGTAAATTACAGAGTAAAGAGACGATCGTATTAGGACCATTTGATAAGCATCCACGACCAACTGATATAGGTTTCTCAGAAAAATCATTTTGTAACCAATATTGTCCAGGTAGTACAGATAAATGATAATTAGGCGTTTTTTCTTCAGGTTTACACTTGTTTATATTCTTCGAAGTGTAGATTGAAGATCTAGGTGTTAAACAATATGTAAATTGAATAAAAAGTCACTAGATTAAACGCATAAAATTAAACTACTTTCAGGAAGTCAAGTAGTTGAATAATATACAAATAAAAAAGAAAAGTAGGTACTTTTCGAGTGTGTCAAAGACTGCTGAATAAAAAAGACAGCTTGTTTACCGTTACAATAACAAATTTTGATGATTAACAATCTTATAAGCTAAAGAAAAAAGTTTAAATGAATGGATGACTAAATATGCTGCATTTCTATGCACCTTTTGTACACGATGTACGTGAACGAAGCAATATGCTAAAGTGAATTAAAACCTGTGACGTTTTGTAGGACGCTTATTTTGCTATGGCTAGAGATTCTAATCAGTATCAAGTGCAATTTAGCCAATTAGACCTATGATGTATATCATGTACTAACAAACAGAAAAGCAAAGAAAAACCAAGATTTTAAAGCCCGTTGGTCCTCAAGTCCCTTCTTTTAACTCAGTAGTCAATCAGAAGATATAAATAAGACACAAATTAGTTCTCTGTTGTATCCAACTCAATTATGACTCAAAACACATGGAATAACATACTGGAAATGTCTAACTAGACAGTAAACAAAACAAGGAATCAGACTTAGAGCACAATAATACCATAAGCGGTAGACAGTACCGAACTAATTAGCAATAATTAAGAAATAGTAAAAAAATATAACGACAGTCGATAAGACTCCTGAAAGCCTGCAATAAAAGAACGTACAAATGCAGTCATAAAATTATCTACTAATTATGCAATAAAGATGTAAATATTCGTTCCGAACTGACCAATATTCGTTCCGTTAAAACTTATATATATATATATATATATATATATATATATATATAACGTCAACATATATGAGAAGTATTGCCAAAATACATTTTTTCTGAAAGACATCATATAATGACTTGATACAGATTAACTGGCTAAGATCTTAATTCCTACCAGCAAACAAGATAAGAACCAATCAGAAATTAGTATTGCTCTAATGTAATAGGTACCGATGAAATTTAAAAAATTGACAGGGGTCAACGTGTTAATTAGGCAAGTCTAATTATGAGATATGTCAACAAAAAAAAACAAGATTCATGTTTATTTATATTAACAAAGAGATTAAAACAATAAACAAATATAGGATTTATAATAAAATGAAATAAACTACTGATTAGGTTTCACATTTTAGCCAATCTTTTCAATCAATGAAGTTTATTAGTAGGAAAAAAGTTGAAGAAATAACAATATATAAACGTCGATAAACACACCTTGGAGCAGAAGCATTGATTAGTAAATGCCCATCTGATGTTAATAAAAATGTTAATGTGCGACCAACGTATTCTGGAGAGCCAAACCAATGGAACGAGAATGAATCTAATAATTGAGTTGAAGCAGCTAGAAATTGACGAAATGAGTTATTGTTAATATCAATATTATTTTAAAAAGTTAATAGATTAAAATTTTCGCAAAAGATAGCCTACGAATATATTAAATACTATATACCGATAAAAGCATATATTTTCTAAGTAAAGTGATTTTTGAAATATCGAACTTTAATTATTTGAATTAAGATCAATTAGATAGCCAATCAAAATTAAGAAATATTGGAAAGCTGTTTCATTCTACTAAAAGACTTATTTCCAGTGCAGATCCGTGATCCTATCAGAGAACGAACCTATGATCTTCGTTTCCTTCAATGAGCATTTAACCTACTGTTTCGTAGGTTGTTATTCAATGATTCAATCAATCCAGCTACATTATAGTGTCATTGGAAAATAACTGCCTCACAGATTTGACATAATTAAACTTCCTCTGTCATCTTTTTTCGCTGGTAATCTCGAAAATTACGTTTCAGAATTAGTTACACACGCATGGGCTCTATAATATCTTAAGTTACAAAAACCAAATAGTAAACAACTAAAATAAATATGAAAAATAATGCTAAGGTAGAAAACTCACATGACATTTGCCCTGCTTCAGACCTATCTAGGTTATGGACATTTATGTTCCCGCTTAAATTATTGGTGGCAGTAGTAGTAGTCAGCGTGGTAGATGTAGTGGTAGCAGTATTAGTAGTAGTATTAGTAGCACTACTGATAGTAGTTGTTGTTGCAGTTGTCGTGGAAGTTGGCAATAATTTGCTTGTTGTTGTTGTTGTCGTCAAATTTTTTATTGTTGAATCATGAATATTAAATAACCGTGAACTAGGATGAACAAATAAATGTTGTATCCATATTTGATCTGGTTCAAATGCCATTAGAAATGATTGATGCTGTAAAGACGAATTAGGTACCAGCGGTATTTTAGATAGTGCGCTCACCAGACCTGGATGATCATCTATTTCCGTCCAACGATATAATGGACCGATACTGGGAATTATTGACTTTTGATTTGGATGAGTACATGATAATGATGATGACGATGATGAAGTTGACTGTTGTAATGACGGATCAATAGCGGAATGAGCTGCTAAAAGTAACGAGATCAGAAGATTATCTGAATCTATATAACAAGTTTCCGGATGAATCACAGGTGAATTTCTGCAACAACAGAAATTAAAAAAAAAAATAAATTAGTATGACCCGAAAACGTAGATCAATGTCTAAATTTTCAGTCAATCATAATCAACCGAGAGCCTGATGTAAACGTGCGTCAACCCGAGTTGCACTATCAAAGTCATACCACGAAATGAAATTAACAAGAATAATAGCAAACGAGATCGAAATAATGTAATAACGATGGTAATAAAAATAAATCAACGTTGAGAATATAGTGGGAAAAGAGGGAATACAAACGTATATGAGAATATTGGGACTCATGATCCAGAGAACGATCACAAACAAACGCATTTTCACCACTATAATTGATTCCGAGCTATATTACCCGACCATTGATAGTGGTTATCACGTAGGTCTTGCCAGGTACTCTGTATCTACCAACATGTGCCAGACCAAGAATCAGTGAATTCATGAACTGGCGCCACATTTCGATTCGATTGCGCCACGCCTTCTTCCATTCTACTTTTACACCAGCAAATAAATATTGCTAAAGAGGAAATTAGTATCAGATCTATAACATCATCTATCATAACAAATACTATTAAACGGAAATTGCGACATACAAACAAATCATAATAATAAATATATTCTTCGATAACAAGAAGAAAGAAACAGTAGATGGACTAACTTGTGAAATTTGGCAGATGGTGTGACGTAGCCAACACCAGTGGTTGGTACGTTCCCATCTCCGCGTCTTGGGCCAACTGCCAGTAGAAATGAATGAGTAATACATAATTCCTTTCTATTTTGTTGTAATGTTTGTGCTGTGGAGTTATCGGTAGTGTTAAATAATTTAATTCCACTAGCAATGGAATGACCAGACTGATAAGAATGTAATAAAAGACCCATTGAATTGATATACTGAACACTAACTCCACCACCGCCAAGTACGCCAGTTAAACGGTCTAATGTTAATTCTGGAATTGTTCCTAGATCACCCGACGATGTGGTTGTATTGGGGTTCATTTTTAAACTGTTGATATCCCATTCCAATGATTCAGCTAGAAAGAATGGACCTAAGAATGATAGGCAAAGAGGGCCCAGTCTCTGAATAATGAAAGATAAAAATAAATAGAAGATAATCAATAAATTGTGTGTCATACTGATGATTTGTCAGGTACAGATTTGTGTACTTGAAGTCAAACTACATTCTAATTGTGAACGTTGATTAATGATAGATACTAACCAGTTACCTAAACCGAAGAAGATAAAGCTTGGTTCCAATATGCAACTTAATGACTAAGAGCTAAATGTTTTAACTATCCACGGAGCCACTAACACTCAGTTTGATAAATCATGAGTAAACAAAGATATCCAGTATAATATCATTATATAGGAAAAAATAGTTTAATCAAATTTAAGGAATATTTGTTTGTCATTGTTTATGAAGATAAGAATAATTATTGGCAGTTTTTTTTATTATTAGATCTCCATATATCTCGAAAACATTGGGTGGATCCATTGTTCACTGATTAAAGTGCTTAACTTTCGTCCACTAATTCCCATGGGTCGAAAGCTGCCTGACTTCGGTTTAGTTAAGATAGAATTCAGTTAAAAAGGTTGCGGTATCTTGTAAACTTTTAAACGACTTTTATATTTTCTTGAGAGAAGTTCGTACCATATGCAAGCTCCCATGAAATAATTACTCACTTATTTCGTTTAAAATACAGTTCAACCAATCAGTATGGAGAAGTAAAAAGAAAAGCTAAGGTTCAATCGAAAAAGGTGGTACACAAGTAAGTGATAAATCATTGCTCTTTATACTACTCTATCAGTAAATGACTAGTTCTGTCAAAACTGTCCGGAATAATTTTTACATTTATAGGATATCCAGATAGAAGAACATGAAGTTACAAAACGTACAGATCAACCTTAATAATTCAATATGCAACTGTATTATTTAGATATTACAATATTAAATAAAGTTGAAATCAGATCATGAAGTTAACTGTATAACAGTCCAAGACTTGGTGAAATACACTTATACACGGATATCAAAGATATTGACAAAAGATGAGCATTCTATTTATTTGGTTATTTTGCAATTTATTAAGCCGATATACACAAACAACCGCTTCTAGACTACGATACAACCGAAGTTGTCTGTACTTGAAGAACTACATCGAAAAATGGATCCCTACAAGTCAGTCATTTGTTATACAAAAAATAATTGAGGATGATTTGATGTGAAAAACAATAACTGTTTGTTTAAATTACTTAAAATGCACTTTACAAAGTATATATTCTTCAAAATAGGTATGTTATTTACACCTTCATTGCTAAGTTTTGTATCGCTCTGTGCAGAGAATAGTATATTTGTTACTGTTCAAGCTAGAATATTTAACATTGTATTAACAATATTTTCTCAATATTTTTTTCTTGCTTCAAAACAAAGTCTTTAATATTAAACCTCCGGACTATTTTAAGTAATAATTAATGAGGATAAGAAGTTAGGATTCACATTTTACACATGTCACAAATAATCAGTAGTGTAGTGTGAAGAAACTATAATTAATCCTACTCAAACAAATAACTAAAATGAGATAACATACAAAAGAAATGACAGTTGTATGAACGAAAAATTGATCCGAAAAAATTTACAAAACTCATGAATATAACAAGATGAAGTAAAGAAAAAAAAGCAAACCTGATGTAAAATAGAACCCATATTAGCCATAACTAAGAGGTGAATGTCCCATTCATGCGAACCACGGACGTTATCGTAATCATCAACATTTTCAGTCTTCGAAGTATCGCGATCATTACGATTGTTAGTTTTTATCTGTTCAAGCGAATCACTGACGTTATCATAATCATAACCATTTTCAGACATCGAAGTATCACAACGATTAGTGAGTATTTCTTCTTTACCCCGCTGTTGCATAGATTGTAATGGTAGGCGTATAAATGTTGCATCACAAAAACTTCCATCAACAGGTTTGAAATGATATTTCGGTTTACTTGGATTAACGAATATATCAAATATCTGGATAGGCGGTAAGAGAGAAAATAAAAAGAAGGAAGTGCAGAATAGAAAAAATATCTCTTGCAGAAAGTTACTACAAATTGGATTATATATATATATATATATATATATATATATATATATATATATATATATATATAATGTTTAACCTAGACGTCTAAAAAACAATCTTATTTATTTCCTTTGGAATTTCTCTCAGAATCTTAACAGGTCTAATTATTACTAGTAATCTACTTTCCTGTTTTTCTTAGGATTGTCTAACTGCTAACGATTACTCAATTTTTTATTGTATAGTTACCAGTTACAAACTGATATTTCACGCATAAACGGTTACTGTATGTTCCAAATATCTAAAATTATTGCTAATTAATTACGGACCTATCTTAGGCTTATGGCGAATTTATGTCTATATTGTAATTCATTTTTTTATGTTGATATGTGGCCAAAAATCTACTATACATTATAGCATGAGTTGAGTCATAAAACTGAGTTGTATAGTAGACGTTTGCCTACATGTAGTATTCCTATTTTACTCCAGTTATTGCGCAGTCGCGTGTGTGGAAAGTGTATCCTGAAATAAAGACATTTGGCTTATTTCGGCCCTTCACTAACGGTTGATCTTAGCAGTCGAAGTGTATAGTTGATCAGAGCTAGAATATCAACAAAATGGTGCAAGCGGACTAAAGATATATTACAGGATTCATATCATTGAAGTGTATCAAACCAATGGCGATTTCCCATTTATTAAAAACTACAATTGATAAACCAAAAATTTATATTTGTTTATTGTTAGATGATCAGTTTAACACTATGAAGACTGCAAAATTTATGATCATGATCGTCTCGTGTTCATTAGGAGCACAATAGGTCAATTATAAAGGTGTATCTTTGAAGATCGATTCATTCATAAAACTGTAATCCAGTAGTGATACATTAAATAAATTAGAGTGTATAAACTACTTTAAAGTAGTAAAGAATATATATAGAACTATCAACTATTTTGTAATCACTGACAGATCATAGTGAAATTAACTCATTACAACAAACATATAACTGATTTATTACTTGAACAGATGATCAGTGAGAATAGCCAACAGGTTAATCGAATTCGGTAACCAAATAGCTTTGATAATTTGTTCTCGTCTTGTCCCGACAACTGGGATCACTGAGATACGTCCGCATATTTGACCAGCAGATGATAAACTCATAACAACACATTCCTGTAATGATATTTGAGAAATCAATTCACAAAATGAGATATAATCAAATTCAGTAAAATATTTTAAACATACGTGAATTAAATTAAAAAGGTCTTCTTTTGAAAAAAAATATATATGAGCTCTACAAAATCGGCAGAATTAACATTATTAAGATTTTCTTGATCATTAACGATTTTGACTTAGACAAAGAACATATTGATCGAATATCTTGTATCGGTCTACAGAATATACACACAATGATTTAGTTACCTTAGTCTAGCTAACAATATTTGTACTAAAAAATACCTTTGAATAATTGAATAGTAACTATGCTTCAGAATCAAAATATTTTTACAGAAAAGATAGTAACCTATTGGTCAATATTTATTTATGGTAAACAGAAACAAAAAAGAACTAAATATTGTATTAAAAAAATGACAATTTACTCACCCATAAACCACAAATAACAAATGTTGATGAACATGATGGATTGACTGTCATACTTGAAATGAGGATACCAGCTGTTGCAGTGCTGATTTTAGGCAAATTGTTTAAACTGACAGAAAGTTGTTTCAAATGTTGATTCATTTCTTTTGACATTGCATTTAATGATGTTGCTAATTCTGTTGTAATAATATCTGTATTGGATTTTACTAAATATATTATAAAAAGTAAAAATAATCATTGTATTTAACACTAATATTACAGTCAAGGTTTAATTCGTGGAGCAATATAGACAGACTATTGTAACTAGTTCCTGTCTTATATTCATTTTATTGTAACGGAGCGAGTATTGGAAAAGTTGAAATTGTGAAGTTATTCAAATGACTATTAACAGTTATACCTTTTTTCGAATAATTAGTAGACAATTGGATTGTTGTATTTCTATATTGCCTGAATTGTGAGCTAACATTGGACCAATTAATTATTGTTTTATTACGCCTAAATTATTGTTAATTAATAGGTCACGTTCACTTGATTTTTCGTTCCATATGCCTTTATTGTGTGCTACGTATGGTTTTTTATTTGGGATGTGATGTAGTCCGATGATTTTTGTCTAGAAAGTACTGACTATTTGAGTTAAAAAGACTAAGTGACTGATATGCAGATAAATAGAAGCTTGTCTGCTGCATTCTAACTTACTGAACACGGAATGGACTAGTAGAATAGTGTATGTACTGAACAAATGGAAGTTAAGATTATATTGACATTAACTCAATGTTTAATCGTATCTCTCATAACGAGTGAACGGTCAAAAACTAAGAAGTTAGTCGATAGATATATATTACAGGATTCTTTTTGGTGAACCTTATCAGATGATATCAATTGACGTTCGCATTCATAAAGCATTTAACCTGTGAACAAACGAAAAAGACGTATAAAAGATTTTGAAAACAGTGATGTGGTATCGACCATTCTTTGTTTGTGAACTTTTTCGAGGAGTATCTTTTTTCCCAGAACAATATATTAAATGTATGAGTTCCATAGTAATTACCTCACGTTTCAATAAACAACAGACAAGGTTTGGTAAACTTAGCAACCACCATAGTGGCTTCGATTAAACTTTACAGTAGTCAGATTAGTTATCTGGTGGATTATCTTCGTATTAAATCACGAGTACATGCGATTAACTTAAATAATTGATCAATCAGGTTTTAAACCAGAAAAATCTGAAAATAAGTGGTCTAGAAGTCTTAGCAGATTTCCAACGGAAGATACTCATTATAATCAGTTAAACTTGTAAAAAAAGACATTTATAGGACAAGTAATGCAATACCAATATTGCAAAGTAAATCAATAATATGTATATTCATAATGGTATAACTAAAGAACTTGTTACATAAACAAATGCGTTTTATCTTTTTATTGAGTAATCTAAAAATGTTACCTTTAATGTTATAAAAACATTAAGGGTTGGTCAATTAAGAAATTTTTTCGTATTTTATACTCCTGAACTGAACACTGACTACTTCATTCATTCTTCCATTCAATGTTCAATATTACACAAATGAAAACAGCTCAGAATAATGCTTATTCACGACAAAAAGTAGGAACTTTTAATAAATTGGAAAAAAAACATGTAGGAAGTCTATTTACTAATTCTGTGTCAAGGATAACTGATGTAATAATCAATCTGGTTATCTGTTCTTCAAAAATAGATTAATTCTTGTATGTGGATCGAATACTGGAAATTCCTGTCCTTACAAATTTTTTTTTAATATTTGTAAGAAAGCCAGTAAACACTATGATTCAATATGATTCATTTAGTTTAAGTATACGATTGTGAAAAATCGTCTTTAGTTGCAAAACTAAAACGATATCGTCTTTCGTTTTCATATCAAACGTAAAAAAAATAAACATCAGTTGCCTCGAGATTCTATATAACAACAAAACATCTATTACGCTTCACGATTTAAAGATAAAATATGATTTTGTTGATAAATGAAGATATTCTCTTTATTGACACCAAAACCTTTACAAACCAAAAAGTTAAGGAAACATTATTCCCTTATAATTATCAATTCTCAAACTGCTGTTAGACGTATGAGGGGATTATCACTTACCGGTTGCCCGTCTTGTGAAAGGATGGACCCTTATAGAAAGCTGGATTACAGGTGGTCTTAGCAACCGTAAAATGCAATCGTAGTACCCCAGAGAACAACTGCTTGAGACTTGTCACTCGACCTTTGAGTGAATAGATCTTAATACCTCAATTCTTTATTTTAAGACCTTACTGAAGATGATAGGAACCTGTGGAGAAGATTGAGGTGTACTATTTCAAGAGTCGATCTTTCAGAACTCACTCCTGTTGTGGGGAGGTGATATCGCAGTAGATGTTGATTGTATGAAGGAAAAATCTTAGCGTCGTTAAAACCCCATACTGTTGATATACCAAATGATGAATTTGTTGTTTTTGTCCTTATTGCTCTAAAGTCGACCAACGTGATATGATGGGACCTCAAGAACATGTGTTCTAGTTAATGCAATTCTATTTCGCCGTCACGATGTACAACCCTGACTATTACATCAAAATGTTATCTCAGACATCATAAAGAGAACATATTGTCTGGAAAATGTATAAAACAATACATAAATAAAAGAAAATGGGGATATAAAAAGAAATTAGAAAAAGACCTCACCTTTATTCTCATTATCAGACTCAATTTTCAATTCACTATGCCTTGATTGAAGTAATGCAGTGATAAATTTCAATTTAGCAATTTCTTTTAAACCTCGATCTTGTTTTTCTGCGATCTGTATTAATAACTTATCTAAATTGTAGATTGATATTAATCCACGTTGACCAAATGGTGATCTTGATCCCTTTAAACCATCTGATGTAGGTGTATTAGATATTATCCCTGTATCTGTACCAGAAACAAGAGATCTGGGTCCTGTACTAGCCACTACTAAGAAATAAGAACATGTAGATCTTGTTGGAGTTGGCAAACGTAGGACACAAGTGACAGCCGCTCCACTAGATCCGACAGCCCCATTAAGAGATGTAGCTGTTTTACTCATTATAGACCCAGTAGTAGGTAATGAAGAGCCATTGTTTGATATACGTGAACCAAATAATTCTCTCAATGATAATGCTGTACTAGGTGGTAGAAACGATATGTTATTTCCATTTAAATGTTGTGCATCCAATGAAACACCACTTGAGAGAGATGGAAATATTAAACCACCACGAGTAGAAGTAGAACTTTCAGATCCAGCTAGAATACTCGCTAATGCTTGTATAAGTAAGACTGGATTAGATGAAGAGGAAGATGTACAACGCGGAGCATTATTTGTAGCTGACATGGATAATGCAGGCAACGAAACAATCGCATTTATTGGTGTTGTTGACATTGAAGAAGACGATAAAGGTGGAACATTAGTGGACATACTATCAGACAGTGATTGTTTGACAAGTCTTCCCGGCGAAACAGTAGTGTGAGATGATAGATAATCAGTAGATGATGTAAGTGTATGACGATTACTAGGAATTGGTTGAACTGATCTTGAAACTGTGCTGTGATCAATCTCTTCAGAAGTGTTTCTCAAACGAGGAGAGTGAGGTGTTAAATACTTATTGAAATCATAGGCAGAAATAGGAGCTGTAGAGCGAAAGAGTTGATGACCAGCAAGAATTATACGACGCCATAGCGTTACATCTTGTACTGACATAGATGGTACTGGCGTCTACTCAACATACAAAAAATACAAATAACCAATAAATATTTCTAAGTTGAGTAAGCGAAATATCGAAACCAATAATTTTGTGTCAAACCAACAAAATTTAAGTACTCGAATTTAGGATGCAGTGGGAGTGAATAAATTTGGAAAGTAAATTAAAAAAAAACAATCGCTGAATTACCTTTCAGATACAACATCTGACATGCAAAATTATTGTTGATTATTCTCATTTTGGATCATGTTTTTCTTTACGTTTTAAAACAAGTGTAGTAGACGCTACTCACAAGAATGTTTGTAAGTAGTATGTGGAGAAACAAGGCCTAGAAATTGTCCGATGGAGTGCAGAGTTCCATTACAGTACAAGCACGGCGATGGCAGAACACTTAGAGAACAGATTAGACGGTTGTTCAGATTGTAGAACACAACAAAAGATGAAAATGGACGATTGAAGGTTATATATATGTATTATGTATACGCTTTATAACTTTTCACAATAGTTATAGATTTCTTCAGCCCATTGCCTTCTTAACACTTATAATAACGCAATATGATTTACCAACCAAAATATGTCGGAACTAAACGTTCATCATTCGGTTTCAAATCACATAAGCTACATAATCAAGACTATGAATTTATGTTGACTAATTAAACCAAAAGCATATATGTTAAGAAGAACTCGGATTGTCTAAAACTTAATATTATTAGAAGTTGGTTCTTCCTTTAAAATATAACGTCAATGACATTTTTAAAGTCGAATCTTCATATTAACCACTGAAATTATCTGGTTGGTTGGTAATGCTTTGAGTTTACTTCATAGTGCTCCAGTTTTGTTTCATTTTCCGATATAAACAGAGTTGTACCTTTACAACCTTTTTCTTCTGTTCATAATATAAAGTTCTTCTGAGAGTCCTGTCATCTCTATCTCATGCTGGCATGTAGATTATTAAAGTTGAAATGCTACTGATTGGCAAATAACATCCTATCGAGTTCACCAAAGAACTAGCCTAATCGTTCTGTAAATAGCAATCAACATAAAGCCACACCGAACCCAAATTCATGACACAAAAATATGTCTAGGGAAAGGATGAAAATAATCAACATCTTGTCGTCTAATTCCACAGGATTACCACCACTAAGGTGTGAATTGGGTCAACCGAAACCTGCTATTGCATGTAACTGTTACCGTTATTTAGTTGAACAAGACAACTGGGTAGATAGTGTGAGCAATCCGGAAGGTTCTTCGATCAAGACTTACACATTACGCTAAAATAATTCCTAAAAAATAAATATATAGCACTACTGTTTATTTAGTATAGATGAAATATTTATATACTACTACATTGATTGAATGGTTTCATATTTGTCACACTTTTTGGAGATTTTTGGAAAATGATAATTAACAACAATACTCAGTGATTTTAGCAAAAATTTTGTTTTTAAAAAACTATAGAATTACAGATCTCAGTGCATGACATAGAAATAAAGACCGCTAACTAACCGTAATATTTGAACACATTCGAATTACTGGTTTATTATCTCGTTCACTTAAAAGCATTCGTTTCAATTTACTCAGACGGGTAGAACTTTTTAATTCAACTTCATTTGTACGCGAACAATCCATAAAGTGATTGAGTAAACCTAAATGAAATGAGAATGAGTATGATACATATGTACATATAAAACTTGTTGCAGGCATCTGGTATTTACTAGACTACAGTGAAAACAAGTTAGGAGCGGTTAGTAAGACACCAGATGAATCGTAGGTTAACAAGGCTGCAAGCTGTTATTGATCAAGGTGGCTGGGTATGTGTAACACGTGCACACTGCATAGATATATTTCGGCGTGATTAGGTCCCTAGTGTAGATAATAGAATCAGGGTTTACGGAGGATAAAATAAAATATGACATGACTCCACATAATCATGGACTACTGAACTAGGTCATGTTGGTAGGTTACGACTATATGTTTCAGGTTCATGTTATAGTTGTTATTAATGACTGAAGACCTTAGATGAGATCAGTTGCAATAGCGCAGTATATCTTCTAAATTTCCTGTCTTGATAATACCTTCAATCGTTTTAAAATCCCGTATTTTCTTAATTTATTCAATGAAAGTTTTCCAATAAACAGAATCAATAAGTTCACCTTAGATACCGACGTATATAATGAACATTACCTTACAGCTAACAATATGCATTAACACTGAAAAAAAGTTCAATAACGAAGCATTCGACATCAGTGCGTGACAATTTTAATTAAAGTCAAACAAAAGATATGTGAAAAGATTGGCTTAGTAAGAAGTATTATTTACACAGCCCAAAGTTTGTGTTTGAAACGATCCTGTGGTTCTCCGGGATCCAACTCAACAACTTGGGATACCAACCACTTGATTTATCAATCAATCAGGTTCATACAAGTAGTTGACAAGAATAGAAGAGAAAGTTTTGAAATCGGTAAACACAAAACCGTTAGTAAATATTTTAGGTAAATGTTCAGTTTTTGTAAAATGCAATCAAAATTCATGAATGGGTTTTCGACACAGCACACTGAAGAATAATATAGACGAAAAACCAATAGATTTTGATTAATACCAAAATGTTATATGTAAATACTTTTGTTATACATACGTTTACCTTTAGCCTCTGATTTACCGAATCCCATTAGTATTTCAGCTGCTTGTGAAACAATATCACATGTAAACAACATCATCGTCAACTGGGAACGGCATGCACCGGTCTCATCAGTATCGATCTGGATGATAATACAAAAAAGATGTTAATACTTTTTTAAAATGTCACTTTTATCTGACTACCACTCGGTATTATATGTAAAATGAAGCAGAAATTACTTCGAGTGGCAAATTTAGATTATCATTGCATAAATAAATAAATGAATAATTAGCAGTCAATGTGATAGGAAAGTTTGACGGAGTAAGATAGTAATATCTGTGAAGACCATCAACTTTCACTACTTGTGTACAAATTTTTTATAGATATACCCCAAAAGATAACTTTCTTACACTTAGTAAAGGTATAATAGTGATTCATTTACGTATTGGTTGCTTAAGACTTCCCATTGATGTTTAGGACTGCAATTCATCAGTCTCATATTGGTATGTGTGCACCCTGGGCAGAATGCCTCGATACTGCCATTGAGTCACAAGCATTAGAAGCAGAGATGGATGGTGACTAGTAGTGTAATCCGGAACGCGCATTTTATCTCATATGAGACTTGTCAACTGGATTTACCTGCATCCCAGATTTGATGTACAATCGGCGACTAGGTGGATAACGCGATGGCGTTCGAAGTGAACGATACGGCGTTCACGTCTCGGAGTGAACATCAACCTTGGAATGTACTACATCCTGATGACGAGTCTACAGTGGACGAAACGCGCATCCTAGATTCCATCGTAAGACACCGTCCATCTCTGCTTACAATTCATCCAGGTGATATTTTTCTGTTCGCTGAAGACAACAGAAGAATAGTCTTCAGAACAAATTTTTAATAAGGATTTCCCTCACTGAATATAAAATGTTGTTTTAAGACCGATCTGCATCAATGTTAATATGTAGCTAGAAAATCCAGTTATTTGTTTAAAGTCCATAAAAAGCAATAAGAGATACAATAACTTTTAAACTTAATAAATTACGATAAAAAAAAGTTGTCAAAAATAATCAGTAAGGTTAATAGATGTTTTTTTATAGTTAAAACCACGAGTCGATTTTAGTTCACTGAGAACCAAGAAACACTGAATTGGTGTTCCTTTCAAGTATAGGTTTCCTCAGCATTTCAAATCTACGAATCCACAAATTGGATTAGCGCAAACAAGAGCATGATCAGAGTTCAGATAGGTACTCCAAAACGAGCAGAAGCTCTGTACACAACCACGCCAACGGTGGCTGATCGCGAAGTGATCAATCTGCATCCAGGTTTGAGATGAAGGAGTACGCCAGGTGGCATGTCGGCGATTACTGTGCCGGTAGTCAGTGTTAGCCAGAAACAGGTTGAGGTCTGTGCACAGTTGCAGTGCACGGTCCTCACTAACTGACCTGTGACCAAGAAGTGCCCATCGGCCACCTAAACGACTCTCTACACTGCCTTGACGCCCGACCTGCACATTCAAGATTTCGGCTAGTACAATAATATTTGTCGAAAGCACCTTCTGTGGAAAAACTGTTAACTGATGGAAAAACTCATAATTGATCCCATCCGCACTGCAATCTGTCGGAGCATAGACAGAGATGATAAAAAGATATCGTTTCTCACGCCGATTTCTTCGCACTTTGATGGGACTTTCTGATTTAATAACATATAACTGACTGTTAATGGGAATCCAGTCGATCAGTGATGCCACAGCAATAGCGCTTATTGAGACACCAACGCCATCAAAACCAGACGAAGATGTTACATACTACCCGGATAAACGACGTGAAACAAACTTTTCGAAGCGACAGATGGAGAGCGAATTTGCAGTACTTCACTAGAGTCTTAAATATAGGTCTCGGACAGACAAAAGACATAGATGTTGAGACCGCCTAAAGACACAGCCAACCCTATCTGTTGTCAGACCTGGATTAGTGTGCGAACGTTGAAGTAAGACAGTTTGAATGGTATACGTGGTTTCAGTATCCGTATTCGGTGATAGCATCCGAAATTCGATCAGACAGTGACTCGAGATCCTTTAGATATGATAGTGTTTTCACCATAGGCAGTTGCAGTATAAGTTGAAAAATAAGTATACATAAAGTGAGAAAAGGAGAGGGTAGATAAGTGACGTAGTATATAAAACAAATAAAAATGGATGTTATCAAATGAATGTGAATATGATTTGTCTGAACTTCAATTGAAGCAAGAATAATGTTTTTAGTACTAATTGTCATTTGATTTGAGTGGGCTGCGATACTGCAGGGGTGCCTAGACAGAAGCGAAAGATTTTCTTGGGAAGCCACACTCGGAGCCTCCAATCAAAAAGTCTGATCTACATAGCAGTGGAGAAACGTCAAAAGATGTAGTCCCATGGTAGCCGGTTACCAACAATTGGTTTATAAGCAGTTTGTTCCTTCAGGATCCTGGAGCCCATGTGCACCATTGATTTCGAATCAGGATTTTCCAATTCCCCTAGGTGGACCCTTCGTATTCACCATCTTACAAAGTGAATCGAACCACGAGGACGTCATGGGCGCAAACAGTTACCCTCTAGACCACTGACCCAGGATCCCACGATATACATGTTTACCTCCGATAAAATCACGATATTGCATGACCATGTTCCACAGTCTGTGGTGCATAAGTCTTACACTTCACGTGGTTGAACTCCACTAGTTATGGCCTTCCCAAAAAGTCCAGGAACTGAATCTTGAAGCCAATTACTCGTGAACATATGATTATTATTTGTAGTATAGACATGTATACCACTGGATTTCAAGTCAGTGGTTTAGAGGTTAAGCGTTCGCACACAAGACCGAAAGTACTAAGTGATGATTGTGTGAATTCCAACAATATTCGATATTATTGGCAATCAGATACAAATTTGAGTACCATCAGATTATTGATGGGAAACGTTTATGTTGAGAATATTAAATGAATTTTAATCGAGTCACAGATGAATTACACCACTGTTTTATAAGAGTACTATTAATCTACATTATAAATTCCATTTTGCTTGAAATGTTTATTGACAAAACTAGACCGTAAGAGAAGACACGTAGGATATAATAAATACAAACTATTTAAAAGCTAAATTTCACATTGAACCAATGTGATATTTAAAATATCACTTAGACAAAATACATTTATAAAAAGATTATATTAGTGAATAATAAGATTATCAATTCTGTTCGGTAATATCAAGTTATATATAATATACCCTTGTGGGCCAGGGTAATTTTACATTGGTTTTCAGGAGAACCAGACACCAACCAGACTTTCACGCAAAAACCCAAACAGTACAGCTTAACCCCGTTTAGCAGAGGAACCAGACACCGTACAGGCTTTAACGCTACAATCTGAATAGTACAGCTCAATCCTGTGGCGCAACCACACAGGTACCAAGCACCCTGGTGAACTCCGCCTGGAGTCCCTCCGGGGGCTACTGCCGGTCCCAAGCCCGGATAAAGGAGGAGGGTTGGGCATGGGGTTAGCGTCCCCATCCCGTAGAAAACTAACTCGCTAAAAAAACGCTAACCAGAAAAAATTATTCAAACCTTTTAAACTCTGCCCTGGGAGTCAGAAGGTCTTCATTTAGAAGAATTATGACGCCTCATGATGAAAGCCGAATTCCTTCGGAAGTTACGAGGCCGATGCCCCTTCTGACAACCAGAGCGACCATTTATTTAGGTACATGGAATGTTCGTACAATGTGGGACACCGGAGAGCCTTCCAAATTGCTGCAGAAATGAGAAGATACAACCTAGAGGTACTTGGGATCAGTGAAACACATTGGACACAAGTTGGACAACAACGACTAACTACAGGAGAGCTCCTGTTATACTCCGGCCATGAAGATGAAAATGCACCACATACACAAGGAGTTGCATTGATGCTGTCCAAACAAGCGCAAAATGCACTTATAGGATGGGAATCTCATGGACCAAGGATCATCAAAGCCTCCTTCAAAACAAAGAAAGAGGGCATTTCAATGAACATCATCCAATGCTATGCGCCTACCAACGACTACAATGAAGACGCTAAAGATCAATTCTACAATAGGCTGCAGTCAATCGTCGAGAAGTGCCCAACAAAGGACCTGACCATTCTGATGGGAGATTTCAACGCCAAGGTTGGAACGGACAACACTGGATATGAAGACATCATGGGACGACACGGACTGGGAGAAAGAAACGAAAATGGTGAGAGATTTGCAAATCTATGTGCCTTCAATAAGCTGGTCATAGGCGGCACCATATTCCCACATAAACACATACACAAAACCAAATCGACCATATTTGCATCAACAAAACGTTCAGGAGGACTATAGAGGACGTGAGAACCAAGAGAGGAGCTGATATAGCATCAGATCATCACTTGCTGGTCGCCAAGATGAAATTGAAACTCAAGAAGCACTGGACAACGGGGCGGACAATATCACAAAAGTTCAATACGGCCTTTCTTCAGGATACTAACAAACTCAACAAATTCAAGATAGTCCTCAGCAACAAGTTCCAGGCCTTTCATGATCTACTCAATGGAGAAGGAACTACTGTGGAGAGCAACTGGAAGGGGATCAAAGAGGCAATCACTTCAACATGTCATGAGGTCCTGGGTCACAAGAAGCACCATCACAAGGAATGGATCACTGTTGATACACTGGATAAGATTCAAGAAAGAAGGAACAAGAAGGCAGCAATCAATACCAGTCGAACAAGAGCAGAAAAAGCCAAGGCACAAGCTGAATACACAGAAGTAAACAAACAAGTGAAGAGGAGCATCAGAACCGACAAACGTAAATATGTGGAAGATTTAGCAACGACGGCGGAAAAGGCTGCAAGAGAAGGAAACATGAGACAACTGTATGACACGACAAAGAAACTCTCTGGAAATCGCCGCAAACCAGAACGACCAGTGAAAAGCAAGGAAGGCGAGGTAATCACCAACATTGAAGAGCAACAAAACAGGTGGGTAGAACACTTCAAAGAACTCTTGAATCGACCAGCTCCACTGAACCCACCCAACATCGAAGCAGCACCCACGGACCTCCCAATCAATGTTGGCCCACCAACAATTGAAGAAATCAGCATGGCCATCAGACAAATCAAGAGTGGCAAAGCAGCAGGACCGGACAACATCCCAGCAGAGGCACTAAAAGCAGACGTAGCGGCAACTGCAAGGATACTCCACATTCTCTTCAATAAGATTTGGGATGAGGAACAAGTACCAAAGACTGGAAAGAAGGACTTCTGATCAAAATACCGAAGAAAGGCGATCTCAGCAAGTGTGATAACTACAGGGGCATCACTCTTCTCTCAATACCGGGAAAAGTCTTCAACAGGGTATTGTTAAACAGGATGAAGGACTGCGTAGACGCCCAACTTCGTGACCAACAGGCAGGATTCCGTAAGGATAGATCGTGTACAGACCAAATCGCAACTCTACGGATCATTGTGGAACAATCAATTGAATGGAATTCATCACTCTACATCAACTTCATTGACTACGAAAAGGCATTTGATAGCGTGGACAGAACAACACTATGGAAACTTCTTCGACACTACGGCGTGCCTCAGAAGATAGTCAATATCATACAGAATTCATATGATGGATTACACTGCAAAATCGTGCATGGAGGACAGTTGACAAAGTCGTTCGAAGTGAAGACCGGTGTTAGGCAAGGTTGCTTACTCTCACCCTTTCTCTTTCTCCTGGTGATCGACTGGATCATGAAGACGTCAACGTCTGAAGGGAAGCACGGGATACAATGGACATCTAGGATGCAGTTGGACGATCTAGACTTCGCAGATGATCTGGCCCTTCTATCCCAAACGCAACAACAGATGCAGGAGAAGACGACAGTGTGGCAGCAGCCTCAGCAGCAGTAGGTCTCAATATACACAAAGGGAAAAGCAGGATTCTCCGATACAACACAGAATGCACCAATCCAATCACAATTGACGGAGAAGATTTGGAAGATGTAAAAACCTTTACATATTTGGGCAGCATCATTGATGAACAGGGTGGATCTGATGCAGATGTGAAGGCGCGGATCGGCAAAGCAAGAGCAGCATATTTACAACTGAGGAACATCTGGAACTCAAAGCAACTGTCAACCAACACCAAGGTCAGGATTTTCAATACAAATGTCAAGACAGTTCTACTGTATGGGGCAGAAACCTGGAGAACTACGAAAGCCATCATCCAGAAAATACAGGTGTTTATTAACAGTTGTCTACGCAAAATACTTCAGATCCGTTGGCCGGACACTATTAGCAACAACGTACTGTGGGAGAGAACAAACCAGATCCCAGCGGAGGAAGAAATCAGGAAGAAGCGCTGGAAGTGGATAGGACACACATTGAGGAAAGCACCCAACTGCGTCACAAGACAAGCCCTCACATGGAATCCTGAAGGTCAAAGGAAAAGAGGAAGACCAAAGAACACATTACGCCGAGAAATGGAAATAGACATGAGAAAAATGAACAAGAATTGGATGGAACTAGAAAAGAAGGCCCAGGACAGAGTGGGTTGGAGAATGCTGGTCAGCGGCCTATGCTCCATTGGGAGTAACAGGCGTAAGTAAGTAAGTAAGTAATATCAAGTACTTTTAAAACAATAAAAAGGTGAGACTATAATTTATGGACGACCTTTGAGAGACGCTAAAGTGACCTTGAGAGTGTCTACCTACTTAATAGGGCTAAGTGAGGGTTATAAAGCAGTTTGAAGAATAAGGATTATGATTTATAGTTGATGGTTGGGGTCAGGAATTAGATTTAGGGTTTTCATCAAGAACTGACAGCTATAATACCAGGATTCCATTTAGCTAAATGGGTGAATGAATTTTGCGCCAAAATCCAAGACCTGTTATCGTAAATCTGATTGGTTCGTCCATAAATTGTAGTCTCGTCCAATAAAAAATAATAAACTGAATGCAACCCAGTGGTCAAGTACAGGTTGATATATATTCAGCATTGCGTTATGTTATAATGTAATACATAGTGACACTACTATGGGAGGTAGAGTCATGTTTTAAATTTGCATAACTTGAATAAAAATTAGTTAAATACATTAAGGTGTTTTCAAATCATTGCTTGCATAAAAATAAATCAAGCGATCAATACTAAGGTTAGAGGTACGGTAATAAGGAAAAAAGTAAGACGACGATAAGCCAATGAGCTTTTATTGATAAAAGATATGTATCGGATGTAAATAAATACTTAAATGAAAACAGTTATTTCTACTATGAGAATGAAAGTCTATGTATGAATACTAGATCCAATTGTTAATTAAAATGTTAAACTATACACGCTTACTTGTCTACGAACATGCTCAATTAATTTCATCTCATTAGGGACTAATTGAGTATAATGAAATCGATTTGAATCTGTTTCTAATGAACCAGTAGAAGTATTAATGGTAGTAGTATTCGCAGTTAAACGTTTAGAATATTTACGTTTTCTTTTAATTGCATTACAATTAAAATTGTCACATACATTTAAAAAATGATGAATATTTCGTATTCGTATACCGATATCTTGTTCATTATGAATACTATCACCATTATTATCATAACAAGGTGAAAACCTTGAAGATATTGACGAAGTGATAGGTATAATAACACTTGGTTTACAAGATTTATCGATATTATGAGACAAGTGATTAGATGAATGTGAAACATTTTGTTGAGTCGGCTGAGTAATGGATATTTTAGACTGTTGCTGAGTCATTTGAAATGTTTTCAACACCCTTGGTCCAGAATGAACATCTGAAGAGATTTTCCTTAAGCGAACTGCACCAGTTCGTCGGAGATTGTTAGGTCGATTACTGACAGATGATGACGTTTGTTGATGACTTAATGAAGATCTAGTAGCAAATGAATCCGTACCGCCAACAGAAGTTATCGGACGCCAAAGCGGGCGAATATTACTTTGGTTAGTGGACTGATAGCTTCCATGCGCATTTAATGAAGTATCTGAAGAAATAGACGCGTTTACTCCTGAATTATTGATACCTGGAACAGAACGTGGGCGTGAAACTACAAAAGGAAAAAAAGGGTGGAAAGTTTTATGTTCAATACAGTACAGATTTCGAAAAACAAAACTGTAAAAGGTAGAGGTATCTTACGAGAGCTAGGACGTGGAGTAAACATTTTTATTCATTGAACATGAAAACCCCACAGAGACTACAAGTCGCCTCAATATTCTAAGTATGCCTTAGTGTGAGTGTTAACTAGCACAAAACCAAGGTTCAGGATTTTATATAGACTATCTGCAACTACCTGACTTTTAAAAAAAGTGCATGAGATGTCAAGTCAGCGACAAAGCAAACTTATCGATAGAATTCGACCGTCACTAAAAGAATATACCAATATCGGATTGGTTACCAATCAGTGATCAACCAATATGAATATCTCAGTCCTACAAGCGATCTGTGACAACTTAAATAGCTTGGTGGTAACATAAACTATGGTTTGCTAAACAATGCCAACTAGCATGCAAACTTTTTACACAGTGTAATCTAAATAATTATCAAACTATTATTTTCACTTGAAGATAAACATAAGTGTGATGGAATGAAAAAAGATAACTATTTCTAGTTACCATTTGATATTTTATAGTGATTAGTTAGATTTACTAACATTTTCGAAACGACTCACAAAATAGTAATAAATATATGACTTTGAAACACAAACATGGAGAAAATGATCTGTTTAACATTACCGAACGAGTGTTAATTTTATGATCTGTCAATAATTAAACGATAAAAAAGAACATAAAATAAAATCGTACTTAATATATAATCAGACGGTGAAAAGTAAATCTCGGAAAGTTAGTTTTTTGTGTAAGAATTTCCAGTTAAACATATTTCATGCCAACTTGATTAAAAGAACAGTAAAAGATGTAAATTTCAGCGAATCCAGAAGCCTTTTAGTTAAGTGAAGATAAGTTGAGCTGAAAGAGGAGTGTTTATCCCAGTAAGCTACATAGTATTAAGATGAAAATAATTTCCAATCTATGATTTGAAAGACTATTTAAGATTAACAGTAAAATATTAAAAAAAAACTTATTGTTTTCAAACACTTAAATGTATAGAGTCATGTATTTAATACATGGTACATTCAAAGTAAGAAAAAAGGTAGATATTATTGATGGAAAACTATGAATGGATTATGAACAATTGTAAAGTCAATCTAAATGAAATATTTATTTAACTGCATTTTGTTTTGCACATAAATGTTGAGTGTTGAAGGCGAGTGAAGCAAGAAATGCTCATTATGAACACAGTAGGAGGATATAAGAGCCAATGCACTAATCATGTTCCACTCAAAACAAATGACAAATTGTAAAAAAATAAAGTCTTCAGAAATCGTATATGTACACACAGTGAAGAAAAAGCAGTTTCCAGTTAAACAATCAGATTTATGTTATAATCATTTAAAGGTGAGAAGCAAACCATTTCACCTATGTATGAAGTTAAAACATACAGAAATAAGGATCAATATTTCACATGAGAAAATAAATGTGAAAGATGAAAACCATAAATCAGATACAGACATTAGGAAAGAAAATCTATCCCATACTTGCAGTATCATCTTGTGTCTCAATGAGACTTGAAGATTCTTTACGGCGTCGTTTAACTAATTTAGAACCCAAAGGAATCAGACGGGAGTCGTGTCTATCAATTACTGAATGCATAGATGTGCGGTGGCCATCAGTAACGTTAGCATTGGAGATAGATGAATGATGATGATATGGATCATGAAATTCCTTTGATGAAGCAGGTGATAAGATGAATGGATGGTAGCCATCTACAATTAATTTTTAAAAAATAAATTAGGTAATCATTTTTTCATTCATTTAAACTTCACAAAATATGGTTTACAAGCGAGGTAAGCCGTTAATTATTCTAAATAACTACTTAAAAGCAACTATTTTCACTAATGACTGATTATGTGGAAACCAATCAGATGATGGGTGAACGTTTTCACGTTTAAAAATCTATACATTTAATACGCAAATGAATCTTTCTAAAATAGGTAGAATCCAGGAAGTGCATTTTTCCTATTTCAGACTAGTCAGTTGGAAGCATATGAATATAAATATGAAATTCATTTATGCTAAGAAATCATAAACTGGTTATATTGAAACATTTCGCACAGGGTGCATATATACAAGTAAAGAGTGATCAAAATTCAGTCAATTTTTTGTCACCGTTAATACAAACTATTTCATAGTGATGCTTTTTACAGAAATCTTTACATATAAGCATTGCCACAAAAGGGGTACCAAATACATATGAGGTTGTGAAAGGATAGAGTATGTAAAGTGAGGTTTATAAAAAGAAAAGCAACAACGAACAGGAACTAGTGAATGCGAGTGAAATAATAATAATAATAATAATAATAATAATAATAATAATAATAATAATAATAATAATGGGAGAAACAGTTCAGTTAGTAAAAATACAACCAGAAAAAATCCTTTCGGTTAAAAACGTTACTCTCACTTTTACGAAGAAATTTACAGCGGGATCGCCACTGATTTCTATTTCGAGCAATGTCTGATAACATCTCAAGCCACTGTCTTGCACGATCTCTCGGAACCTAACGAGGGACTCGTGAAGGAAAAACAGAAGCCGGTAATGTACAACTTTCTTTCATGCAACGACACCATGTCATACACTGACCACCTCTCCACTTTTTCCAACCAGTCCCAGCGTCGGCAAATAACACACGACGTGGAATTCTCTGAGATGACATTCGCATGATATGTACAAGCCACCGAAGTCGATGTTTAAAGATAGTGATAACAACTGGATCATCGTCGCTGTGCACAAAGCACAGCTCTTCCTATTTTATTCAACTTTATCACAAATCTATTGTTAGGTGTGACAGTTCAAGTATTACAAACAAACATTAGTAAACAATCAAAAATTACATTTTCAAAAGTTATTCAGTAATACTGTGTGCTTACAGTACAGTATCAGACATCAAAACCAATAATATGCAGACGATAGCAGGGCAATAAATGAAAGCTTGATGTCTAATGATGTCGAAATAATGAACAAAATTTTCAACTCAGACGAGTGCTTTTCATGTTGATGAGTTTTCTGATCCAATTGTATAGCTTTCATCGAAGCTTGTGTAGAAGTAGGCTTATACATACATGATGTCATCTACAATGACAATGAAAGCCCAAAGAGCTCAAAAACATTAAAACTGATATATTTGTTTTTAGTTTTGTCAATGTCAGTCAACTATTACGTAGAACAAGGCACATATATACATCTGTCCACGATGTCAAGACATTTTGTCAATGTCTTAACAAAAGGATTTATTTTCACATATAGAAAATCTATTACTCTCACTTTCGCGCGTGCGCATAATTAAATGACAACATTCCAGAAACGATTACTAAATATACGTTTAAATATGAGCAGATTAAGTAGGGAAAACAAGCAGTTACCTGTCAACCACGGAAGATAATAATTCAATTCCTTATCATTCATATACTGTAGAAATATATTATTTCTATCTTTTATCATATTCACTGGAAATGAATCTTTATTAGATATAACACGTGATGTCATCGCTTGACAAAACGAATCACCATTTTGACCAGCGCCACAATCACAAAAGAATCCACTAAATTTAGCATAACTTAAATCATGCCCTGAATGACAAACTTTAGCGCATACAGAACAAACACCGTGAGATTCTTGTAAATTACACGTGAAACAATGATACCAATGTTGATCAATAAACATCTTCTGAGTTGCAACATAAGTACACATTGAATCGTTAATCAATGGACCTGGGAATGAAGAATACACTTCATCTTCTAAACAATCATCAAAATCATCACTTATATCGTTGTCAGATAATTGATCAATTTCATAAGTCAACTTTGTTTTTAAAAATTCATTTGATTGAGCAGAAACATTTGGTAAATGAGATTTAACATTCCATAATCCTAACTGATTCCAATTCTATTTAATACAAAAAATCAAAAATACATAATAAAACATACAAAATATATGAATAACGGAGTAGTATACAAAAAGTCTAAATTTGTACATTGTTCATGAACAAATAATAATTATACACACATTAGGAATATAACGTAAATAAAACTTCTCCATATATTTCAACTGTTGAATTGAACATTGAATAGAATACATTAAGTTCTATCTACAATATTACTAGTTGAATTAAATTATTTACACAATTCACATGATAAATTACTAAGGATTTAATCATTGCATTACGAATTGAAAGATCACTTTATAAACCAAGGTTCGACTAACTTTGGATTTAGTACTTTTTTTTTTAATTTGTCCACCAGGTACTCGAATATGACCCACATTTTGCGTGTGATGACTAATAATACTACATGATTGACCAAATAAGAGTAGATGGAATGAGGTTTGAATATGGGAACTAAAGGCTGAAAATCAAATGTCTTAACCACTATGACCACTTATGACCAGTAAATAAAAAATATAGATAGTATAAAAGAAAACTAAATTTATTAACAGGTTGTTAAATTGTACAGAGGATAATGAATAAAGCATCAGTAAGATGTTTGCCAATACATCAAACAAAGCTTTTAACTGAAAGTACTCTAAAGATAGATTGACAACATGAACATAGAAACTGGTACAGATGTTAGTTCACGTTGTTATACCATAGTATCACGATGAGATGAAATTGGAATGAATAACAGTGAAAGACATCGAAATGATGTAGTAAAATATAAGGAAGATGACCATATTATTGAGAATATAGTAGGAAAAGACGGAATGAAAACGCACATATGAGGAAATACTGCAACACATGATCTAAAGAAAACTCAAAAGTGAATGCATATGTGACTGTGTGACAGGGTACAAGTCAAGATACACAGTCTCAAACCACTGAGCACAGTTATCATAAGAGCCTCAACAGGGTAGTCTGCATCTACCAACGTAAGTCAGACCAAAAGTAATAACTGATGAAGTTCTATGTTTTTGGTTTAGCCAGGTTCTAGTTTTATTCCAGCTTAATTTTACGCTTAATTCTACGTTAGCAACCATACTCTGGTAGTTTAAAATACCTAACGCATGCTCTAAACGCCTCATTAGGAAATAATTACAATCTCACTGGCTGATTTGTTAACTATACTCAGTACTCGATACCCTACTTCAGCATTGATCACCCATCCGTTCGATGATACGCGAGGAATGTTCACAACGAGAGAAAAAACAAAATATGAAAAGAGTCCCGTTACAGTGAGTGAATAATACCAAAGAATTTTCAAAACAGTATAATTTATTTAAGGAAATTTGCAACTTTCACTTACTTTTCGAAATGCACTTTTACAGTTATGAGTAAAATGAAAACTTAATAAATGAGAGAAAGCTCGCGTTTTTGAATAGAAACTTTTAGCTAAATAATTAGGCAACGCATACGAATTCTCGGATTCATCATTATTCATAAAAGTATTTGAAAATAAACCAGGTTGTGTGTAAACAAAATTTGGCCAATAGTCTAATCGGACACTGGAAGAAGTAGCGTTCATCAACGATGAATAAATATTATCAGTGGGTTTTGGTTGACAATTCGGATTTAATACAACAATCATTGTAGAAATATAGAAATAAATTGATTGCAAACTACAGATTAATGAAGCCTAGAAAAACAACGGAAAATTTGTACAGAAAAAAAGATTATTGTATTACTTACGCCCTAAAATTAAAACAAACAATCACCAAAAATATATAGACTGACAATTTTTACAATCTCCACGACGTTTAGTTTAATCACAAGTGATGAATAGGTAAAGGTTATCTAGCTTTAAAAGTATTCAAAACCAAACATTTAAAAGTTTTCTAACCAAATACATTATTGAAAACTAAGAAGCATTAGACACCCAACCAGAAACGACGGTAAGGTAAAGAGAGTGAGTGCATGTACACGGTTATGGTCGATTCCGAGCCATATCATTTAACGTCACAAACCACTAACTACGATAACCACGTGAACCAAACCAACTACTCAACACCCAACAATATGGCTTTCTAAATAGTCGATCGCAAGTTATTATGCTTCTGTTAATAAATGTTGGCTTCTTTTCAGCAATGATAACTAATAGTAAATTTTCTTTATTCAGATCACCGCATGACCTTTGATGCTTTGTGATTGTTTGTTAACACTTTTAGTTTGCTTGTTTTCCTCTCTCTCAAGGCAATGTTTTTTATTGCGGATTCAGAGTTGAATCTCAAGCTTTTTGTTGAACTCTTGCCTTCGTAGGTTTTATAGTTTGAGCTGGTCGTTTAAGCGTCATATAACAAGAACATCACTATTGGGTTCGCATCAATTACTAATTATAGTAGAATCTCAGTCGATCGTGACTAGAAAATTGCCTTAGGTCAACCGAATCATCTCCAGAAATATGACACCAATAATTTCATGACTTGGTTGCACTAAGCTCACTTCAAACCAAATCTTACACTAAAAAACATTACGAAATGTTGTAGGCAGTGATCGGGGCATAGGTAAAATGTGTTTCAATTATCTCAGTCGATGATTTAATTTATTCATCCTTTAATTCCCTTTTCTATATATATTCAAGTTAAACCTTTCTTACGACAGTAGTATATCGAATGAATATAACATCAAAGCAGATTTCAGAACTTTATGTAGATCACAAAATTAAACAATACGAGAAACAGAAACTAGTCAGAATCCATACACTAATACAAACATATAAATTGATTACCATGTGAAGGTTTATGTTCGCAATCTTTATAATATACAGAGGATTAGTGATACTACTCTGTTGTTCAAACTGATTAACGTGGAGCAGGTTTGAGCGCACAGCCTAGTGATTGAAAATCAGCGGTCTTAATCACTAAACAACTATTTCATTGAGTACTAACGAAGCAGAGCCCATGTCATTGGAAAACAACTCTAACTATGGTTAATTAAACAGATCTGTAGACTCTGACATTTTTAACTAACGAAAAAATCTGATTTTCACTCGGATGACACGATGCAATAGTGATAAATAAGACAGATAAATAAAATTAAAATAACAATTTTAGCTACCGTTAATTTCTAGACGACTAGAGCAGAACGAGAACATTTTGATAAGCCCCACAAATCAAACACAAGTCAAATAATAAGTGAGAAATGCTAACAGATGAAAACTATCAGTCAATATTTGGCTCCACTTTCTCAGAAAATAAACATATGCCACTAGTTGACAGTGTGGCTCAATTTTCCGAGGGATATGTATCTGTATTGATGAATGAATAGTGAATATGTTCTAAATTTGGTTAGCTAATAAAAGATTCCCATTCACTCTCGATTTTTTTCATACAAGTAGCTCGTTTGAGCACATATTTAGAAAAAACATGTATCAGTATTAGACTTGGACAACCGTATGTAATAACACATATGACATAAATCATATAACAAAAAAACGAAAACGGATCTAGCTCTACTGATTAAAAACGAACTGTAAGTGTAACTACAATGAAATTTACCTGTTTATAATGTTGTAAGCTCATTGAAAGCAGTAAATTAATATCATTCAGACATACTAATTCGCCCACTTCTTTATTTATCTCTGGTTTCATTATTAACTCATAGCAAATGTTAGCACAATATGTAAAGAAACCGAATAATTTACTATGCACAGAACCTGTAGTAAAACCAAATGACAAACAATGTAACGATGTAATAGCATACGGTAGAAATGTCAAATCATACAAATGTTCAACTGTTGCAGACTGTTTAACGTTTTCGGGTTCCTCTTGAGCGGCAGAAGTAATAGACGTAGATGAAGAGGGTGACTTTGAACACTTAGTAGTAGTAACAGTATTATTCCTACTACTTTTTGAAGTTACACGAGAACGCCAGATAGATATAGCTGAAGTTAGTAAGTGATTACAATACTAAAAAGAAAAAAAAAACAACACCATACATAAAAACTTAAATAGTGATATAATCGATAATGCTAAAGTTAGGCATAAATAGAAAACAGTTATATCCGACAACTATTTGATCAACTGAATAAACATAGATAACTGAGTGTTATTTTATCCCTACTTCTTCATGATATCTAAGCACTATAAGTAACTAGCCAATAGTAAAAACGTTTCCACAGATGTATACGACTATTGGATGGAGTGAAAAACCTCAGTCAGAATAAAACAAGTCAACTTGAAACGTGAATTCATCCGATTGATTATCATGTAATCTTCTTAAATGAAAAATAAACTTTAGGACAACATCAGAGACATTTATGATATATCCTTGATCTTTATGCCTCCAATAAGTATGAAATATTTTTTTGATAAAGCATGCCAACAGGTACTTAAAAAACTGGAATTTTTTGGCTTTTCCTAGATCAGCTAACTGAATTAGAAAAATATATGTAACAAGAGAGGACCCAAATATGCCAATAACGACTCATCAAAATACAATCAAGAATATCAACAAGCGGACAATCCAAACCCTTACCAATAAGGATATAAACGTCAAATCCATTGATGACTATCTTTGCACAGAAGCTTAGTAAATGACACAATGAGTGTTTAGGGCAAGAGAGGCACTGGAATCGAGTTCAAAATTTCCAAAGTTAGCCACAATCCATGTACTCAATAAAAATAGTGGAAACATTTTACAGAAATAAAATATTTCCAATTAAATCTGAGGTAGAAAATGCATGAAATGTACATGACCATTTTTTTTTACTATAAAAAGGAAATTCAGAGTAAATGTCGAACCAACTCAAACGTTTTCACTTCACTATGTATCTAGCCCTATGCTCGATTCTCAATTAGTTTGTGGGTGTGGATTGCTAAGAAGTCCCATGATGAGACGAAACAGCTATCCAGTGTTTCTGAGTTTTGAATGGTTTTCTAACTATGATTAGTTCGTGGCGTAAACTATGAAATTAAACCATTCCAGTAAATTGATCAACACTGGAAATTTCCTCTCGATGATGATAATAATTTTCTTTGGAAAAAAAAAAACAAACAAGCTTTCAACTCACTTTTTCGCGTAAACTAACATCATCTGTCCAATTAGATGTTAAAAGTCTTGTGAAACGTTCAAAATACAAAGCTATGTAATATAAGCATCGTTTCTGTTTCCATTCATTAATCAGATGTGTAGTATTATTCACCATCGAGGCTACATTTGCATCAAGTAACCAGTTGACGTTAACATGATCTTCACAATTCAAATTTCGATAGGCAGTATTAATATTATTTATCGTACTATTAAATATATCATTTGTTAGTAGATCTTCTTCAGTTTCAAATGACAATAGAAATGAATCTTGATTATGTGATAGTAAATAGTTATGATTATTTAATAAATCAGTAAACCATAGTTCAGTATCGTTATTTTGATCAAATAACTCCATATTGGGTAGTATATTTTCTAGCCAATAAGAAGATAATGTTTTTGTCTTATTAGTTTCAGATACTAGTGATTTCCACGGATTAAATATACACGATTCTAGTGCTAATTTTACAAGTTCAGTGAAATTGCAACGAGTTTTTGAAGAGGCATTGATAGCTGTAAAGAAAATTAGCAATGAAATAAACTTTATAAAGTTACAAAATAGCCATTAATTTAAACTTCAGAACAAAAGTTCTTTTAGAAAAGGGCTTCAACTGAGTAAGAGACAACAATACTTGTCGTTGGTCATGAAATATATAATTAAAAAGAGTTGAAATTCAATATTTCATATTAATAACTTTAATTAACTTGTATCATTTCTTTGGACAGTAGACAATGTAACAGGACGGCGGGCATTCGACTCTCAGTCACCAAGTTGCAAGCTCGAAATTCGCATCATTTACTTCAATTTAAGCAACCAATTAATATAACTAGTCCTACAAATTACAGTGTGGCTCGAAGGCAAGTACATGAATATGTACCTGGTAAACAGGTTAACTAGACAACATCGGTTTAATGAAAATTACTTTCATTTTAACTCATTTATCATGTGCAAATTAGTGTAGGTGGTTCCGAGATACACTCAGAGTGAGAGGGTTTGTAGTACAACTCGGTGGTCCAAAATGAAGTAGGTGGAATGGGTTTCGAGCTTCTAATTTAACGGCTGGAAGTCAAATCCCTTAACCACTACGATATCGATAATTTACAAACATTTCGATAACCAAATTAATGTCAGAACAACCAACTTTTTCACATAAATGAATATAAATACGTGGCTACGGAGTAAGTTTTACTGCTACTTAATCACACATGATTTAAAAAGTCTTCAAATCCCGATTGGTATAATAAGAGATAATTTTAGTGAAGAAACAACATTAACAGAAAAAATACTCAAGATCACTATACATATGCATCTTTAATCTTTTTAAACTTCTACCTCGCATACATACATAACTTGTTAGTAAAGTAGAAATTGTCAAGCTCTATGTTACATAATAATGGAATAAAAAGTCACAAATAGTTAAGAATAAATTAATTGTACACTATACTGTCTGTATTTTTCTCAGTTTGAAAAGGATTCTAAAATACAGATATAACCTAATAACTAAAAAATATGATTGGAAGTATGATGTGATGATTGAACATTGACATTTTTACATCAGCTTACCACGCATAAGAAGAACACACAATAAACGTAAGGATGACATTTGGTAAGTAAGTGAAGGAGGTCCATTTGATATTCGTATACCATTCAGTAGATAAACATCTTGATGTGGAATACGAGACATAGATGATGATGAGAATAAACTCATGAAAAGCTCTTTATTGAAGATAGTTCTTTGAATTATCGTTAATATTGATTGTGTATTTGAATCGTGAGAAGCAACACTTGACGAATTTTCATTCATAGTAATATTTTTATTATTTCTATTCACATCAATAGATGACGACGACGATGGCGATAATAAAAATTGCTTGAGGATGCGGTGATTACCTAATACAACTTCTAGAAATCCCATAACTTCACGACAGACATATGAACAGACACGAGATTCAAGGGGACTCTTGCCTATAAGAAAGATAAAAAGAAGAAACAACGATGTAGACAAGGTATAGTAAATAAGTCATCATTAATTAAGTATACTTCTAAGGCAAAAAGATATAATCAATTGCATCATATTCCCTGTCGATTTATGATTTTTATCTCTTTATTGACTTTATAGATTAAAAATATAAGACGATAGAATTATGTATAAAAGTACAGATCCATGCAGTTGGATTCGAGCTACGCTTTGTGTAAAGGATGGAGATACAATCAGATTTCGCAAGCCCAAATAGATAAAACAGGGTTCAAACTTATGACTTGACCTTTGACCTGTTTCTAGCACATATATATAGTTATTATTGTAATCAAGTGATTTACACTCATTTATGTCAATTGTTTCACACTATCTCCATGTAAAAATTCTATCACAATTTTGGTTTGTAAGCAGCTGACGAGAAACCTCGAAATAATATGAATTCATACTATTCTGCATCAATGTTTGTTCTTGCTCTATTTAAATTCAACAAATAAACAATGAACCTTTTGTATGATGGATAGTAAGAATCATTGGTTGATCAGACAGTGTTATTAAAATATCATTTCTTTAAAAAGAAGCTTTACTACATTTGAAATTCGATTAGCACTAACCACTCCTAACGTCTTACACCTCAATTATTTGATAAACAACAAAAGAGTAAATGAAAACAAACTGAACATGAATAAACTCAATTAAAAGTGAATTAAATTGAATAAAGCAACAAATTACCTGAATTTGAAAGGCATCTAGCCATACAACATACAATATAAACAAGTCTGTCTTCCAACGAACGACTTATCAATTTTTTCAACTGACATGAATCTAAAATCTTTTTCACCTGACCTTCAGCATTATTTATTTTGCAAGGTGATGATAACTTAGATGTTGACATAGTTCGATGTATGCAACAAAGATATGCTAAATATTGTGCAACTGATAATGACATTTTCTCTACTTCTTCATTATTACAAATCAAGTCAATATGCAAAGCAGTGAAAATAGGATCGTAATGCATAGTAGCAATAAGTTGTAGACCATAATGACTTTCTTTGTACATTGTAGGCTCTATATCAAAATCATTTGAATAACAAATTTTCTCTTGTAAATTAAACAATTGTTTTACTAATGATGTACACAATTCATAAATATGTTTTAACAGACAACATGCTTGAAATAATTTCAAACGATTAGCTAGATGTTTAGCAAATTCAGGTGTAGTGTTGGCAGTAGTTGATTTTGTTTCATTTACTGTTGAGGTTGTGGCATTAGATGATTTGATACTACCGTCATCAGATGAATGGTCGTTTTTAGTTGTCAACTGATAAACAGTTAATTCATACTGATATGTTAATATTTGATAGAAACATTGAGATAAATTTGAATTAAACTGTAAATGGTAGATAAGAAAACAAAAATAAGGTAAGAGTAAATACAACTCCAGAATATATTCACAGTATGTTGGGACAATACAAAAATTATTTTTTTAAAATGTTAACATTATAATCGACATCGTAACAGAAATTTAAATAGATGCATCTAACTTTATTATATGAGGTTTTCACTATATTGTCCGACTGTTTGTAGTAAAATAAATAGAACAAGTTAGAAAATATGCGTACCTCAGTGTTGAACGAAGGCTAATTAAACTGTAACGGGATAGAATCAATTAAAAAAACTCATTATAAAGTGAGCGTTGATCAAAGGTTTTCAGCTTATTGTCAACAAGTATGTCTTGAAAATTCGGCTTTAAACCATACCCTTTGTGTAAGGACTGGTAATATTACCCAGATGCCCAGACATTATTACCTATCGGTGTGAAACGGGAAATAAAACTATCGAAAAACAAGTGTCCTAAGTATTGAAAAAAAGCCTGATCTACAATTCTACGTATAAATACACTTTTCAAGGTAGTAATTTATCTATATATTAGTTTCTACATGTGTTATAATCTCTTTCTTCTTACGGTTATGACCCAGCTATTCCTATTGCTTAGTATTCTCGGACACCGATTCACTCGACAAGTCCCCAAATCAGAACACGGTTGAACAGGAAAGAGATTATATTCCAAATAGCAAGTCAGAAGCACAATAGGGAAAACGTCAGTATATTTATAGTTTTTACATAAGAAGATTCCAGAGTATTCTCCAACTATCGACTAATGCTGATTGGATAAGAATTAGCCAATCAGCGTGCACCAAAGCAATCATGCATTGAGCATGCTTTAATCTACTCTATGTCCCGCTAACAACATGGACTACAGATTCCATATCTAAACATTCTACAACTTTAAAAACACAGTTTCATCTTGTGAAAAACACATAAAGTATCAAAAATCCTGACGACTTGTCTATATTAGACTGAGAGTAAGAATTTAACATCTAAGATGGTAAAAGAATGCCTAGTGACTAAATAGCCATCGGAGGAAAAATCAGAGGAAAAAATAATTATTTTAGTGGGTAATAATAGCATATGCAACAGTAACAGAAAAACACTGAACTAATATACTACTATACATCGCTCATATATTACAGTGTGAAAATTTAACGTGGAACATGTGGAAGGCTGTGATTTTAATCATCAATGATCGCAGTTAGTGTTAGCACTTTAGAGCTCCAATCATCCCATGTTCTGATAAGGCTCAAATCTGAATATGCGGATTAGTAAATTTTCAACCAATCAATGTTAGCGGGCGAACCAAGAAGATAGTTGAAGAGGTGGCTATAATTTATGGACGACCTTTAAAATGTCCACCTACTAACTAGGACTAAATGAGGGTTACAAAGCAGTGTGAGGAATTAAAGTTATGATTTACAGTTGATGGTTAGGGTTAGGAATTAGATTTAGGGTTTTCATCACGAACCGACACCAGTTATAATGCCGAAATAGTATTTAGCCAAATGAGTGGATGAATTTCGCACTAAAATCCAACACCCATTATCTTAAGTATGATTGGTTGATCCATAAATTATAGTTAGAGATTTAGGAAGAGTCAAGTGGAGTATCGTGGTCATGAGATATTAAACAGTAGAGTGTAATGAACGAGAACACAGGTGGGGACAACTAATGTATTTTAATACAAATTACAGAGTATCTTGATAAAATATGAGAACCATACACTGAATACTTCATTTGCTAATTTCCATCACTTGTTCCTAACATTCTGTATGATTCTTTAATTTCACAAATCATTTCTATTTTCTCTTCTGTTCTCTTCAACGCGACCTTCTTAGCATTCTGCTGTCAGGTTTTCCACTTCAGATTGGTTTTACAAACTACTTATTTGGACACACATAAGTAGCATACACCATAGAAGTATATGACAAACAGTCAACGTACGAATTTTTTAGAAGAAAGAATTTTTTATAACTAACGAATATTTGTTTACATTCTCCAAATTAGAGAGCTAAATAACAAAGAAAATAATTAAATGTATACAATCTTAATCAATACTCATTGGGACATAAATTTTCATACCACTTTTATTCTATTCAGTGACAAAACTATATAACCTGATATTATGATCTAACCTTTGGTTTTGTAAGCGCTTTCTGGAATGTTCTATTGAACAATCCCGAATAAATATTAGTATCATTCTAATAATGAACCTTGACCCCTTAGTGAATATTTGTACAACTCATAGGCTTAAAATTTGCAACCACTAGTGGTAGTAGTAGTAGTAGTAGTAGTAGTAGTAGTAGTAGTAGTAGTAGTAGTAGTAGTAGTAGTAGTAGTAGTAGTTGTTGTATCACCGTGAAAATAATTCAACTTCAGAATACAATAACACCTTAAACATTAGTTAAAATGATCCTTTCCTAAACTTACCTGATTCAATTCTATACATTTATTAGAATTACATTTCGTTGCAACTTCATTCAATAGGCCAAACTGTTTACCGTAAATAACTGTAGCTAATCTGAGACTATTAGCCAATCGCCTACGAGCTAAGAGATTTGAAGTAAAATTGAACGGCAAATAATTCTCTTTCATTAAACGATTGGGACACAACAGTGTTAATGATCCAATATTTTCTATAGTTGATGGCCCTGATACAAATGATTCATTAATATAAACATCATTCCAATTAGGTAGACCAAGTTCAGATCGAATATGATAGCATAATTTATACATTATCTGTAAACTTGTTATTAGCAAATTATGCCCAGTATGTAACGAATGTGAATACATAGCAGATAACTGAAAAGAAGGGAAAACATGAAATACACAAACAAGATAATATTAGAAAAAGATCAACTATCGACACAGATACACTTGGACAAGTTATAATTATCTATAATATTTCAGACAGCAATTAACCGTCGTTATAATGTATGTTCGTTCAAAGTGAATTTGATCTGTGACAAAAAAACTTCAAGTGAAATTTTCATGCCCCATCTCGATCAAATATCAATATTGTGTTCACTAGTGACTAAGTAGCTAAGTGGATAACGCGACGACTAACCATCGAACCCAACGATGTAGTTTCTCTAATATTATTGCACGTGGAAAGTTGTGGACACATATTGGACTGTAAGAATGTTGAAACTTTAGACAGGAGTAATATAAAAAATAGCTTTTAGAAGTCTGGCACTCACATCAATCAGCAATAAACAAACATCGAAATTGGTCCAATTTATCACGCATTCGGAGAAATCAGGGATAAAGATAGGATCCAGAATCAAGTTAAAAAAGAAACAATCAAAATCAGTATCCAGACGATTAAAGGTCAACAATGAGCAACCAAGTTCGACGGGATAAGTTGTCAGTTATATGTGGAAAAATTTAAATAACTCACTTTTACCTGGAGTTTGTGCTGATGTTGTTCAGAAGAACAATGAAAGCTTGGCGATTAAGCTATCCTACTCAAAGAACGAAACTTCGCCAACAACAATCCACATGAACTACAAATCACTAGATTTCGAAACAAACGATCAACAAGCAACGAAACTTTATGGCTCTGGATTCGATTACAGATGGAGGTCATGGGTGAGTACACTCGAATACAATACTATGACAAAACATATATTTAATGTGTTCTGATTTTCAATAGGGACTCAGTTGACCCAGTACATATAACACAAACCAACTTTAATTCAAAAAGAAGAAAATTAGAATCAACAAAAATAGTCCATTAGTTATTTCTCAATTGAACTAGTCGTTTTTTCTCCTTGTCTTTGTATAACATCGATTGTTTGTTAATGATTCCATCATCTTTTATACTAATCTTCATGAAAAACAGAACCACATGTGTATTTTACATTATGTATCTCAAGAATCCGAAACATACTTCTGACAGCCTCTGAATTCAGTAGGGTTTATTTAAGTGAAACTTACAAGCGATATAAGTGGACAGCTGACGATTGAGTTGGAAGTACAGCTTATTACCATACTATGGAGTGGAAAGCAAGATCTTGGATTTAATGTAGATGTGTGTTCAAAAAAAGACAAAGCAACTGTTTACTGCTACCTCGCTTCCAATATTTCGTTGACTGGTATCAAATCATGATAAAAGTCACGTTCATCATACATTGGTTAAGTCTGATGAAAACATGTGTACAACATCGGTAATGATGAAATCGATTGACACAAAGAAACACACATACATTAATAAGTTAATAAGTTACTCTTACCTCTTTAGATGTCAGATTTTTATCGCCACTCGTATTCGTGCTATTACCAATCGTAGAATTTACAGAAGACACAAGAGTATCTTGTAAAGTTGAGTCCAAAACTGCTGTATCTAAAAGACAGATACTTTTCTTTTCCTTTGGAGTAGTTGTCTCAATACTGTTATTAGACTGTTTCGTAGTTTCTGTAGAACAAACGGTACGTCCTTTACCAGCAGCATGACGTGTTCTATGCTTCCCAGCACGTTTTACAGGTTCTACAGTGTCAGTATATGATTTGGAAGTATTAAGTGGTTTTGTGCTTTTAGAATCATTTAATACTGACAACTGTGATGTTAAAGTACCTAGGAATTGAAATAAGCTACATAAATAAGACAACTGCCCAACAGTAATTCCATTGAAACTCTTCTTGATTGAATCTAACACCAACTGGGGGGGGGTTGAAAAATTAAGAAATAAATTATCGGTAGTCAAAATAAATATTTACGATCATTGTTCTGGTAAAAAGTTTAAAAAAATAACCATAGATGACTACTTTACGTTTCAGAAAAATGCTCCATATTCAATGTGTATGCAAAGTAAGGATGAAAGCAACTAGTAGTTTATCATCATCTATCTGAGTTATTCTTATATTTAGATTAAACTTGTGCATTCTGTGCTGTTAATGATAACTACAAACTTTTATCGAAAAATAGAATTAGTCAATCGCAAATGTATTACATTGAATTAGCGCTGCCCAAGAGAGAGAGACAGAAAGAAAAGAGTGAGATTAGCAGTTAGCTAAAGTACGACAAAATGATTGAAAAGAAATATCAAGTTCATATTTTATTACTTTTAAAAACAAATTACATATATCACCTCATGTGCTGAATGCAGGTTCGTGTAGTTGACATCTGACCACACTTTAAATATGAGAGTTAGTGATATGCTACCCAGTAGGTCGCCCAAACCGACTTAGTGGTTGAAATTCGAACCATTAAACTACTGGACCACCGTTTAGTCATATATATATTCATGTAAACTTGTCCCAGATTAGGATGAAACAGTCACCAAGAACGCCCTAGTTAACACTAGTCATTTAACTGAAGTCATTCTGTGATTCAAACTCGTTTTCTATCTTAAACAATAACTACAAACATTCTATTCCCATAACAATTACGAGTTCACTAGTGCTTACGGACTTTCAGATGAATCCTCAGTATTCTACAATTGAGAAACCGCTTAACTAGTGGAGTTCTACCAGGTCAGGACTGTCAGGCAGATATTGTTAATGTCAGTGGATGATAGTTGTACGTCACTCATCTGAAGGGGCTAACACTACAACCGACTAACTAAAATTACTCCATAATGTAGACTATCTTAAAAAAAACAACAGATAACTCATAGTGTATAACAACAAAACTTACTGAAAACGACTTCACTTGAAGAAAACCACATTCGAATAAGAATGAAAATAAGGCTATAGGATGTACTAGAGATATTAATTTATTGATTTCTCCTTCAATCACATTAGCCTTTGCTTCCTCTGACTCACCATCATTTGATAGTTTGCTTGAACACTGAGCATGAATTAAACGCTTCAATTCTTTCTGTAAGTAGTGATATCAGATAAAAGATTGAGAGTGATTAAATTCACTAAAAATTAAGACTTTAATTTACATAAACGGTCAGGAATGCCATCAGTATAATTATCACTGTTAATAAATATTTGTGATACATGAATGAATATGAAGATTAATGGTAGAATAAATATTATGTAATGTTTATTTTGAACTGATGATGGAAATGTTGGTTTAATCAATCGGGTGAAAACATTGAGATTAGATATGGAAAATTCACTTTCTTATTTGATTTTAATAAAATGACACTATATTTTGTCAGGAGTTGGGTTCGAACCTTCGACCTAGCTGATGGAAGCCGAATCCATTAACCACTTGGAAATCGCTTCATAGATATTAAGATTATAAAATCCATCTAGTAAATCATATGTATATGTCTACGTACCACGTATATGCACTAAATATGAAGAGTTAACTAATTTATTCATTTATATGTATTCATAGGCTGTATAGAGGCGACCCGCACAAGATTTACGTACGCCAACAAAGACTGATTAGAATTATTAAATATCAACAACGGAAAAAGCATCATACCCAAAACCATTCGCTTTTTACGTGAACAAACTGTTAACAATAGATGTATCATTCATCTTCAAGACAAAATAATTTTATGTAGATAGTAAAAACTAATATTCACTTTTTAAGCCGTATATTTTCTATTAACTTATTCACCAAGTACACATTAGTGTACTTGACTTGGGGCCACATTTTAAGTGTGATGGCCAGTGATACGACCCGGTTCCCCAAAGTGAAGTGTGTAGAGTGGGGTTAGGACGTAGGACTTTGTGTTTAAAAGTTGAATTCTCCGATTATTAAGCTATTGCTTGATTTTTTAGAAGTACCACAGCGCGATCACACTGATACAAACTACACATCTCAGAGTATTTACTAAGTATTTACCACAGCTTCCAACCAATTGAGGTGCAATGGTGAGCATCCTTACGGTATCAGATAATTCTTGATCAATCTGAAACCAGCCCAAGGTTAGCTGGTATATAATCCTTGATAATTGATATTGCACGAAAGGAAAGATCAAATATAAATCATAACGACCCGTATCACATACTGGAAACCATCAGTAATAAACAAAATAATGGAAATACAGGAAGTTTATTTGTTCAGTGAAAATACTTATAAAATTATGACTGATAGAAATAGTAATAAACGCACCAACAGATTCGCTCTCGAATCCAATAAAGAGTAAGCTGATGATGATGACATCGATGATCGACTACTGGTTACTGAAGGTATATTAGCATTACCACCACCAGTCGTAATGGCACTAGTATTTGTGGATTTTACAGTAGATGATTCGGACTTCGATTTCGGCGGTAGGCTATCATCAGTTGCAAAGCCTAAATCGAAAAATAGATTATGGAATACTTACTAGGTTGTAGAAAAAAAGGAAATATTTATCTATTAACAAACGGAAGATTTAAAAAACATAGTAGATAGCATAGTACTACTTCAAGGTCAAGAGTTTCCATTGTTATACCTTCACTAACATAAGCAATTATTTGTTTCCAAAAAACGTGAATCAAATTTAAACCGATCACCTAGCGAATTCTAAAAACAGTTATATAACAGCTAGAGAGATAATAAGTTGACTGTTTAAACAGAATTCACTTCAAGAAAATTTATACTTAGAGACTGAATATCCACGCATGGTTAAATCATAGTTCCATTTAAAAAAATTATTATTATTATTCTTAAATGAAGTATTCACCTAGTAAGATTGGTTGACTGCATATTTTATTCATTTGTTTTGACATTAGTAGAAAGTATCAACAATAAAATTTAGTAATAAAAATTGATTAGCTACATCCAATGAATATAAAATAAGACTTAGATACCTGAAGAAAACTGAAAAGTTGGTTGAGTAGGATTCTGTTGAATTCTATCTAACAAAATTATTAAATACAGATAATATGACGGTGACAAGAATATCTTCGAAACACTTTGAAGATTGATAACTGTCTTCTGTGATGGTTTTATCGTTAATAAATGAATGAAAAGACTTAAATCTTTTAAAAGTTCTTGTGGTGGTGGAAGAATTTCTAATAATCTCCAGTTTAATGCTAATCCATAAGTGCACAATGGTAGTTGACAACATTCGGTAAGAATAGGATCTGGATTAGTTAACATTTTATTAAATGAATCCGTCAGCAGAAGAGAACTCATGTAATCAAGGAGAGAGGTGAATAGGTCATGATAATTATTAAGTGATGCTAATGATGAGACAGCCTGTGAATGGAAAATATAAAAAAGCGTGATTACAGTAAAGCAAATTAAATCCATTAAAAAAAACCAAGTGCATAATTTGAGAAAATTGTGGTTGATTATTCTAGCTTAATGTAAAGCTAAAATACAAGTATGTATCACAAGGTGGCTAATTAGAGAAATGATGAACCATAAAGTAGGATCAGGGACGAGACTAAATTATGGATAACCTTCGAATGAAACCCAAGTGACCCTGAGAAGTTCCAGCCAATCAGAAAACAATTGGTATGGAGTGTAAATTCATTATGCAACAAAAAAGAATTAAAGTGGATACTCTTCTTTAACATGATTTGAAAACTTAATCATGTTAAAGAGTCCGGTGATCTGTAATCATAATGCATACGGTACAAGAACTAATCCATGTGACTCCACAACAGTTGACACTCGGGGCCGTGACAAGTTCGTAGAAATTCCTTTAGCCTCAACCACATTGCTTCTATACAGTTAGTGTGTACTCCTTTTGTGAAGTCAACAAAACGTCTCTTGAGAACAACAACAGGATGTACGTTACCAAGTTTAGATTGACATATATATGCCCTCTATTAGTTTGTGTATATGGTGATAACAGGCCCGACATACTACCGTATAACTCATTTCAGATTTGTAGCCTGTTGGTGATGAATTATCATATATACCCAAGATATTCTAAATATATATCTAAGGTACTCCTGCTTACCCAGTCTACTCTAACACTTTTTCCTCTATGGAATTTGCACTTTCTGACGACCGATTTAACCTATTTCTACGATCATTCCGATTCCTCCATGTGACCCTGCAGTACCCGCACCAGTGAACCACCGTAGCTTCACTAATATCTGCAAAGGATGCGGCGAGTGTTAATGTTGTTTTTGTTACCAAGTTTTTAACGATCAGCAAAGCCTGTCACCCAGGACTGAACAAAAAATGTCCATGTTCTCGTAGACTTCTCCAACATATGTTACGACGAAATACCATATCGCCATGACAGTCCTCATAATACCGTCCAGAAGGCGTTTGGACACCAAAATGCTTCTCAGTAAACCCATTTGTTATAGCCCCTCGACTATAAAACCGTTTTTGAAAACCGCAGTAAACCGATCGTAGGTGAGTATTTCGTACGAAACTAGGCACATGACCTTGAAATCGCTTACTCCATTCTGATTAGCTCGTCCAGAAATTATAGGCTCGCCCAAACCTGCGAATTGGTGATTGAACGTTAAACATTAATTAGTGACCTATAGCTTCGTTGGATCACAGCAACAGTCTAACATAAGAACATTGTGTACCACAATTGAGTATTTTTCAATGAAGAAATGATAATTCAACCTAAATAATCAACCTGATTTAAATCTTATTATTTTGTGTTGTCACCTGCTAAAATACTGAAAACTATTACCACTGTATGTATTTTTCAAACTTACTAGTCCATCAGGAGACGGGAGACTTAAACTTGTACCTGTTCTTTTAGAACTACTACTCCCAGCAGAAGTTAAATTTGTTGACTGATCAACGCCTGATGATGACTGGTTGGCTGCAGTTAATAGATCATAAAAGAATGGGATATCATTGTTATTATCTGTCAATGGTAAAGGTAAAAAGTATGGGTGTATTTTTGATGATAAGTGAGCAATAGTTGAATATTCCCAAATCATACATTTCTTTTGTTTATTATTATTTTGATCAGGTTGTAAAAACATACAAGGTTTTAGTTGGTGTGATAAGTAATTTGGTGGAATGTAGAAGTAATGTAGCATATAGCGTAAAATAACAATTAAACGCAGCCAAAGATAATAAACATGCGTGATTTGTTGTTTCACAGAGGAAATGTGAACATTACTGCTTTCTGTGATGAATTGTTGTTGGTGTCGATATTGCTTTTTCCAAATAGTTTTATGTAAATCACAAAATAATTGAGTTAATAAAATGAGTAATTGCTTTTTCGCTGTTAATCCCGGTGTTTGTCCAGCGAGAAAACAAGCAAATTGTAATAAATTAGGATGAATATCTATCATGTAATGTTCAATAACAGTGATCTTTTTAATTATTGATGATTCCCATGTTGATAAGATCGTATTTTGTATACTTGTCAAAAAATTTGACCAAAACGATTTGATAGACTCTTCCAAGATAATTATTGAATCTGTAACTCGTAATATACTAAGCATATGACCAGATAATAAACAGAAAACATGTGATTCTGTCCATAATGGCCAGTTATTCACTAACATTGTTGAATTCATCGAAAATCCTGATTCTTTTGAAATAATATGACTACCGGTACTCAATGAATAGCCTAAATGTTTTAATGCACAATCAGTTATTCCATGACATGAAGTAAATGCATAGATTAAGTGTGATAGTTCTTCATCAAGAATACTGAATCTACATTCCATACTGTAAGATGATGACGATGTTGGATTGATTAACTCGTGCATTACTGTTTCATCAGCATAGATAATCATTTTAGATAAATAAAATCCAATAACTGATATGAATTCCAAATTATCTTCTGAAGAACTATAAAAATGTAAACAGAAAAATACAATAAAGTGATTGATACAACATTACAATATGTGTAAATAAATTAACGAGACAAGAGCTTGTTCATATAATAAAATACTGACTACTGTATGATCTAATCGGGCTGAAATCAGAATACGTTGATTGGTCCCTTTTCAATTAATCGGCACGAATGGACAAGCCGAGAAGACTGTCATGCAAGATTTACATAAACTATAATATTTTATTGAGGTATCTCAGTTATTCAAGTTTCTGAGAACAAACATTGTTTTTTTTAGTCCTTGTTTGGATTGCGAAAGACTCGAGTGAAGTATAGTAGCCATAGAATACTGAATAGTAAAAGACTAAAACAGGACTACAGAATCGAGAGAAAAAAGCCAACTACAATGAAAATCTCAATATGACAAATATAATCCCCAAAAGGACCAAATATAATTGAAAATTGAAATGTTAGAGATGACATCTACCGCAAAAAAATCCCAAAAGAGGAGTGAAAAGTGTGTTAAATAAGTAAAACTCAAGATATAGATGGAAACAAAGAAACAATTTATAAACTTGAGCTATTTTAATCAATTCTAAACAAATTCACCCAATATTTCCAACTGTAAATAACGACTGTCGTATGAACCTCACCAACCAGGCAGTCTGCACATTCTGAAATGGTTCAATTCAACAAACGATAACTCCATGGACTAAAACTATTGCTGGGTAAAACAGTATTATAACATAATTTGATCAGTTCATTTTACATCATAGAAACGATAAGATAAATGTCCCACAATTGCTATAGTTTGTCTTTAAATATACTAAGTGTTTTCAACAGTTAATGATCTGTGGATTACACCTTGTTAAACATATTGAAAGCTAAAGCACTGTTGATGAAAACATTAAATAAACAGGTCAGCCATTCAGTCATACTCAACGTAGGACCTAGAACGTATGTACATCGGTTCAAGTTACCACATCCTATTAGCACAGTGAGATGAAATTGTCATGGAGAATCCCTGAATAGTAGAGATAATAACAATAGCAATGGTAATAGAAAAGATTATGCATGTAAAATAAAAATCTGGGAAAACATAAATTATTGAGATGATAAGAAAAAAGATTTTGAACGATTCGGAAATGTAAGAGGTAAGGGAAGAAAAAGAGTGAATGCACCTACTCCACTGAGAACAATTTGGAGCCACATCATTCAAGGTCTCCAATGATTGGTTACGATAATCACGCTGACCTCAATCAGGTAGTCTGTAAGGACCTACACGGCGTAGTCCAACAGTCATTGTCTTCATGGACTAATGCCGGGAGTTCATGGTTTGACTCCTTCTAGCTCTGTTCCAACATACTCCAAAATCATTCATCATTCCGCATTGCGGTAGTCAGTGGATGGACATATGTAAACCATGTTAAAACCATCTCAGTCGATAAAGATTCACTACATTGTCAACTGATTCGTCAGACTTACTTGGCAGTAATAAATAAATGCACAAATAAGTTTACACCACGAAATGATCTTAGTTAGACAACTATTGAAAACCAAGAACAATGGATAAATGTATAATGTAAAGTTCAACAGTTTTCGCAACCCCCAACCACCTATACCGATAACTATTACGTGCTTATTAGTGATTAATTTCGACACGTATTTGTCAGTTTTAATGGAAAGCCGTGACAAGTAGTGAAGTCCAACCGTGTCCAGTGTGAGGTAGTTACCTACCAATAGCATTCGAAGATGTTTGCAAAATATCGTGAAATGATTGAAGTTCAACATGTAAACCAATAGATGTAGACTCAATAATTTAAAATTTAGGCCTTCCCAGGATACCTGGAAGTTCTGGGTTCAAACTCCGATAGGATCATGGTTACGTATCGTTAAGGAGTAACATACACGGGTTCGTTAATTTTTTGTGGTACCCTAACTAAAGTTAGTCCATGATGTTAACCAGAAACATTGACAATCTCCACAAACCCCGTAAACCCATGAATAAATATATTTTATAAATATAGTTTAGTGAGTTAACAAAACAAACCTTTCTTTAATAGGCATGGAATCATTTGATAACTGGTATTTTAGAAGATTCGATCGAGCCAACAGTAAATCATTGAGAAAGTGTAAACCTTGTTTTGTGCATTTCAAGAAAAATTTAAAATCCTATAAAATTAGAGGGAAAAAAGGCTTTTTTCAATAAAATATAGTAATTATCTATTATAATTGACCAAAACTTGACATACATCCGGTTGACAAGTCTCAAGTAGGACGAAACGCTCATACCAGACCCATTTCAGGCCACATTTCATCCGTCCTATACAGGTCAATTCACTCGATTTCAGGTCACATTTTGTATATAATAGCTAGTAAGATTATCCAGTTGATCGAAATGGGATAGATGGATGCAGTGTTTAAACCTACGATTCAACAAATAAAGTTGAGGCGAAAGTGCTTTAACAACTAACTGACATCTTTTACTATTACACAACCATTCAAGATTAATTCTCAACATAAACTTCGAAAAAAAATCATTAAATTTATCAGAAAGAAAAACAAGATCTGCATAACAACAGAGAAACGTTGATGAAAGCTACCGGTATATAACCGTAACAATGTTTAAACATATAGAACTTACATCAATCTGCAAGTCTTGATATAGATTTGTAGAAGAGTCTACAAGATAAGATAAAAGAAATCACAATTGCCGATTTGTAAATAAGAATGAACAATCAGATATCTTACACCATAATTCTTGTTTAACTATACGATTAGTAAAATGTAAATTGTTTAGACTATACATATTTGTTAAATTGACGCCTTACTCTTTATCAATAGTACTGAAAAAGAGGATAAAAATCAACTTCAATTTACAATACAGAGTTATGTATTGCAATTAAAGAATTACAATGAGCATTGATTTCTTCCGAGAACCTAAGTTTACCAAACATCTAACGAGAAAACGAAAACTTTAAAGGTCTATCAAATCACAAGCCCTAGGGAAGGATTAATTGATTATACCGAAGAACGATAAAATTACAGATCCTTTAAATTTAGAAATAATTCATTGTTGTCTTTTAGCCCAGAGTTTGAAGAGTAACATACTAGTCTCGATGTTTGAAAATTTTACTTTTCAGAAGTTTTAATTACAGATAGCCTGGTAGTGTACGGACCAGATTTTTGAAGTGTTTAAAATGGTCTATACATTATACTATCTAATATTAAAACAAATTTCGTTTCCCGAGTCAGTTCTAAGACAGATTACCACCATGTATAGCATGTTTTTTGCATCATAAACTTATTTACAATGTACTAATACAAGAATGTTTCAAGCAACAATTTCTTTATGATTTTTCATTCCATAGTCATTTAAAACTAAAAATATTTGCTTCATATTGCTCGTATCTGTTCGTAAAATATCTATGATGCCTCGTTCTTATAAAAGTGAGGTCAACAATAACATAGCCAGCAAAATGTTTTTCCTAATGTTATAACCAAATGAAAGACATAGGTTTTGTATGTCACTTACTCACTGGTCAATGAGTCGATACTTGACAGTTAAGCCTAATACTTGTGTGATATATTATCGCCTTTTAGCGATCGAACTAAAATTCAGGGCAGTAAATTTACTCTGAAAATGACGCTTTATACTCAATGTGACATATCTCATTGGGACCCCCAAAGAACATACGACTAATCAAATGCAAAGTGAGAACAAAACTAAGCACTACATTGAATAAGTAATAAGAATGGTAAACGTCGATTACACACACACAACCGTACCTTTACGCAAATATTGTTGATAACTACTACAAGACAATCTTCGAGAATGTTCTTGAATCTATAACAAACAAAAAAAATAGAACAGTAAGTTCAACAACAAAGGTTACTTATCATACAACTTCATGAAACCAAATGAAAAGTGCATTAGAAAAAATGATTGGATATAAGCAAATGTTTACTTTATGTAATGAGTCATTTAAAGTACATTTAGTAATCGATGATGAACATAAGACAGTGTATCTATGTAGGAACAAATATCTTAATAAAGATAATCACCTTCCTCGAACATCATATCGGTTCTAGAGGAAAAAGTAAGCTTACTATGCGACTTTCTTGTGAGAAAACATTGATGGGCAACAATGTAAATCCAGTTCTGTCTCTACTTGACACAAAGTACAATACTTGATGCCTCTAAACCATCTTCCCACTTGGCAATTAACTTTTGAGTTTTTCGTCATCGATTATGGTAACAACTATTGGAACCCAGTTAAAAACTACTTAGTGGTCATATAAGAAATTAAGTACGTCAGTACAAAAAATGGGGTTTGAACATGCGGTCTGTTAGTTGAAAATAAAATATTTTGGCCACCATCATATCAACAATATGCAACTGCAAACTCTACTGTGTGGCGGTTGGATTTAGTCGAAAGGAAACCATGTTCCTAGGCCTATTGGCTAAATGGTGCTTATCACGAAGGTGTACTTGGAAGCTTGAAAGAAGCGGAATTCCTAGTGAACAAAATTCACTAACATTACTGTTCAATGTTGGCGATCCTTCTAAGACAACGACGATTGGGCACAGAGTCACTGAACACCCGCAGCTTAGAGAGGACAGGTATCACAAACACAAAATTGAACCGGTCTAACCGCTATATCATAAATCTGACTTTTCAGAGCCGTGATAACGTCACACCGGTGTTAAAGATGGTGTTAAAGAAGTTTTCAGAAGCCGTTCTGACTTTCACAATACATAAAAGATAGAGTATTCAAGCCATGAATTTACACCTTTAAATCATTAGTATGTGTTCAGACCATATCGTAACTTTATCTAGGGGGTTTGTAAGTTTTAGCCCTGTATTTTCAGAAAAAAAGAAACAAAATGAAACAGTCAACTGGTGATTAATACTTTTTCTACACAAATATACCTACCACATTAAACATCTCTGATAGAATGCGCATTAAATCAACATGAAGATGATGACCACACATAACAAATAAACGAGATAACGATGAGGGTTTTTCTGATTGGTTAATAAACTCTGTAATTTTTTTAAGAAAAAAATCTGATAGAGATACTGCATGACAGACAATTTACAATTTTATAGTACGTATATAGTTTATATTAAGGACGGACATGAGTTAATGAAATACCACTAGAAAAACACAACACAATCAAAAGACTGCAACATTCTTAAAGACTACCATTTAGGGGATACGTTGAACACTGCTGAAACATTTTAAAAGATGAATTCTGAGACGAAAGAGTGTCTTCGTAGTGACTATCCTATGGTAAACCTTATCGTTATATTTAACATATTCTTTAAATGTTACCATAAAATGGCAAGTTATGAAAAGTAGCAAGGATTTGATTCTGAGCTAAAAGTGCAACTAAGAAGCCATAGCTTTTGTATTCATAGATTAAATTTGGAAATGCGAACTATTGCTAGATTCCAACTTGATGTTTTAAGTCTACTATGTTCGTGAGATCTGGAGATTAAAAAATGGTACTGAATTCCATTTTTTATGGGGTTTAGAAGTTGAACTCCAAAAGAGTTTCAAAGTAAGATGAAATAACTGTCCAGTGTCTCCTGACTTCCTGTGGTTCTCTTAGCTGATGTGCTAGTTCACGGCAAAGACTATCGCCAAACTAGAAGCGTGTACGACTATAAACTATGTGAAAACTTCTAAAGCAATTTACAACAATACTAATTTAATTGTGGAGAAGTACCTAATTAGTAAACCAGTGTGATACACTTAGAACTTGAAAAATAAGTCCTTTAGTTAAGAACATAATCTAGATAAATACAACAGTATAGAATATTGCATAACATGGAAGAAAAGCATGAAGTTATATTAAGAATGTTATATCCGGACGACAATAAATGAATGGTAACCGTAAGAAAGTACTTATGGACTAATATTATAAGTATATTCTTAATGTATGACTATTAAGTGATTATATTATATGCATATTCATATTCCCTACATTATAAGCTTTTATTTAATCTATTGACTATCATCACACGATTTACTACTCTTGAGATATCCCCAATTTATTAGTAACAGTTTCTCACAATCACAGCCACTTTTGGATAGATCACGTACAAATGTTATTTTCTATTTTGTGGTGTGATAATATCTGATTTTGTTTGTATATAAACCAAGTGTGTTTGAAATATATGATTCGTATCGCGGAGGCTGAGATTGGCGTTCTGGACTTAACAGGCAAAGCATAGTGAGGAAAACGTCAATAAGGACTCTAGGATGTTCACACTGGTGTATGCGTCATTAGTTTGGTCATATGAGTCAGCATATCTAAAAAGCAATCGTATTTCGCAATAAACGTATAGCCAATGACAGAACAAAGAGAAGTAAGAATAATGAAAGTAAACGGACAACAAAGTTTCAGAAATTTAGAGAACATAGAATAAATGCGGCAATATTAGTCTGATCAATTTTGCCACGTTGATTCGAGGATTCGGCTATCGGTAAGCCAATATTTCCAAATCAATAAAGACTCTATGAGTTGGTGTCATTTTTACACCTGACCACTGAGTATTTTTTCAAACACCACCTAACTGCATTTGCAAAGCAAAGTGATGATCATGGAGAAAAATGTCCAAAATGAACAAATTACCCAACGATAGAAACAAGACAATAATACATGCACAAAAAACCAAGAAGACAGATAATAAGTAACCTTATAAACATCTTACCATTTGGATCAAATTTTTGATCTAAGTAATATTTGATATTTCGATTGAATAAACTCAAATCATCTGATGACGATAGTAAAAATGGTAAAGAAGGCAGTGACGACGACAGGATGTCAGAGTTCTGGGTAACGGAGAAATCTGACCCATACCTAAAATACTCAGAGTCACCAGAAGCCAACAGTGTTAGGCTAAATTTAAACAACTGCGAAAAGTACTTCAATAGCAAAGGTTTAATTGGCACTAAATTAAGCTGACGATCCCATTTGTTTAAAGACTCAATCAAACACAATAAATCTGACTGATCAGCCGGTAGAATGTTAGGTAACGATTTGGCAAATAAGTTGAGCATCATTAAGCCAGTTCCAAAATTTAAGGATTTGGTTATCTCAAAAAATTTTGAATTCATCTAATTTTTTACAACAGAACATGAAAAAAAAAGAAATTGAACTGGAACTTAAAAAGTGGAATATCAAAAATAACTATGAAATACTAAAATCATGAAAACAGTAAGAGGCTTAAAGTCATAACATAATGATTAAAATCATGAAGTATACCAATCTGTTAACAAAGCTAAACATAAAATAAAGCTCAATCAAGAGATCATGTATCATTTATCACAAACAGACACCATCACCTTCAGATGATAAAAAAGTCTGTTAGAAGGACAGGACTATTGAATAATCTGATCAAGTTCATATCAAAATAAGTAGATTAATCCGCTTTCAAGTCATAAGCGCCAGCGGGAGAATCAATATTCTAGATCTTTATGCAAATCCTATATAAACTTCAGTGATTTTACTGTTGTACCATTATTGTTAGGTTAGCTGGGACAGATATTTTTCTCTTTCAGTTCTTATTCTGATGTAGGAAGAGTCGAATAAAGTACTGTTATCATAGTATATTAAATAGCAAAACCTAACTACTGAATCGTAATTTATACCTGGGTTTTTCTCCATAAACCATTCGATTTTACGCCTGGTTAATGTTGATTAATCTAATTCAAAAAATCACCAAAATAGACCCCATTATATATAACCGTTAATTTGCATACTGAACTGAAAAGTCTCATAAAACTATGCAAGCATTTTGAAATTCATCCCACACCTGATAAAACTACTGATTCAATATAGACACAAGCCTAGTGAGCAGTAAACATAACATATGGATGGTTAACTTTTTATATACAGGAATGAGTGATTTATTGTCAGTCAATCAGTTACAATGTAGGACCAGGCACATATATGCATCGGTCCAAGTTGCCACACTTCATTAGCACAAAAAGATGAATACCGAAATCATAGAAGTAGTTACTTCAACGGTAATAATATATAAAAAAGATTGTGCATAAGGATAAAGTACAGGAAGAAAGAATTAGTTAGTAGAAAGATGTAAAGTAATTTTATTCTCACGCTCCAAAGGGAGACAAAGAATGACCGTGAGTTTGACCACAAACGAAGGATGTTACGTAATGAAATCGGGAAAAGCTTGCGTAAGGATCGAGAAGCCTGGTGGTCAGAGCGTGCTAATGAGCTGGAAGCAGCAGCTGCATCTGGTAACTACCGGAAGCTCTTCCAACTCATCCGAGCCACTGGCAGCAAGAAGTCTGGTGTGAGTGAAACAATCTGCGAGGATGATGGGATGCCAATCACTAACATCCATCGACGTCTTGGACGATGGGCAGAATTTTTCGAAGGGCAGTTCAACTGGCCTGCTGCTCCGGCAACATCGGTCAGACTGTCCTGCCCTCCATGGCCGGTGACGACTGATCCACCAAATGAGGAGGAAGTCCGCAAGGAACTCCAACTCTTGAAGCGTTACAAATCACCTGGCCCAGATGACTTACCTCCGGCTCTTTTTAAAGATGGTGGTGACTTTTTGACTAAGGAATTGACGACGTTGTTTACAAAGGTTTGGGAACTAGAGAGTGTACCAACGTCATGGAATGAGTCGATAGTTGTCCCTATCTTTAAAAAGGGTTCACGTCGTTCCTGTAACAACTATCGGGGGATAAGTCTACTTCCGATTGCGTCCAAGCTATTGGCTTCCGTCATACTTCGTAGGTTGTTCAAAACCCGAGAAAGATTGACTCGCGAGGAGCAGGCTGGGTTTCGTTCTGGTCGAGGATGTATTGATCATATCTTCACCCTCCGCCAAATGTTAGAACACCGCCATACTTATCAAAGGCCAACAATCGTAGTGTTTCTTGACATCAGGGCTGCCTTCGATTCGTTGGACAGGACTGTTCTCTGGGATTGTCTATTGAAGAAGGGTGTGCCTGAGAAGTTTATTAACATCCTAAAAGCCCTATAAAAAACACCTCAGGCAGAGTGAGGGCATACAACCACCTCTCTCCATTGTTCCATTCGAGCAGTGGGGTTAGGCAGGGTTGCCCAATCTCACCATTCCTCTTCAACTTTGCCATCGATGACATTCTGGAAACAGCTCTGATGAATGTAAGTAATGGTGGTGTGGATCTGTTGCCTGGAGAAAGACTTCTCGACCTTGAGTATGCGGACGATATTGTCTTACTGTGCGATAATGCCCAAGGCATGCAATCCGCACTTAATCAGTTGGCAATCAGTGTCCGTAGGTATGGTATGTGCTTTGCACCTTCGAAGTGCAAAGTACTTCTACAAGACTGGCAGGATTCTAATCCTGTACTCACCCTGGACGGTGAGCAGATAGACGTAGTTGAGAAGTTCGTGTATCTGGGTAGCTGCATAAGTGCTGGTGGGGGTGTGAGTGATGAGATCAATGCACGAATAGTGAAAGCCAGAGCGGCTTATGCCAATCTGGGCCACCTTTGGCGCCTTCGTGATGTTAGTCTGGCTGTAAAAGGTCGGATCTACAACGCGTCGGTGAGAGCAGTTTTGCTCTATGCTTGTGAAACCTGGCCTCTCCGAGTTGAGGACGTTAGACGACTCTCTGTGTTCGATCATCGCTGTCTCCGAAGGATTGCTGACATTCAGTGGCAACACCATGTCAGTAATGCAGAGGTTCGGCATCGTGTGTTCGGGCACAGAGATGATAATCAATTGGTGTCACCATCTTGAAACACCGACTTCGGTGGCTTGGACATGTTCTCCGAATGTCGTCCCAGAGAATTCCACGTCGTGCATTATTTGCCGACTCTGGGACTGGTTGGAAAAAGTGGAGAGGTGGTCAGTGCATGACATGGTGTCGTGATGTGAAAGAAAGCTGCAAAAAGCTTCCCTGTGTTGGTCCTTCACGACTCCCTGGCTGGGGTCCGAGAGATGGTGCTACACAGTGGCTAGGAACGTTATCAGATATGGCTCAGAACAGAAGCCAGTGGCGATCCTGCTGTAACCTTCTTTTACTTTCTTCATAAAAAATGGTTGTATCTTCCATAACTGAAAGACCACTTCTGATTGTACCTTCCGTTTCCTCCATTATTATTATTACTACACTACCTTACACTAATCTGTTCGTTATTGTTCTTTTTTAACGCTCCTAACCTTTCATTTTTTTTCCTTCTCTTCAAATTCTCACTGTTTTGTGTGGCGCATATATATTTGGTGCCCTCTTGTACCGATATTTGTGTTCAAATAAATAAATAAGTAAAAATACTTAATTATGAAACCAAAATACGACAACCATGATCCGCTTACCTGGCAGGATACTAGTCGACCAAGATGTTGTTGATAGAGGAAAGTCTGGAATAAAGTTTTGATAAACATTGGTAACTTCGTTTTGCTTTTCTCGTATGGAATTAAAATTAATAACTATGCTACTCATGTCTAGTAAAAACTGACTATTCTTCTCAGAAGTCATACTCTTTAACTTGAGGAGATGCAAGACATATATTTCGTCTTTTCTTAGACAGGGGAGCTATTCAACACTGATTAGTTATGATAAAAGTTCTTGTTCAATAAATACATTACTAAGTTGTACAATGTTAAGCAATGACAGGCATAACAAAGCAAAGTGCCGGTTTTCAAACTACTCATATTGGGATTTAACACGGTAAAATAGAAATGATGGTTAGAAATATGTTCTATTTTAAGAATGAATTTGTACCTTAAAAAAGAACCCTTCCCTATTTAGGTACTCGATGCTGAGTCTTAATCGGTATGTGTAACGCAATCCGTTTTTAATAGCTGAATACTGATAGTTAAAATAATCAACATGCTTATTTCACTCATAAAATCCAGACTAACGAACAATGAACTTATAACCACCGTAAGACTTATTCTATTCAATGTTTATTTTATGGAGTGTTGAACATCTAGGTAGATAGTTATTTGGTTGAACATATAGAAAAAGCTGTTGTTTGCATCAGTATAGCAACCAAATTATTTTCTTCAACTCAAACTCATTTCTAAACTCAACATTACTAAGGTAACACTTTCATCCCATACGCGCGTCAGTTACCAAACATTTGTTCTCTTCTGAACTTTCTTTGAAATTAATATCTGTTGCAGTTACAGAGTAGGATAGACAACCCAGTACCGTTATCTCTAATTGTACATCCCGTCATTGAAATCCAGTGATTGTAAAAGACACAAGGTTGAACACTTGTGAACTAATAAACATGGGACTATTGTTTCTAGTAAGTTAACTGTTAATAAGATTATGCGGCCTAGGTAAAATAAAATTCTAGAAAAAAAGCATTTTCTTTATTGAGCTGTCTTCAATTCTCCGAAAACATGAGACTGACTCAATAATAACACATTTGAAAAAAAACTCACCAAATCAACTAGGATTTCATCCAACAGCACCCTTCGATTCAATACAACATCACTTAACTCTGAATATAAGATATAATTTGCAAACCACAAACAACAAGACTGAATAGTCTTGGAAATTGATTCAATCCAGTGAGTGACAATTTCTTCTGGGACAGAAACAAACATTTGTTGCTGTGGTCTAAAATTATCATCCAGCAACAAACTGTCGCTTGTTGGCACGGTGTTTGTCAACTGTATATACGGGATTTCAAGTGAAGCGATCAAGAACAACTGTGAAAGTGAGCTAATGATCTTGAGTCGAGCATGAACATTATTTACATCATCACTGAAATTTAAAAGTAAACAGTAAATCGTAAAATTATTCATTTTTACATTAGGAAGCATGTAAATGAATGCGTCGACATTGTAACGAAAGTAGCCACTAAGATAATCCTATACGTCATTAAATGCTAAATATTTCGAGGGAATATAAACAGAAGGTAAAGAAGTTTACTTCTGAGCTTATTTACAACCATCAATGAAAAATATTGAGAGCATTAGAAACGCGTGCATTTGCAAAACATTGATCACAAAAAGTTGCCCCAATAACTTTACTGCAAAATCAAACAATTGTCTATAGTCGACTGGTTTAAACATTGTTTTTCGACACCATCAATCTTTGAAATTATGTTATGCGGTGTCCCATCCCGGAAAGGAATATAAATATTTTCAGTTTAAAAACTTTACACTACAGGTACCACAAGCAAAGAAAACAGGTGAAAGATAGTGAAATTACCTGACTAAAATAGGGGATATAGCATCCAAATTGTTGAGCACATGCTGCCAACCACCACAGCTCCAAAACGTTTGGACACAACAAATAGCAAATTCATTGCGCGTATTGACGGTACAAAAATCAGAATTCCCTTGAATCTGTTTCTAAATCAATCACAAATAAGAGGTTAGGTAATTTACATGATTCTAAACATTTGTTAGAAACATATATTAGACATATGACACTAAAATAAACAATGAATAACAGTCCAAGATATCATACTACTGGATAGAACGGGGAGCAAATTAGCAGGAACAAAGTAACCAAGTGAAACAATTTCAGCAAAATATAAAGGGAGATAATTAGTAACGTACTGATGTAGTAAAGAGATATTGACAGTCGGTATACTCGATCCACAACGGAAAACCTGAATCACATATTTGCGTATTTTTAAAAGTTCGTGATTGATCAGGATGAAGACCAGAAAAATGAACCGACATTAAAGTTCGAATGGGTGGAATTTCTTTAAACCAGTAATTTGAGGAAATTGGTTAGAGTGAACAATAAAAATAACATAGTATATAATGCTGCTTACTGATCAAGTAGTCATGGATGCAGAAAACTAAAAAGTTTATTGTTATAACTCGTCTTAATACAGTGTTCCGATTTTTTTATTGAATGAAATAGTTAACAGTACATACGAATAAGAAACTAAAAAGTTGAATTAATGTCACAGATTAGTCGTTTATCCAGTTATCAGGCTTAATACAGAGCTAAGGTGTGCGCTAATGGTCATCACAGTTGTAACTAACGAAACAACTTAAGAAATAATCAGAGGACATGGAATTCTAAATCATATCTTCGAACATAGTGAATATTGAAAGCTCATTTTACTAGAGTAATAACCAGACAGATGAAACTAAAAACTGACATAGTTCATTGACTAGTAAAACACTCAGGTTAAAAAGTACTCGATAATGCAACGACAGATAGCCTAAAATACTATCAGGTTTACGTGACTCCAAACCACTAGAAATGAACGCTACAAATTACTGACACATCCTAAAATATGATAAGCCATCAAAAAACTAGACTATAAAGAAATCAACTAATCAAGTATTAAAGCTAGGCATCGAAATGTGAACCACATTTAACAACACTTAACTGTCTAGTCATAAACTCGTTATATTCGATTTAAACACAACCAAAAGTCAGGAAGCAAAAATAAAGACCGAGAAGAAGCGGTTGTACAAGGCTCATGAAAAACCTAACTTCAGCTCACAGAACCACAAAATACTTGAACATGAAGACGTCAAAATTAAGTTTACAGTTACAATGCATATTTAACTACATTGGAATGGACCAATTACCGTATTTTGTGTAATTTCATTCCATAACTCATAGGCCAGGGAAGATTCACGATGTTTCACTAGTAATTTAGTCCCTTTAGGACTACCTTTTTTATCAGGTACAATATCCTTCCACTTCTTAAGTAATTCGCGGTCAGAGTCACACAGTCGTTCAACTATTTTCAACTGATTCACCGGTATGGGCTCCAAACAAAATAAAGAGCATAGAGTTGTTGATATATATTCCTGAAAAGAAAGTGAAGTAAATTAAAGAATTACATGGACCGATTGGAATACACAACTAATAAAATACGAAACAAGCTATACAGAAATATATTTTGCCCCACGCACTTGTTTCAAATGAACTAACCCAGAAGACTTAACTACCTATCAATCAATTAGGAGTTTTTTTGCAGATAGAGATTTGTAAAACGAAACAGGGCAATCGGTAGATGGCTTATTCTTGTGTGCGAACTCTCCTACAAATACAACCAAAAACCTCACTTCATAAAATAAATCAACCCCCACCCCTTAGGGTATTTCAAAATAAAGGGATGTCACAATTAATTCAATATTTAGAAAAGAAATATGGACTAAATGATCAAAGAGACTAGAAGCTAGCTATTCAACAAGCTTATATGCTTTTGGTATCTCAGTGTATCTTTAGATTTCAGGGAAAGTATTCACAATCAAAACTATGGGTGTACTAAGAGAGTACACATAAGTCAACTTGTGTTCGGTAAGATTCAATGTCGTAACAAACAACTTGATCTACTCACCACGTCATCCTTATTCTCGTCGGACAAAAGTGTAATGAGTTGACGAACCATTGATGTTCCAGGAGCTTTTATGTTCATATGTGTAAGTTCTAAAGAAAGTTTTATCAGCAGTTTGCAACAAACCAGACACGTTTTTGATAAGCAGTCCTGAAGTAGCACATAAAAGTGTAGTTTTCAATTTATTTGAAACTTCTGACTCAAAGCAGTAAGCATTTCTACAATAAATCAATATGACACCAAATGAAACATACTCGCTGCCTTCAAGGTCACACAAGAACTCCAGTAATTGCTCGACTTCTTTTGCAGATACTGGACGTTCATCTGTGCAGCTATCAAATACAAAAAAGCACATCCATCGGAACTTTTCTAGGGTACCGTCGTCTGTCAGAAGCTTGGTCATCCTGAAAAATATTGATGACCAGCGGTTGCGGATAACGCAGGTGTACCGCCAGAAATCCAACAGCGCACCCAAAGGATGACAACCCCAAAGTTTGTTTGTATAAACAGATGACTGGATCCTGTTTGAAGCATATATAGAACGGTCTAAAAATGACTTCTGATGCTGCTTACCAACAGCTAGAAACATCAGTTCACTGTTACAAATCTCGTATATCCAAGCACTTAAAAACGATGTCTTCTTTTGCTGGTAAATCAGTCACAATAGCAATTATTGAAGGTAAAAATTAAAAATGGCTGGAACGCTGAGCAGGAAGTCTGGCTATATAGGCTGATGTCTATCGTCATTGCAGCATTAATATCTATTTAGTCAATCACTTGAAATCACTGAATTTCAATCTACTATATCAGCATAAGATATTCGAAACTTAATTTCGGCTTTCGAGCTTTCTTAGAACGTCTTCTCAAATGAAAGAAAAGACAAGACATGTTAAAAGCAATTAATCGCCTAGTATACGGTTAACCAATTTCAAATGGACTCATTTCCTCTGTGAGATAACGGAAAGAGGTTAAACTATCTCAGTAAGCTAAGTCAGTGATATATGTCATCATTTTGTTGTCAGATCCATCTCATACTTCAAAGAAGACATGCTGCTTAAATCACATATTTCAAATGTATCCTCTTAAACGTCTGGTGATTTACGCAAAACATTTCTTCTCATAGATGACAAATTGGCTTTCGACTAGCCCGTAATATCTTACAACTTTGAGCAGTGGCAGTCCTACAATTACTCAGAGTGTGATGTGAGCTACTCATACACATAGGTATAGTAAATATATATCAGGACTTGAAAGTAAAATTCTTACGAACAAAGGAGGAAAATGATTGGATTTATATCATCGTCTGTAGAAAACTGATAGTTTTCTTTCCAGAATCTAAATTGCAGTAAAATAATGCAACGTTCTGTGAGGTATTATAACAGAAGACAAATCCTAAATAAGGAACTGAAGGGTCAATTAAAACAAGCCATAGATGTTCGTTAATTTTGTGAATGTAGCTGTATAACGCGATGTTTAGATAAACAAACAAAAATTCACGATTGCTTCATTTATTAAAGTTCTCCTTCATCAACATCATAACTAATGTGGAGCGGACGAAATTTTCTGTACAACTGATATGGTTAGTTTGAAGTTACTTCATGTCACTGTGCTTTCCAGTTAATAATCCTGCCTCTGTTCATTGGTGTTAGTTCTAATGTACAAAATATCCTACTCCAAGCTCTGTGTTTCGCCCTTTACTAGAATTCCCAAACTCCACAGGTTCCATGTTATAAACATATCTGACTGTTAATGCTCTAGAACCTTGAGTTAAAAACCGATCTAAAATCATGCTACAATGGCTTGAATAAAATAAAACTTATCGAGTAAACAAGTGTAAAAACAGGTGCTTAGGATAAATCAATGGGTATTATTGTGTGGAAATGAGATAAGGTTGCTGCTTAGTAGCCTAAAAATCCATGCTCATTCCTCCGAACTACTGGTGAGGTGTATGCTACTTGTGTCTGTCGACACAAGTGGTGTGTAACACTAATCAGAAGTGGAATGCCTGGCAGCAAGAGGCAGAGAAGATAGAACTGAATAGAGCAGGAGTGTATTCAGAGAGTAATTGTTAAGGTAATGAAAGAACGTTGAAGTTTGACACTATTGATGGAATATTTGCAAATGAAGTATTCAACATATAGTATTCACATTTTATCAAAAAAACGTTTTAGTTTTTTATTGGAATAAATTGTTTGTCTCCTCATGAGTTACTGTTCACTACATTGTGAGAAACTGTAAACTGGGAGGAACTAACTGACAATGTTTCTGGGTTGCCAGTGCTTATGGCAGTCAACAAATGGGTGTACCATGTTACCCAACAGAATGAGCTGAAATCACCTAAAATTGCGTGAAATCCTGCTTAATTTTGTTGTGAAACACAAATAATTACCAAGCAATTTAGAATATATCTAACTGTAGATGTTTAAATCCCAGGATGCTGATTGTTTACGTACTCAATACTTGGTTATTTCGGCTAACACTTATTCCTACGACTCGGCGGCCTGCTTGAATAATAATAATAATAATAGTTTATTCTCAAATAACAGTTTGTTACATGAGGCATGCCAGTTTACAGGCAAGATCAAATTGATACAAATGATACAATATTCACTGTAGTAAATTACATAGCTGGGTTGATAATTTATGAGATATGAATCTAGATGGTTTTAAGCAGTTCTACAGTTAGCGCGCTTCATGAAAGTTGCGTTGCAAGTGTGCGACTGATGGTCAAGGATAGGTCCATTGAAGGTATGAGCTTCTAGAAATCGCAACCTTATGTCCCTTTAGAATATCCAAGGCTTTAAGGATGGTGCAGGATGAAGTCACCCGTTCCATATCTCAAGGGGGCTGAAAGAGGGAGCAAGTAAAAGAAAACACGAGGGGCAGAGTAGCCAACATTCATGAAGGAATGTTCAAGGTATGATTACTCAGTCTAATTTTCTTTTATTAAGGTATTTGTTAAGAAATCGCATTTTAATAGGTTAAAGAAAATAAGTGATAACAAGGTGTGAGTGGACATACAACTGACAAATGGAGGCGATTCGTAAAGGAGCTGAAAGTATGGGATTATTTGTGATTATAAAATAAAATCTAGTGCTAGAAACAGTATTGTGATATACAATTGGCTATCTTCCTTTTATTATCGAAGCTATTAGAGCCCCTTTCGTTTTTTTTGTATTATTATTTTTTTCAGGTATTATAGGGTCTTGAGTAGGCTTCGTATATTAGCGAATTGTCTAGTTTGCTTGTAATAGGATTTCTGGGTAGGAAGTGAAACCAATTCAACGTTCGTGACACGATTTAAAGAGGTATTTTGCGTGATAAATCAGCATCAATACCATAAGTTCGTGACATCCCACTAAAACATAAGGAGCCGTAATTAAACAAAATGTTCTGCCCTACAGACATGGGTGGATTGAAGTTATCTCCCCACCTTCATGTTTGCTGGTCAGTAACGCCACCCTCCCTCCTTTTGTGATGTTAGGCTCTCTTACGTTTGTGGTAAGTATGAATACTGCTTTAATCAAAGCCCATAGTTGGAATACACTGTCTCTACTAGGTCCATGTTACAAGCAAATCAGATAGTTGAAAAGTTTTTTTGGGGGGGGTAGATGTCCATATAGTATATCACACTACTGTGAAAATAACTAATGGTTTAAAGAAGTAAGGACTAATAGCAAATCAAAAGATATGAGAGGGTAGAAAATTGTAGAAAGAAAAAAAAGGATTTCAGGGTAAGACAAATAAAACATTGAGAAACTCACAAGACTTTGTGGGCAAATATCTGGGCTACCTGTTCCTGCCATCTAATTATTTCAACAAGTAAGCTGTTTTTCACTTGTTTTAACTTATCATTATGTCCATCATTCGCATAACCTGTTCAGGCGCTTTTATGAAAAGCCTACGATCTTTCGTTGCAGAAATTACAAAAAAGTACTATAAAATACATCATGGTGGTTGGCAATATGAGTTAAAGAGAATGGACGTTAATCATATGTCGATTCCTGAGCTTCTAAATTCTAACTGCCGATCACTAATCAACAAAGTGGACTATCTGCAGTTTCTACTAAGTCAAAATATGTATCGTAATTGTAGTGTCATCACAATTCAAGAATCTTGGTTAAATGATTTACAGGACGACTGCCTAGTATCACTACGTGATTTCAAAATTCATCGTCAGGATCGATCAAACAATAAAAAGAGGTGTGGTGGCGGTGTAGCTACGTCTGTAAACGTGAACTGGTGTCGATCTTCGTTTGCATGTTTCAAGTTTTCAAATGACTTTATCGACTGTCTAACTCTAAGATGTCTTCCAAAACATCTGAATAAATACAAATATGTTTACGCTACCAATATTTACTTGACTCCGGACTGCACATCACCTGCGCTATCTGTTTTCGCTGATGAATTCACTGAGTCCGCTGTTACTGCATTCAGTGATTCACTCTCAGTTGTATGTGGTGATTTCAATTCATGTGACTGTAGCTTCCTTACGTCACTAGGTCACCAAAATGTAGTAGATTTTCCTACCCGTTTGAATGCTCATTTAGACATCGTTTTCAATAATGATGTGGGTATATATGAGACTTGTAAACGTACTCCCTTGTCTAACTCAAATCACTGTATAATTCGTGTTCTACCTAAAGTACATGGAAAGCACGGGAAGAGTACACACTTACATCAAACCAAGAAAGTCAAATATAGGAATTACTCAGAAGGAAATATCCGAAATCTGAAAAAAATGTTTCGTACGACTAACTGCGAATTATTTACAGATGACTCACTAGAGAACACTACTGATGTTATCATTTGTTACCTTAAATTCTGTTTTGATATTTGTTGTCCCACTGAGACCATCTTTGTAAGTTTTGATCGACTCACATCTTCACAACTAAAACGACTACGGAGGGTGAAAGAAAGAATGTACAAGGAGAAGAACTCTAATGAAGTTCGTAAGCTAAATAGTCTTATAAACCTAGAGACTAGATGTCTCAACTCTAAGTTTACTCAAAAACTCTTGTCTTGCAAAAACTCTCCAAGTGTGTGGAAACTTTAAAGAACCTACAGGTGACAGACAGCTTAGGACCGATAACCAGTTGAATGTTTGTGACTTAAATATGTCTTTTGTACGTCAGTCATCTGATGTGATGCTCCCTTTATACACAGATTTAAATAATAGCTGTGTTCCTAGTTTCACTGAAACTGATGTCCGAAGATGTCTTCAGTCACTTAATGGTATCCCAAACCTTTTAAAAATGTGCTGACGTTCTATGTTATTCATTCACGACTATCTTTAACATATCCTTCATATCTAATCTCATACCGAAAATATGGAGAAAGATGAAGATAATCCTTATACCAAAGAAAGTATCTGGTGATAGGAATATAAAATCCAGACCTATT